CCCAGAGAGTCCCTTGGCTGAGTGGGGAGAATGACACTAACAGGGGAGATGTTTCTTAAACTTAAGTTTTTTCTTAATCAAATTAATGGCATTAATTCATTTTTATATTTATATTTCACCCTTGTTCAAGTAAGGAATCCAAGATGTCCACATAACACCCCTCCTCTCCCCTCTGCTGTATCCTCATAAGGACTAGAACCTGGATCTCCCAGGACCCAGTTCAACATGCTAGCCATTGTCTTGCATAGTGCATCCAGAAAGAGCTTTTTCCATCCTAAACTAAGGGGAGCAGGGCCTAGAAGCACCCACATCAGGAAAATGCTTGGTGATTTGTTGGCACCATCATTATGATGTGAGGCCTCATTTCAGTACCTTGTTTGCACAGCATATTGAGCGTATCTTATAAACTGGCCAGAGCCTAGCAGAATATACACATACCACAATGAATGAATGAATGAATGAATATCTGAAAGGCCCAAAAATGTCAAAGCCTTGATTCGTTACACCACTCGCACCTGGGAACAGACGTCCACACGCTTTGGTTTCAAAGGCCCAAAAGGGAACAAAAGTCAATCACACAAACCCAGGGGGGGCATGTGATTAACGCTTTTAGGAAGCATTGATGCACCCACCAGTATTTGAAACTCTTGGGCCCAAAGCCTCCTCAGGGAGTAAGCCTTGGTGAAGCCAAGAGAATGTACTTCCAAGGAGGTAAGCGCAGGATTGTGCGCAAGCTCAGAAATATGCCAGTGGAGCTGAGGTATTAGAAAAATGTGCCCAGGCTTACTGTGACCCATGCTGACAACGCAAAATGCCTTTAATCATTATTCAAAGCACATTCCTAAAGGGATGTCAAAAGTGTTTCACAAGGCAGTGAGCCTCCGAGTCAGAGAAGAGCTCAGTCTTGCACGTTCTGTTTGGTATTATGGTTCACTACAATGAACAATCAAAGTGAAGCCATGTCTGCATTCTTAAGAAGGCCCATCTAGTCCGGCCCTGGGTGCAAGAAGGAGAACGGCAATGTCCCTTCTGCCCATGCTCCCCATCCAGGATTAGCCACAGCTGCCTTGGAGCACCCGATTCTCCCTGCCCCAAAACTATATGCAGATGTTACCTTCACAGATGGAAGGATAGGAGGTTTGCTGCTGTTGTTTAGCAATGAGAAGAAACTCTGAATGTGTACAAAGCTTTTCTTCTTGTACAATTCAGTCCTAACTCAAGCAAAGCCTCCACTGAATGCTTGTTTATGGCCCCTTGGTTAACAGACATAAACACCCCCAAATTGGGTGCATGAAATGTGATGATTTGCCCAGGAGGTTGGTTTGGCACAATTTGGAAAATACCTGAACAACCAGAACCTGTTGAAAAATACCTGAACCAGCCAAACTTGCCCAACTAAGTTAAATAATACTATGTCTAGCATTTCAGCATTGCTGGACGTCACTACAAGCACAGCAAAGTTAATTTATAGCCAGGGAATGTTCATATATTTAAAACAGAGTGAGATACCAAAAGGGGTGGGAGGAGGTAAAAGATGAGTCCAAGTTACTCCGTGTACTGTAGAACCAGGTATTGTGCCCTGTGAGTAGCAACATGCAGTTACAGTGTTTGTTATCTCCTCTGCGAAGCACAGGATCCCCAGATGTCTCAAGACAGAAACAACGCAAAACTGCTTATAGTTATGTGCACAAACAACTAAACTCTACCATGGGGTGAAGAAACCAGCAGACTCCCACAGAGCAGCACTATAGCAAGAGAACAAACCCAGCAGGGAACCTGTAAGCCCTTGACTAGTGGTGGACCTTCATCTCCCTTGTCCTCCCACCCTGCATTTTCACTAAATGAGGTTTCTGGCCTACCCAGCTGTCATGCAGGAGGAGCGAAGGAGTTTGGAGTGTCTGCAGAATATCTTGCTTGACTTCCCCTGCCCTCTTTTTCCTTCCATCCCTCTCTGAGGTTGTTTTCCCAACTTCAGCATGGTTCTTCCCCTGTCATCTGCAAGGGGGCAGGGGAGGTGGGGATGAACTCCAGTTCCCAGCTCTGAGTTCCCCATATGAGAACCTGAAAAATTCTATGGGAGATCTAAAGCAGGGATATGAGACTAATGTGCATGCTTCATGGCTCAGATAATTGATAGGGAATGATTAATACTTCTACCATAGGAACAGCCTAGTGCATAAATTCCATTATATTGTGCTTTTCTGAAAATGAATCTTTAGGCACTGAGTCAGAACAGGGTATTGTTAGAGCTCCTACCCAAATGCTCTTTCAACAAGAGCGCCTCTTTATTTTGACAGCACTTCCCCATGAAATCGCAAGTTCCAATAACAGAGCAGTGCCTGTCTTCGTAATGCAAATTGACCCAACAATAACAGGGATTAAATGAGATCAGCGAACCATCCCCCTTTCCAAAAATGAGAGCTGATGGTAAAACTTCCCACCCCACCGCAAGGCTGAAACACAGTTCTGCATATTGAGAATGGCTAAGCCCTGTGCACAAAGGAGCAAATTACGGGAAAGGAGATTGACTAAATGAAAGCGATCAGGGAGGAAGTCAGCATAAAAAACACACCACAAACATTTTTAACCAGCCATAGATGCTACCATATTCAGTGGGACTTACACCTGAATAAGAGTCCTACCTCTTCAAACCTGGGATTTTAAAAATGTACCCCAAAGAGATAATACCACAATTTTAAGGTCTGCTGTGCAAAGCAAAGCATTGGAAAGGATCCCTTCGTGCTTAGGCCCCAGCAGGGTTTTCTTCTGTATAATACTGGCTTAGCACTCAGGTCAATTTTAGTACAGAACTGAATTTATTTAGTTATTTATTTAAAATATTTATATGCCATCCTGTTGCAAAAAGCCTCAGGACGGCTTACAACATAAACTACAACATAAATTCCCAACCCACACTGGCTGCAGTTATAAACACAGAAAAGACAATATTAAAAGTTATTAAAATATTGCTGGAATAAAAAGGTCTTAACCTGGCGCTGAAAAACAAATAACGACGGAGCCAGGCCGACCTCTCTGGGGAGCGCATTCCATTGAATGGATTCAGGATAGTTGTACATTTGTTAATTCAACCCCCCCTGCCCCCCTTTACCTCTCCTGATGCTGGATTTCCAATGTTACGAAGGTATGTAATACATAAATTTCCACAAGGGTTGGATTGGCCTTTCCAAGGTTGCAGCTTTCTCTCTACCCTAATAGAGATCCAAGCAGTATTTATATATATTTTTAGTTACTATATTTATATCCCACTTTTTTTGTTTCAAGGATTACCTAACTGGATCACAGTGTTCTTCCACTCTGCATTTTTAAAAGAAAACTATAACAGAGTGTAGGCATACATTAAAGTGTAAATACATTTCTTTGTATTTTGTAATCTTGCAAACTGCATTGACAATTGCATATAGATAGCTCTATACATTCAATTTAAGTTTCCTGGAAAGTGGGTAAAAGATGTTCCAAACAATTTTCAAGTGTATGGACACTTAGCAACATCTGCATATAGCTTACAGAACAAAAGCAAACAAAAAACCATGTGCAAAATCAAATAATTAAAAACATTAACAATATAAAGGAGGACAAAAAAATTCCTTTTAGCATAAAGGGAATACATTACCTGGCAGCTTAGACAGAAATTAGTCAGTCTTAAAATGGCCAGAGCCAAAAAGAAAATCCCAAGTACAACAGGAGTGCAACAGCACCATCCCACCCATGTTCCACAGCAACAGGGATACATGGGCATGAGGACTAGTAACCTCCTCCATAGCCACCACCACCACCACTTCCTCTTCCAGAAACCAGTCTAGCTATGTGCTCTGAGAAGTATTTCTTTTTCACACTGAAGTTCCTCCTCTCCATTCTATCCTTGCCACAACAACCTTGTGAGGTAGGCCAATCAGGACCAAAGTAAGTCAGGGAGTCCGATGGCTGAGGGGGGGACTAAAGTCTGGTTTTCCTGAGTCCTAGTCTAGCCCCCAAACCCCCACACCCCACTGGAGCTCAAAATACCCCTATAAAATGGGCCTGGGATTAAAACCCTATGCCTGTTCAGACAGAAAACGCCACACAGCAGGCCTGCTGGAAACCCACAGAGTGCAAGGAAGCCAGACACCTACAGCAAGAGATCGAGGAGAGGGCCCTGAAAGAGTCTCGGAAAATATTTCGGGATTTTTCCCCTCAGACCCTTTAATGCATGTATGGTTTTTCCTTGTTTTTTACTACCTTTCCCCCCATCTGGAGGCTTTCAGTGGAGCCCTGGGATGGAGAAGAGGCTATCTCCCAGCATAAGGTGTTTTCATTTGCACATCTTTTTTCCAGGGAGCGCCACGCGGGGAATTTGGGCCCCCTAAAATTAGTCCTCACAGGGCTGTCACGTAGCCAACGCCGTCCTTCGCGCCTTCAGCGCATGCGCAGCCAGCTTCGCGCGCTCGGACGCCCCCCGCCCCCGCCGCTGATCTTCCTAATTGATTCGACCGACAGCTTCTTTCCAGATAGCCTAGACCGCGAACCAATCGACCAGCTTAGCTGACATCCCATCAGCCAATAAAAGAAGAGATTTTCTAACCTGGCTCCGCCCTCTCCCTAGTGATCTTTTTTTGGTTATGGTTTGTCCCTCCGGCGCATGCGCTGTCTTAACCCTCCCCCTCCTTTTTATTTTTCCTCCGCCACGGCGCCTCAGCCAATCAGAAGCGTCCTCGTCCCGAAGGGAGGGGCGAGGTGCGAAAATCTTGTTTACATCAAGGAGAGAACGGGTGGGGGGGGGAGGACGGTAGGAAGAAAATTGGGGAAGTAGGCGAGGCCATTCCCTACTATACCGGGAAAGGGCGTGACCAGTGCGTATTACGCCACGGGGAAGGCGTGGCGTTCCCTTAAGGAGCTGAATGCTGACTGCGAGCTCGACGTGGGCGTGCCACGCCGCTGTACGTCGGGGGGCGGAGTTTCCGCCCACTCTTTATAAAGGCTGCTGGCGGCACGCCGCCGTCCGCCATTTTGTATAGCTGAAGGAAGAAGAAGTAGAGGGAGCCTCGCCGCGAGGGAGCCTGGGAGGAGGCGGAGGGGGCTCAGACCCGACCGGGGGTTCGGCGACCAGGGGGCGGCCCGGATGGTGAAATCCTCCCTGCAGCGGATCCTCAACAGTCACTGCTTTGCCCGAGAGAAGGAAGGAAATAAAAAGACGCAAGTCGCCATGCCCGCCCTGCCCGCCAACGCCGCTTTGAGGAGGTGAGAAGGAGGCGAGGAGCCGGCGTGGGAGGCCCTCCAGACGGCCGCGGGGCCCGCGCCTCAAGCGCCGCGGCCTGGCCGCGCGGGCCTCGCCCCGAAGCCCCGCCCGCCGCGGGGGGGCAGAAGGGGCGGGGCGGCCCTGGCCACGCTCCTCCCTCTCCGAGCAGCCTCCTTGGGGAGGGAAGCTTCACGGGGGCGGCGGAGACCCTTCTGGGTTCATTCCATGGATGCTTTTCCATTTCAGCCTTGCCCTGTCGCCTCTGTAAGTCAGAGGGACCCAGCACGGGGTCCTCCCGCTTTCCTTTTTCGGTGGTTTGGTTTACAGCTCACATCACGGCAAGCCAGCGTGTTCAGAGGTTAGGGTCGTCCACCCCATGGGGCAGGTGGCGAGTTGCGTCCCTCGACTTACTCCGACGGCTTGCCGAAGATGGTGTTGGAGTGCCCCTCCCATCATCCTCTGGCGGCATGGTCAAGATCTACGGGAGTTGTAGTTCGTTATCCCACCCCCAGCAGGGAGTTGGAGCTGCTGTCATTCCTAATCGGAATGGGTGTGACCATGCTGACTTGGCAATAATTGAGAGCTCTAGTGGCCTTAGAACACCTACAGAGCAAGGCAACAAACACCAAGTGCGTTTATCCACTTCCTCTAATATTTAGAGCATTTTTGCTCTTTGGCTGAAAGGCCTCCCAGACTGACTGGCGGACCATAGAAAGAATTCGGGTCCTGTCCTTGTGATACAAGTAGAAAGTATGTGGAGGAAAAGGGAAAATAAACAGTTATGTTCTGTTACTCGCAAAGTCGTGCCTGGCCTATCGCAACCCCATGGTCAACACTCCTCCAGGCCTTCTTGTCCTCCATCATCCCCCGGAGTCCACCCAAGCTCACACCAACTGAGACAGTGACTCCATCCAGCCACCTCATCCTCTGCCGCCCCCTTCCCCTTTGGCTTTCCATCGTTCCCCGCATCAGGGTCTTCTCCAGTGAGTCCTTTCTCCTTATTAGTTGGCCAAAGTATTTGGGTTTCATCTTCAGTATCTGGCCTTTAATGTGTTATTCCAGCCTTATTTTTTCTTAGACTGGTCTGCCTAATAACTAAATTCTGGGCATAGTGAAAGGAAAGGCGGGGTTTTACTCCTCAATTGTCTGTTTTGTTTTTGTCTCTTCACTCCTGGACAAAATTACACACATCAGCTTGGTAATGATGTTTTTCTCAAAATTAGTGGAAACATTAGAGACAATGGTGCTTTACCCCATTAGTTAGAGGCTCAGATTTTCAAGTGGCTCAATCCCTCAAAAACATAATGGTTATTCACAACACCTGACACCCTGAGAAGAGAGATCTGGCCTATTAAGGCACCCACTCCTCAGCAAAGAAGGAGATCCTGCTGGGTGGGGGGGGGAGGTGAGGGAGAGGCCAACCTGTGTTAATAGACAGGTAACAATTCTGCTTTCTCCCTCCACATTACTTAAGACCATTAATTATATTCTAATTAGGAAACTGGATTGAGGCCTCCATGGGGCCATTAGGAGAAAATAAATGCTGTTTTATTTTGAGACTCCCTGGCTACATCCAACACTTTGAAAAAGAATTAAGATTTTTGAAAGTGTGTGTGTATGGTAGGCATGGCTATCAAGCTGGGGAAGAATTAAGTCTTCATGATTTGGATGGAAAAGAAAGATCTATCTGACTGTTGGAGGAAATGGGTGTGCATTAATGTTCCTCCAGGAAAGAGCAAGATGAGGAGGCAGCAGAAAGAGTCTGTTATGCAGAATTTCTCCTTTCCTTGGTGGGAAACAGACCCTTCATTCATTAAGGGAATTGACTGTCTTCCTCTCTCTCCACCTCCTCTCTCCCTGCCCAGCCAGTGGGAAATATGCCTATTCAGGTACCTGCCACCCAAGAATGAAGAGCCATGAAATAGGTGGAAGAGCAAAAATGCATAGGGCATATCTGTCCATGCAAGGAAATGGGTGACCAGCTCAGTCCCTCCCTGACAAAATCATGCAAGCAGGCACTAGACAGCCAGGAAAGATGGGGACCTTATTTGATCAGTTGCAAGGGCTCAGTTTCATTATGAAGACACTCCCCGTTCTCTACCCATCCAAAGCAGTATCAGGGACATGTTTCTGTCAAGAAAATGTGTCCCTCCAAGGAAAAACGGCATCCTGCATCCCTGAAAAGGACTTCTGGGGTAGGGGGAGTTAACCTTTTTTAAGTAGGGCCAGTGGCAGAGAGAAATTTGCAGTTGACTCCGTCAGTGCAGCCTGCTGGTGTATTACTGCAGAATGTTATACCTATTAATCTAAGCAGTGACGGGTTTGCTACAGTAAAGGGGAAGTCACTGTGTTTGTGCTGAATTTCCTCTATCCCTCGTGTAGGTTCCAGTAAATGCTCATGTAGTTATGTAACACTCTGCTTTGGGCTCTTAGGTAATGCCAGCCTTGACCAATACACTTTAAGGGAACGGACGGGGGGTGGAGGGGGGGTAAGTGTGCTGAACTGTAACTCTCACCCTGTCTGAGGGGACAAAATCCACTTGGTCCTGAAACCCTTCTTGCCAAGCCAGTCCTCAAATGTTGGGGACATCGTGGACAAGAGCTCAGTGTGTACAGTAGTCAGACAGATTTGGCGCTGTAAGCCAACTCCACCTCGCATAGAAGCAGAGATCACTAACATAATGGCTCTTTCCTGACACCACTGCGCCATACAAGTTTGAAACAAGCCAGCTGTGCACACTTCCCCTCCTACCCTTTGGTCTCACTCACAGCAGAGTATGAGGCTATTGGCCTACCTGGAGTAGGCAGGGAGGAGAGGATAGGCCTGTGTAGCAGAGGCTGTTGGGCGAACAGCTTAGGGAAGCGGGTGCAGCGAGCCATGCCTCCATAGCAGGAGGCCTTGGGTCTTTTCATCCAATTAGGAGTTTATAATGTTGGGTACAGTTGTGAGGTAAGTGTCTGCTTTGGGGCAAGGGGAACTGCCGTTTTGAGGATTTCCTTCCTTGTGAGCTTTTGGTTCTTGAGGCCCTGTGACAGGATGCACTGCCTTGCCAGCAACAGCTGCACCAGCTTCCCCTTTTCTCTTGCAGGCAGACAAGTAGTGGCCGCACTTCAGTGGCCCAGCATAGACAAGTGAACTGCACAGGCAGGACAGGTCCTTCAAGGAAGACCTGGCAAGGTGCCCCTTGCCCAAGGGAGTGCTTACAAAGGCCTTGACTGGCTCCCTTGGAGAACTGAATCCACCTAGTCCTTCCTCACTTGGCCTTGCTGGTTTTTTCTGGGCTGGGGTGTGACTGCAGAAGGCTTTCTGTCACAGGCTTCGTTCTTGTGCTGCTGACCACCACCTTCCTTTTCCCCCAAGCACAGTAGTAAATTTGTAGCTGGTCTAAGAAGGGTCTTGTTTTACCCTTTTCAAGCACCTAAGAAGGAACTGTTTGACCAGATCAGAGGTATGGAATTGGGATGCACCTGCTGTCAGTGAAGGCCCTATTCACTTCTGGATTCAGTGGTTCTCCGTAAACTGTGTTTCCCAACCTTCGTTCCCTGCCAAGGTGTTGGGATGCATTTTTTCCCATGCCCAGTGCACAGGAGTGATGACACTCATAGTACAACCATACGTGTAGGATTGAAGGAGTAAACTTTTATTTATAGCTTTTATATCCCGCTCTTCACAATATCTCGGGAAGCATTTTCCATGTATCCCAGACTGGCCTTGCAGCCTGACTGTATCCCATCATTTGGGGCTTTAATGCCAGCAGTTCCAGCAGTCTGTGCCCAGGCAGAAGTGACTGAAGCTGGACAAAGAAACCAGTTCGAATCAATCTTTTCCAAAGTGCTCTGCTCACTGTTGCTGAGTTCTGAGTCATATGAGGTGTTTTCTGGGGCTGTTCAAAATGGTGGCCATCTTTCCCCACTGTTGGTAGCATTTGCAAATGGCTGCTGGCAGGATGGTTGTGAGGATTTTCCTGAGGGAGACCTTGATCTGTTGCATCTGGTGTCTGATGCAACCAGAGCAAGCTGGCAGGGTGAGGGGTGGTGCAGAGAGGAGGGGCTGATGAGGACAGCGATAGTTGGTGCTAAAAGGAGAAAGATCTCATTGACTTCACCCAGCTTTGCTGTTGACATAAAATCTTTTCTGTGTATACTAACACTGTGTGGTATTTTTCTCAATGGGCAGAGCATTTAAACAGTAACTGCAGGCACTGAATTCTCAAATAGCTGCTGGTAGTCCTCCCCCACCCCACCCCACCCCAATTTACCTCTTGTAAAGTTCTAGCTTCTAACTGTAAATATGCTGCCTTGAAATAGGATGTGCGTCAGTGTTGGAAGCAGCAAGCTTGCATGCTGACGTGCATGTTAGCATGTTTTCGTGCAAACTTGCACTTCCGGAATGGCGAGAAGAGTCACAGTCTTTGTGGCAACCAGTTGGGAAATTGTGGGGACGTCAGTTTGAGTCACATGCAGACACTTACAGACGCTAATATGGAAGTGAGTGTTTGTGTCATAGTGTGGATGTTAGATCATTTAAATTTCTGAGAGCAAGCTAGATCTCTGACACTTAGTACTGTGAGATTGGTGCTTCTTAGCAAATACTATTTAGAAACAAGGGCCTGTTTAGTCTTAGATGTGATATCATTTGTCCTTGGGAAATAAATTCTGCTTTTTCCTGGTACAGCAGAATGTAGAGTCAAAACGGTGTATGGGGGAGACAACTTGATTCCTTCCCCCAAAACTTCCCCTCAGTCATTTCCTCTCACTTCAAGATCACAAACCTGAGGGTGGGGAGAAAGCCGCCATGGGTTCCTTTTTTGCCTGAAGTGGGGGGAGAAAGTCCTGTAAAGAACCTCTTTGCACTTCGCCCTCTCGCTCATACGTTCGCTTGTCTTCCCAGTTCCAGGATGTCCTTCAGTTGTTGTAGTAACCTGGGTCCGGGGCCTCGGTGGTGCTCCTGATGCCCCTCACCCACCCCTGAAGATCCCAGGTGGGCGAGGGAATAGCCAGAGGGATCACAATCTTTCAGCTAATTTATTCTACTCCGTAAGTATGTGCATCCTCGAAAGTATGGCTAATGCAGGGTGTTCTGTTGGGGCTTGACCTGTTCTGGCGCAGGAGGTGTTGCGGGGGCTTGCTTCTAGGTCATCCAGTAATTCCTGAGCTGCACCTACCTCCAATGATTCGGAGTGTGTGCGACTTGGTAACAGTGGGGCCAAGTTGCTGGGGGGAGAATGTGGCCTCTGCTCCTGCAAAGGGCACATTTCTAATTCTGTGCAGCCTTAAATAGCTGCAAATCTGCTTTGCTTTCCTAGGATAATCGGCTGAATGTAACAGAGGAGGTAACATCAAACAACAGGACGAGGGTCCTGAACATCCAGTCCAGGCTGACGGACACAAAGCACATCAGTTGGAGAACTGTGCTGAACAACAACAACCTGTTCATGGAAATTCCCAGCGGCGCTTTGCCTGAGGGGAGCAAAGACAGGTAGGCCAGACGCAGATGCCACCATGTTGAGACCAGGAGGAAGGGCCTTGGCAGACTCAGAACATCAGCTGAGCCACATTCTTAATGGTCCCTTCGGCATTTGTTCTCAGATTCCTTTAAGGATCCTCTCACCTCAAGATGCAGGTTACAGCATCGTGTGTGGTCTGCATCTTGCACTTGTTGTGCCTTATCTACAGTCCTGCTGCCCCTCCTGATGCTATCTGCACCTCTCTCCAAAGGGGATGCAAACTGTTGGGAATGAACTTCAGCGTGTACAGCCCAGGGGCCTGATTGGAGTTGCAGTCCAGTCCTCTCGGGGTCCCACGTGGCCAACCCCTTCTCTTCCAGCTCCACTCATTGGGTGACTTGAGTGCACCTTTGTCTCCATTCCAGAAAGTTGAAATGCTTCCCCCCTTAAGGGGCAGGGAGGACTTCAGACTGCCACCCCTTGAGATTTTCAGGATTGTGGCTCTCCCTCCATTGGAACTTGCCCCTGAGAGGTTCTCCAAAATGTCGTTTGGCCGATGGACTAAAAGGGCCCCCCTGCCCCTCTCTCTGTGTGACTTAAATTGAGCCTGTGTTTGAGCAGCTGTCAGTGGAAGTTGTCTGGCAGGAGCTGGGCCTTGGCTAGGGCTCTTGCTTGAACCAGCAAGGCACTTGAAGCTTCAGTCTTTGCTGGTGATGCATCTGCAACCCCTTTTTTCCAGAGAGGGATGGAGATAGCCTTTCTTGTGTTCTTTCTACCCCTCAAAAGGAAAGAAGGGTGCACGTGCTCCCTAAGCCAAGTGGGCGCATTTTAATTCTCCAAGCCAGATCTCGCTAGCTGGATTAGTTGGGCATTCGTGCCAGATCTTTGGGGGACCATTCTGCTCAGAGCCCTCTTAAGCTGAACGTGGCAGCAGTAATTAATTGAATTGGTGCAGCTTCTACTTCGGTTATTTCTGTTCCGTTGCATAACCTGCAGTTGCGCCTTTTCTTTCCTTCTGCCAAAATATGAGCCTCAGCCACTTAAAAGCTTTAGAGGGACACAATCTCATTGCTTCCCTCTTCCCAGTTTTGCAGTTCTTCTTGAGTTCGCTGAAGAACAGCTCCAAGTGGGCCATGTGTTCATTTGCTTCCACAAGAACCGAGATGACAGAGGTAAGGAAGGGAAGCTGTCTTTTCCGCTGGTTTGGGCAGCCCTGAACGGCTGAGGGTATGGGCTTGGGTGCTTAGCCAAGTCTTGCTGCCACATCCTAGATCCTGAGGAACTCGCAGTAAACCTCTTTTCTCCTCGGCAGCTTCACTGCTCCGTACTTTCAGCTTCTTGGGCTTTGAGATTGTGAGACCAGGGCATCCCCTTGTCCCCAAGAGACCCGACGCTTGCTTTATGGCCTACACATTTGAACGAGACTCTGTCGAAGAAGACTAGACTGCAGTGTTTGCCTTGTAGAGCTTTCTTGTTCTTTGTCGGAGATGAATCGGTAGAAATTTTGTCAACATCTTAGCTTAATACATGGGCATATGTGTGCACACATAAATGACTTGGTCTTCGTACGAATTATTGTGACAGGCTGCTCTGGTGGTGGTGTGGGGGGGAGATGTTGAAAATTTCCTACTTTTGTCATCTTTCTCTTTTTTCCTGAATTTGTCCGCATGTTGTGATTGTGCAAAAAATAAATGCTCACTCCAAATTAGCAGTATATTTCTTGGAAGTTTAATATTGTGTGTTTGTGATACTGAAGTATTTGCTTTAATTCTAAATAAAGGTTTATATTTTACTTTATTGCTGGTTTTAATATTTAAACCATCCCAGAATTATATCCCTTAATCTTTCTTGGGGTGAGTGACTTGTATCCCCAGAAGAGCAGGTTTGGGTTCAATCTGGGCATAGCACTTCTTACATAATATAAGAAGTGGTGGCAGGGCCGAAGACGAGTTGAGGGGCACAAAAGCACCCTCCTGGCAGCCGTGAGCCAAGCTGGGAGAGCCCTGGAGGGGCTAAGCAAGTGGTGGTGGGTCATGTCAAGAGTGCAGTCTTAGGCATGTTGGCCAGAACGTCCTACAAGTTGCAGTGTTTGCTTGCCAGCACAACATGGCTAGGTGGGGAATGCTGACTTGCAGGACTACTTCTGTCTAAAATATTCTACCCTAAGTCAAGCATTTCCTTCTTGACCCTTCTATCTCGGGTAGAGCTGATGGATCTGGGGAGTTCCAGATACAGATACCAAACAGTCACCAATGCACTTCAGTGTGTTATGAGCAAACCCAAGTTCTGCTTTCCTGGGGGATCCTCTGGGCCACAAGGCTGCAGCATCTCCATGGAAGATGGGCCTTAAAACTCCAAAAAGGCGTCTAAAGATAAATTTTGCAGAGGATCGAGGTCAAAGAAAATGCTTTATATGCACCAGAAAAAGAAAGCAACCTTTGCAGGAAACTAAGTCTGTTTAAGATGTCCAAAGAGCAAGGAAAGCCCTTCCGAAAGTGTGCCTTTCCTCCCACTTCATTCTCTTCCCTCTCCAGTTCCCTGGACCACTTTTTCTGTGTTCTCCCCCTGCCTTCATGGCCTGGTGTCCAATCACAAGGGCAGTGCAGCCAAGTGTTGCAATATCCCTTCATCTTTCAGTCCCTATAGGTAACTCTTCCACGGCCTGGTGCCTTCCAAGCATTGCTTTCCTCCATCGCCCCCCTCTGCCAACTGGGGAGGTGTGGGTGACAAGGACTGAGAGACTCCTACCCTTGAAGGGCAGCCTTTAATTACCATTATTTGCAACTAACCACAAAGTTGTCCCAAAACACCTGGCACCGGCATGTGGCAGGCAGGTATAAAATGCCCTACTCAACCGCAGGCAAATGCTTTGGGACTGATCTGGGAAGTTTTTAACGTGGTCCAATAGGAACCTGAACTCTGGCGTGGTAAGACATCTCACAGTGCATCCATGCTTTCGGTCATACATTAGGTGGGGCCCCACACATCTTGCAAGGTAGGCACCAATTCATAGACTAGAGTTGGAAGGGGTCATGAAAGCCATCGGGTCCAACCCCGTGCTCTTGCAGGACAGCAAGTTACACCATCCCACTTTAATAAACCTGTGATAAGTGTTTCTTGTTGAGGCCAACTAGAAGGATGATGAAGAGCATATCTAAGAACAAGGCAGAATTCTGAAGAGGTAAAACAGTCTTCCCAAACATGTTCACTCAGGCTTTGCTGGACTACAGTTCCTACGATCCTGCATGGCTAAGACTGATCACAGTAGGCTAGTTGTCCAGCCCTGGGCTGGCCTTCCAGTTTCTACTAGGTCAGTTTCTTTACAACAACTGCTTTTACTAATGCTGTGGATACACTGACCTTGTGGTTTAAAAACTGCCAGTCTTTTTCTGTTCAGAAAGCAAGAAAGGACAGCAGAGTTGCAGAGGCAGGCACTTGCCTCCAAAACCCACATTCCGCAACACTTTATTTCAAAACATTATTTACCATGTCCTCCTTCCAAAAGCATTGCAACATGTGCAAAGACGATGAAAGCAAGTGCATAGTATTTCATAAACTGGTATTTCCCGGTTATTTAAAAAATTCATACAGTACCCCATCCCTTTGCTACTTAGCACCAGGACCAGCCACAACCATACATGTGATGTTGTGTCTCAGTCATTTCTCCCATCCACCCACCCTGCATGGGATCTCATGACGCAAGCTTTTGAACCAAAGCTTGAACTGCCTTAAAAACATTTGTGAAAGATGACGCTTTTACCCAGCCCCTTTGCTTGCTATCTTGAGCACAATTCCTGAGTTCAGATTTGCTTTGGTGAAGGGCTGACCCATGTTCCTCCCCATTCCTGTTTAGTTCCTGATTTTAGGCCTCTAAACATCGTTTCTTAGATCTTCTGCACGTAATTCCCAGGAAAAAGGCCTTCTCGCCCATGGAGACGTCCTTTCCACCATCCAGATGGATCTGCAAAAGTGGAAACCAAAATAATGTCATGTTTACCATTTTTCGCTCTGATGGAGTGGTTAGAGTTGGACTGAAGAAACATATTCAGATCCTCTCACCCAACCAAGGGTGCAAATGAAGCTTGTGCACTGTTTTAGAGTAGGGGGGGATGCAGAAAAAAATTGGAGAAGTGTCACCAAGTATGTGGGGGGGGAGCGGGGGAGGTTGTAATAAAAATGAAAAATACCTTTAAGGAAGAAAACTTAACATTTCCAGCCAGTTGTTTACATGCAGGGTTTCTTTTTTTTACTTTTTGGTATACATGATAAAGCTTTCTCAAGTCACTTTCCCTTGGCCACCTGAAGCTGCAGGTGGCTCCACCAGTTCAGTGGAAATTAGGCCTAAAATGGATATGGTTTCTTGGATGTCTCGTGGAAATCCTGGTGACTTTGATAGTTCAATGGGATTAAATGCAATTTTAAGTTTTGGATTTGTAGCTCTCTGATCTTGCGGTTTCTATCTAAATTGATACTAGATTAATGCAGGCAAGGGATGTTGGATATAATCCATGCCCTTCACCACCCAAGAATCTGGCTGCAGCAGCGTTCATGAACATTGGGTATTGGTTATTTAAGCAATTACCTCTTGCAAAGGACACACACACACCCAGTTGATACACTTCCTGGAGCACCAGAACTGCCTTACCTTCCAACAAGATATCTATCACATCGCCCACATTAAAGCTGAGCTCATCCACATCCTGCCCGATATATTGGTACAGAGCGCGGCAGCGCGGTCCGGAGATCTTGGGCTGTGGCTTGGGCCGCCCCACAGCAGGAAGTGGCCTCTGACTGATACTTCTCTTCCGTTGTGTCCTGCCACGTTGGAGGCAAAAACAAGTCAGCCCAGAACGCTGCGCAAATAAGTCAAAACATGAAAAGCAGGCAGGCCTGCTCAAGAGCTTCTGCTACCTCTTTCTCTGGCCGTATGCAAGGAGGATATTGCATTCCCACGAGAAGGTGGAGAATGCAGGACAGGGGTCTCAAGCTCGTGGCCCGCGAGCCAATTGCCGAGCCGGGCAGGGCACGGGGGAGGGCCCTGCGGCCTTCAAAGCGCTGGTGGCACCCGGGGCGGCCTCAGGGAGCAACGCGGGATGAGCGGCCCACCACCAGCGCTTGATGCGGCCCAGCCTCACCCAGACTCTACTTCCAGCGGCCCCCAGGTAAGGTGAGTTTGAGGCCCCTGATGTAGGAGGTATGGGATTCCTACTTGAGAAGCTCCATTTATGAGGATGGGGAAGGGCTATTCATCAAAAGGTGCAAGTTTCTAGCCCTCATGACCCCAGTCCTCTACCAGCTTCACTGGCTTCCCATCGAAGTCCAGGCTCAATTCAAGGTGCTGGTTATCACCTATAAGGCCCTTAACGGCCTGGATACCTAAAGGAATGCCTTCTTCCCTATTTGCCCTCCCCTGAGATCGGCAGCAGAGACCCTCCTCCGGGAACCCTCCGTGAAAGACATCAGGAAGCAAAGTACCCGGAGGAGGGCCTTCTCTGCGATGGTGCCCCGCCTATGGAATGCACTCCCCAGAGAGGTCCGCCTGGTGCCATCGTTATTTGTTTTTCGGCACCAGGCTAAGACCTTTTTATTTCAACAATATTTTAATAACTTTTAATATCAGTTTACAGGTTTTAATCCGCAGCCAGGGTGGATCTGGATTTTATTGTATTATGTTTTATTTTTTTTTATGTAAGCTGTCCCAAGGCTATGCGATGGGACGGTATACACATTCTCTAAATAAACAAACAAACATTTGAAGGCATTTAAGGTCTTGCCTGCCAAAATTACAGAATCTAGGGCAGTGGCTGAAAATTTCTATTGGTTTGAGATGTGTATCATTAAATGGTATGCTTGGTACCATTCCATTTGCTACCCTACAGCAACAAAGCCAAAACAACTATGTAAAGTTGTTTATAGTGAGGAATAAATTATGGAAATAGGATGCTGGCACCACTTTGCATGTACAAATTACAGGGTTTTTCTGACACAGAAATTGAAATCCCCATGCTGGTGCTTATTTTTAATCTTTTTCAGCAGTCATCTTTGGATAAGCAGACATATGACATGTCAGCTGCCTTGGACATGACTAAGATAAAGTTGGGCAAGAATTTCAGTTCACTTCTTTGTTGATAAGAATTTCTCAAAATCTGCAAACGTCTTCACATTCAAGATGGAAAACAAATCGATATACATCTATATATTTAAGAAACCAAATTGATCCTTCCTTCCATCCTGGAAAAGTGCTTAGATTTTCCAGCCCTGGGTTTGCTGCGGATTTAACCATGCTGAAAAGCTGCATGCTTAATCAGAAAAGTTGCCCCCCACCACCCCGGCCCAGCAGGTCATTAGTCAGAAATATGAGAGACCTTCCCCACGTGGGAACACCTGTACCTACTGAATTCTGCCAGTGCAGATGGCAGACCCTTTTGAATAAGAACCCTCCCAAATGTGTTCAGTTCTTCAAATTTGGGAGAGAAAGAACTGAAGATGTAAAATAATCTTCATAGGGAAGAAAGGAAATTAACAGATTTGGATATCCTTTTCCTTGAGGTTGGATCCAAATTCATCCTGTGTCAACTGTACTGCCGGAAGTGGGCTTCCCCACCCCTCTTCCCATGGCAGGCCCTCCAGCCCGCTGAAAACGCTATGCAGGGACTCGAGAGCCCCTGCAGGATGAAGGGAGGTATGGGAGAGAAGGGGCACCCCCCATAATTGTGGGGAGGGGAATTCTGCATGCGGAGCCCTCCTCTTGCAGAATGTCCCTATGAAGTCAACCTTGGATCCAATCCTTGGGAAATGCTTTGACAAATACCCCAATTTAAAAGCCAAGGTGAAGTTTTCTCCAGAGACAGAGCGGTTGTCTTTCTGGGGGAAACCCTACGCTCTGGGTGATAATCCAAGCGCAATCCAGATGGTCCTGAGCACCACTGGAGAGGATATGGCCTCTTGCACATACCCTGCCATGCCCTGGTCTGGAACGTTCAGGAACTCCATGTTGTGGTCGGATGGTGTCCGTGCCTTCACCCGCCGGCTCATTCCTTGTTTGGGGAGAGCAGTGGCAGGTGGCGCTTGTAAGGGTCTCTGCGGAGAACTGTACATCTGCGTCTGCTGTCTGTTGTTTCGAGAAAACGGCACTGACCCATTCCTGCAGCTGCCCGGAGGCGGTCCCCCTGCAAATGAGGGGTTACGGCAACGTTACAAATATATCCACAACATCTAACCCCCGCTTTCCCCTCTCCCTGGCCCTCTGGAATGGATCCTTAACATGCCACAGGTTGGTTAAGCGTAGAAAAGGGAATGTTCAAAAGGAGGCAAGGAATGTCTGGTTTAGTTCCAATAACATTGCACAGAAATTCAAGAAGGGGAACTTAGTGGCCCCATTGAGAGCATCTGGATAAATTCAAAGGGAGCAAAAAATAAGAAAAACATAGTTGTTGGCATATATTACCGCCCACCCAGTCAAAAAGAGCACAAGGATGCAACCTTCAAAAAGCAACTTGCCAGCATTTCCAAGAACAATGCAGTCATCATGGGGGACTTCAATTTCCCTGACACTGTAATGTGCTGGGAGACAGATTCTGCCAAGCATGGCCCCTCCAAGAGATTCCTGACATGTGTTGCCGACAACTTTCTCCAGCAGAAAGTAGAGGAAGCTGCGAGAGGATCAGCTATCCTCCATTTAGTAGTAACTAACAGGGAAACTGTCACATTGAATATTTCCTGTGTGTGGATTACGTCTGGGCAAGGTGTGTTTGGACAAATGCAATGTAAAAATAAAGTTTTCTTTTTGAAGCAGTACCCTAACAAGGGGGTTCTGTAGAGCTCCCAAAGTTGCTTAGGAAAGGCTTTTCTAGACAATGCATTTATTGTGGCTATTAATCACACTGTCTCCTCTCAGATGCACCACAGCAGTAAGATTTGAGGTCCACCTAAACAGCTTTTCTTTTCCTGCTCTCTAAACTTTAGCCGAGGAGCTGTGCTAAGCAGTATAGCACATGCACCAGGAGAGGGTCCCATTTTCCCTGTTGCAATTTAATAACTCATTTTCCCAGTTTGGAAAGAAGGAACAAGCCCTAAAAGTACGGAAGTGAAATGGAAGGATGCACTATTGGCTCAAGAGCCCATAAACAACAGCAAATACGGAAGGAATTGTGCACATACAATAAATTCCTCCTGTTCGGAGTCTAGAGAGTCACCTTTGGCCACAAAGCCCTGTTCCTTGCAAGGAATAATTGTTAAGTATTGTCACCAAATTGGCAGCAATCTACTAGGCAAGCCAAGTTTAATGTTCTAGCTCATTTTTTTCCTCCATCTTCCAACCATCCTGCAAAAGTGTTGATCCATACATATTGTTTTGCGTATGTCTTCTTTTACTTTTAGGGTATCTCTGAAAATAACCTATGTTAATGTTTTTGAGAACTTGACTTTTATGTCATGCACCTTGCAAGCTTTGTAGATCTCTGTGCTTTCCTTTAATAAAAGAAAAGAAAAAAGAAAAGAAAAGAAAAAAGGAACTTCTAGAACTTTGAGAAGCACAGAGAAAAGCAATACAGGCTATGCCTGTTGAAATTTCCAACTAGTATATGTGGGATTTGTCTAATCAATATCTTATTTGTCTCTGGAGAAACCTGTATGTGGTTCAAGAAGCAACAGTGAGAAGTGGACACGGAACCAATGATTGGTTCAAAATTGAGAAAGGAGTTCGGCAAGGCTGCATACTGTCGCCCTGCCTATTTAACTAATATGCAGAGCACATCATGAGAAAGGCGGGGCTGGATGAATCACCAGTTGGAATCAAGATTGCCGGGAGAAATATCAACAACCTCAGATATGCAGATGATACCACACTAATTTTATTGTTGTGAGCCGCCCCAAGGCTTCGGCAAATGGGGCGGCATAAAAATGTTTAATAAATAAGTAAATAAATAATGGCAGAAGGTGAAGAGGAACTAAAGAGCCTCTTGATGCAGGTGAAGGAGGAGAGCACAAAAGTTGGCTTGAAACTCAATATTAAGAAAACTAAGATCATGGTATCTGGTCCTATCACTTCCTGGCAAATAGATGGGGAAGAAATGGAGGTAGTGACAGATTTTACTTTCCTGGGCTCCAAGATCACTTCAGATGGGGACTGCAGTCAAGAAATTAAAAGATGCTTGCTCCTGGGGAGGAAAGCTATGGAAAATCTAGGCAGCATACTAAAAAGCAGAGACATCACCCTGCCAACAAAAGTGCGTATAGTCAAGGCTATGGTTTTCCCAGTTGCAATGTATGGATGTGAGAGCTGGACCACAAGGAAGGCTGAGCGCCAAAGGATTGAGGCCTTTGGATTGCGGTGCTGGAGGAGACTCTGCGAGTCCCTTGGACCACAAGGAGATCAAACCGGTCAGTCCTAGAGGAGATCAACCCTGACTGCTCTTTAGAAGGCCAGATACTGAAGATGAACCTCAAATATTTTGGCCGCCTGATGAGAAGGAAGGACTCCCTGGAGAAGACCCTGGTGCTGGGAAGGATTGAAGGCAGAAGAAGAAGGGGATGACAGAAAATGAGGTGGCTGGATGGAGTCACTGAAGCAGTCGGTGTGAGTTTAAATGGACTCCAGGGGATGGTGGAGGGCAGGAAGGCCTGGAGGAATGTTGTCCATGGGGTCATGATGGGTCAGACACGACTTCACAATTAACAACAAATATGTGGGATTACTGCACTGTGTTTTCACAAAAACCCTGCAGGGTAATTAGGTTGAGAGTTTTCAGATCTTCACTTCCAGATCTTCAAGTGAACAAGGGAATGCAGGCCAGATTCTCTTTGGTTTTGGTTCAGTTCTGTCTTCACTGAACTGAAGTTACACAGCCTCTTCACTCACAGCCTCAAGACTTTCTTTGGCTGGATTCAGAAAAGCCATGGCGAGCTTTTTTTTACCATTGTTGATCTGTTGTGTTGTCTGAACTCATCATGGTATTTCAGTGTGGTCTTTAGAAACCATGATAAGAAACAATGGTTTATTTTATAGTTTCTCTGTACCACCATGGCTTGTCATGTTGTCTAAACCCATGATATGCAACTACCATAGAGTCTTCTGGAAAGAGTGGCAACTGCAGGAGCCACTCCAACCATCAGCCTGTATGTCCAGTCCAGTGAAGAAGAGGTAGATGACATAGATCGGGATTGATGCACCTTGGAATTGAATTTCGGGCACAGTGTCTGATGGGATGCATGCCAACAGTGGGAGGACTGAACAGACAGAATGGAAACCATGATAACATAGAAACCATGGTGGGTCATTGTAAAAAACCACGAACTTGGGTAACCATGGAGGACGGCTAGCATTGCATGCATGCACCCTTTCCCATCTTTTGCACTTAGAAACTGCAGTTGCCTCCCTTACCTGTTGGTACTGGTGGGGCTGCACGTGATGGCGCGGCCTTCCTGGGATGACCTTTGCGTTGCTGCACCCCTTTTCTGGTGGGCTCTAAAGAAAAGGGAAAAACCAGGATCAGCAAAACAAGAGGAGGACAGAGCCGTTTTTGGATACTTTCTTGGCATACTGGGACACCAATGTTTACCTTTCAAGCTCTGACTCCATGAAGTTTAGAGCATTTTTGGGAGGTGCTGAATGTGGTAGGTTTGACTTTTCCGAGACTTGGATGAGCTTTGGTTGTACAATTTCAAACATTATCAGCAGTAGCACTTTGTGGGAGATTTCATTGGATCCCTGTGAAACTTATCTGGTGATTGTCTTCCTATCCCAAATGGAACAGTTTGTATCCGAGGATCACTTGCAGTTGAATGTATAAAGAACTTTCACTGTTCTTTATACTGTGAACCCAGAGAAAAAAATTTGCCCAGCATGCTAACCGCCTTGAATGCTTACTCTGATTCCGAGAAATTTGTGTTCTTGTTATCAGATGCTGATGCAGATATGTCTTATAGCATTTCTCTTTTTGCTCTGGCAGCTGAAAAGATAAGAGCTAAGGGAGGCTCTGAAGGGGCTACCGCCCTGATACATGATTAGACTTTTTCTAGTACTATGTTTTGCCACACCTGATTTATGGTTTTATGTGTTAATTCGTTGATTTGCTTTGTATATTTGTAAGGGTCTATGGCTAAATACAATAAACTGACTACTTGAACTCTCATGACCTCTCCCCACTGGCTAAGCTAGCTGAGGCTGATGAGAGTTGTTGTGAAAAGATTTGGGACAGAAGTTACTCCAGCACCCTCACAAACCCATGTTAACTGTTTAGCTGATTTTGCAGTCACCTAATAATTTTTCAGTGTAAATGTCTCTGTGCATTTAATCTGGGTTCATTGCATTTGCTTTTCAGTTGTCCCTTCATTTCATTTTTGTTTGATGCTTTGTTGTACAGGCCTTCAGTCTGTAAACAAATTGCTGCCTTTCAAGCTATAAATTCTTGGGAGCTCAGCTACTACAGGAGTGCTTTCCCTTATCCTGATCCGGAATGGTGAGGGGAAAGAGAAGCAGATCTAAAAAGAAAAATATTTCTTGCATACCAGCTGGAGGGTCATTCTGGAATTGGTTTCCCTCCCCACTGTCTCCTACAGTATTGAGCCCCCTTCCCAACACCTGTGATCACTTGCATACAATTTCCAGGTGGGTTTGACGGGAACGACAGTCACTGTTCAGCTTCCCACAATTCCCTGCAGTGCCTCTGCAAGGTGGGCATTGTGGGAAATTGAGATCGTAGCTCCCAGAATCAACTCTCCAGTGCTGAGCGTGGCAGCTGCAGGTTTCAGGACTGCCAGTTGCACCCCCAACCTCTCCAACTCACAAGCGAGTGCCCCCAAAGCCCACCACTCACTGGAGTTCTTGGGGAGTCCACTCCCGATGCTGACGTTGAGGGTTTTTCCTCCTGCTTTGAGGATGGCCATGTCACCCGGGCCACTCATAAAGATCACCGTCCGTGTTCCACCACCTCCCCAGCCTTCCTTTTTCACACGGAACTGTAGTCTGGGATGGTGGAGAAGAAATAATCCATCAGGAATAAAACACTGTGGCTGGCTAAGGTATAAAATTGGGGAAGCATTTTGGATGAACTGCTAATGCTCCCAGTTTTGCTTCTCTTGGGAAGCAGTGAGGAACACACATTTGGAATCTTCAGGAAGAATTTACAGATGAATGGAAAGCTTACGATGCACAATTTACTTAACGATGAAAGTAGAGCTTGTAAAAATATCATGAGCGAGTTACAGTTTTGATAGAAATGCTTTGTTGTCATTTAAAGTTAATTTGAAAGGAATTGAAAGTAAGTGAGCATTTAACATAGAAACAGAGAAACTGAGCAAGTCAGAAAGGGCCTTCTGGGCCATCTAGTTCGACCCCCAGCTCCATCCGCCATGTGCATGCCCAGCCTATCCTTGAACATCCTCACCGATGGGGCCTCACCCACCTCTCGTGGGAGCCCAGTCCACACCCTCGGGGTCCTAAAAGTAAGGAAGAACTTCCTGGCATCTAAACTGAACCTTGGTTCCCTGAGCTTTGCTCCGTTGGAGCGCATCCTGCCTTCCTCTCCAGGGGAGAACAGGTCTCTGCCCACCTCCGCGTGACACCCCCTCACACGCCTGCATGTCGCCAACAGATCTCCTCTGAGTCTCCTCCTCTCCAGGCTGAAGAGGCCCAGTTCCCTCAGTCTCGCCTCGTACGGCATCCCCTGCAAACCAGCCACCAACCTTGTGGCCCTACGCTGCACTGACTCCAACCTGGCTATATCCTTCCTGTAATGAGGGGCCCAGAACTGAGCACAATACTCCACTTGCGGGCGCACCAGAGTCGTATAGAGTGGTAGTAATACCTCTCTCCATCTAGAATATTAAGTATTAGAAAAATTGCTGTATGAGTTTCAGCTAAGTATTGATTAATTTAACAGAGTGCAGAAGAGAGAACAATTGCTGATGTTCCGTTATTTCTTTGATCTTGATATTCTGCTACTATTTGCATAAAGTCGAGAGAGGGAGGTGGAGAGAGAGAGAGATTGAGAGAGAGAGGAACATGCTTTTGAAACTTCCTTGCAGCCTTTCCTGACCCTGGTAGTAGAGCTCTCACCCAGTCGCTTCATTGGTATTTTTATTACTTGTATTAATATACCATCTTTCAGGATACGCACCCTAGTAAGGCCCTCTTGGTCCACTTACGTGTCATTGAAGCTGAGCAGGAGTTTGCTCCGTGTCACCTCCTCGTATCGCTTGCAGAAAAGGCTGATGAGCTCCGTCTTGAAGATGGACTCCAGGAAGATGTCGTTCTCGGCTTCATGCAGAATGAAAAAGTCGTCCTGCTTTGTGCTGCAGCAGTGGCCATGAAAGGGGTGCGGGGAGGGAAAAGAGGAGACAATCAGACCCCCTGGACAGAGAAGTGGCTGATGGAACTGAAGGCAATCTCCCAGGACCGCGGGGAAAATAAGAAATACTTGAGTCAGATAGACATATTTTAAAATAATTTAAATAAAATATCTTTCATAGAGTATTTATTTATTGATTAGATTTATATCCCATCTTTTATCTTACAAAGAACTGAAATTTTCTTACAAAGAATCGCTTCCATAATTCTTCTCCGTGCTTCATTTTGTCCCCAAAACAACAACCCTATGAGGTAGACTGGGCTGAGAGTCTGTGGCTGACCCAAAGGCACCCAGTGGGCTCCATGGCTGAGCAGGGACTCGAACCCAGATCACCCAAGTCCCAGCGCTACGCTCTTAACAACTACACCACTCTGTCTCTAGTTGGAATTCATGTTAAGAACACAACTGTATTTTTAAATCTTTCTACTAATATCCTGGCCCTCTGCTTAAAAAAACCCTCCTCAAAGCAGCCAATATTAGAAATAGCTTAACAGAACATCAGAACAAAGGATTAAGAACACAATCATAAAAGAAATGGACAGTAATAAACAATCAAACTCCCTTTAGCAGCCGGACTGGGTGATACGCCTGAGCAAATGTGACTTTTGTGACCTGCCACTGGAAGGTCAACAGAGATGGGAAAAATCCAGCCTCTTTTGACAGAGAGTTCCAGGGGCTGGGTCCTGTCTCCACGTCCCCACTAGACACCCCTCTGATGTCAGAAGAAAGGAAAAGAGGGCATTCCCTTAATTTCTTAAAACCCAGGCAGTTTTGCAGGGTAGAAAGCCGTCCGTACAAGTGTTCTTCATGGGCCCAAGAATTAGCAGAACTCTATGTGTGAAAAAGGTCTCTGTTCATAGGACTTCCTGTTCTGGGTACAGAAAACTTCAGAGGGGCACTTCAGAAAATCCCTTTTTCGGACAAAATCTAATCACTTACAGTACCTCATAGTATTAAATCCCCGAGGAAGGATCCCTCCAAATTTATTGCACCCCTTGTTAATGCTTTTTCAGCGCCTGGTGTTCCTCCCTCTTTCTCACCCAATCTCTAGGCCAGCCTTTCCCGCCCTGGTGGCTTTCAGACATGTTGGAGTACAGCTCCCATCAGCCCCAGCCAGCACACAAACCTTGCCAAAATGGCAACGACCAGTGACAAATGATACAAAATGAGCAAACAGGGCAGAAACGGAGTTAAAGATCACCTGAGAGATATTCTGTTGACTGCCTGGACCTCGACCTTCTTCTTCAACACCTCCCGAATTTGGCCTTTTTCGGGGCCCTTTTTCACCTTCTCGCGGCCAATCATGTAGAAGTGTTTGGGAGTCAAGATGAAGTCACGCTTGATAGGCTGCAGGGGAGGAGAGGGAAGGAATTGCACGGATGGAAGAAGAGACATCCTTCAACGCTGGGTCACTGTCCTTCTCGAACCCTGGACTTCCGGGCCCCTTGCTCTCTTCCCTTCTCCAGACTGGAATGTGTTTTCCCAGCACTGGCTTCAAAAGTGATGCACGTGTGGGGATCTTTGACTCATTCTGCTGAATGGGGCCATGGACCATTGCCCCATCATGCCAACTTCATGCTACCATATTTCCCGAAAATAAGACTGGGTCTTACATTAATTTTTGCTCCAAAAGATGCACTAGGGCTTATTTTCAGGGGATGCCTTATTTTTTTCTAACGAAAGTTGTATGATTCTTGCCCCAAGAGTCCTCCACGATTCCTTTCTTGTCCTAAACGGAATAGCTCTTTCTTTTTGCATCCATCTTGCATTTTGTGTCCATGCGTTAAGTACGACCGTTACAACACAAGACGTATTAACATTATTCGTGCGTTGTGTCTGTACTTTGATTGCTCATTCGGCAGTACGTCTCGTGTTCATTTATTTACACAGGTGTTTACCTCTCATCCAAAGGTGCCTGCTTCACTTTTACAAATACTTAATTATAATGTATGAAATCATTTATTTTAAGTATTGATGTCAATAATATTATTTATTTATATTTAATTTTATACTAGCATTGTTATTTTGTAATTCAATCACCTATCGTGTGTTGCAACAGACGTACGACCGAGTTTTCCCGTTCATCTGCCTCTGACAATCTTAACCAGGCCTTATTTTTGGGGTAGGGCTTATATTACAAGCATCCTGAAAAATCATGCTAGGACTTTTTCCTGTTGGGTCTTATTTTCAGGGAAACACGGTAGTAGCTCCCTGCTAGTATCTACCAGGTGCCTCTATGCTTTTGGTAGCAAGGGATTAGCAAGGCTGCTCGGTTGCTAAGGAGCGCACCAGATCCGAAACGACCAAAGGGCAACCAGATGACAACTGGAGTAATCCGCCCCAGACCTGAGTGACCCTGGAAAGAATCCAACCCATGGATTCCTCCTCAGACTGTCTCTTCCCAAGTCAAACAGCTTCTATGTTCATTTTTTTAACTTGCAGACAGTTTGTTTTTTATTTTCTGTAATGCTATGCAAAAGTAGCTGTCGAAAAATATGAAACACGAAATGACCCCATTCATGGATTTCTGAGAGGCATTGGACGACCCTCTGGAACAAGAAGGATGCATTCTCTCCTTGTGTTCTGAAAAGTTTGCCTCAAGCAGAGGCCAGGAAATCCCCAAGCCTAAGGGGCATGATGCCAACTTTTACTGAAATGGAAATACTGCTGAAGTGCAGACCCGGGAATCAAAGATTGGGAAAGGGATGTTGGAAGTTATGCAAACAACCCCCCTGTTGGGAATTTTCTCATAATGTTGGGTCAATACCCGCTGTGTTTTCCTTCTGGTTCTAGCCTGCCCTTTGTAGTGGCTGAGAACTATTCTGCTCCATTTCCTCTGTGCTTGTCCTTGAGATCTTTGAGAAATTTCAACCATTCCTCACAGTCTATCACAGAGCCACAGCTGCAAGCCAGGATGTACCCAGTTCGTATCCAGGTTTTGCTAGAGACCTCTTCAGCAAGCCATTCTCTCTAAGCCTTAGTCTTTCCCATCTGTAAAATGTGTATAACAAGGCTGACCAGCCTTACAGAGCAGTGGCAAAGAAAGAACAAAATAAAGAGCAGGGGATAGTGCTTTTTACACATGCTACTGTGATATTCTTCCAGGTTTGAAAGGCAGGAATGGGAAAGAATCAGCAGAATTTGAAGAGCTGCTTCCCCTTGGAAGATCAGCTTTACCTTAAATCGCCTGTCATATTTGGTGACTGAGTCTGCAAAATCAATCCGCTCTCTCTTGCCCAAGAACTGGCGTAGCTCCGGCTTGTCTTCCATGCCCAGGTAATCACCCACAAAGTTGCGGTTGATGCTGTTTCGTCGCCTCTCTTTGAAGTTGTACAGAAAGTTGGATGCTACAAAGGAGGGTTGGGGTGTGGGAGAGAGAAATGGATTGGGTACAGAGGCTTGGCTGGCATCCAACAGAAAGAACAAGCTGCTAGCGCTCAAGTTGCTTCGCTCATACTGCTAATTGGTTTCAAGCATCTGGAAATATCTGGAGGAATTCCAGTCACCAGAGATGACCTTCCAGTGAAGTTCTGCACCTCACCTTAGAACCACGAGCTGAACAGCAACAATGACGAGATCTGCTTTAATTATAACCCCAAGCCAGAAAAGCAACTTAATTGTCTTGTCCTCCTTAGAATATGAACAGTCCTTGCCTTCTTCCCTCATCTGTTCATACTTCCGGATAGCAATATGGCGCCGCCAGGCTTTCTGGATGACACGGGCATATCCATCAAACTTCCGTTCTCGCATCTCCTCTAGAAGGAAGAGCTGGGCAGAGGGGGGCAAAGAAGAAATTGGATGGATTGGAAGAGGGAGACAGATTAATAGATTTTTGTAGGGTCCTCTTTCCTTCACATTTTTTGAAACTGGAGTGGTACGGTGCTTAGAGTATTAGGCTCAGGCTCAAGACTGGGGTCCAAATCCCCACTCAGACTCAAAGCTCACTGAGTGCCTATTATTATTAGAATAATAACATTTCTATATCGCCCATAGTCAAAGCTCTCTAAGCTTTGAGCTATTCAGCCTCATCTACCTCACAGAATTTTTGTGAGGATAAAATGGAGCCTAGGCTCGGAAGAAGAAAACAGTGGGGGGAATGCAACATGATAATATTAATAATAATATCAAGAAAGTGTGGTGGAGACTCTTGAATCAGGATGTAGCAGGCAATGGGAATTCTTTTAAAACTCTTCTTACTTCAGTGTATTCAATGGTCTAGTCAGACCTCACCTGGAATACCGTGTCCAGTTCGGGGCACCAAGATTTAAGAATGATGCAGGTAAATTAGAAGGGGTCCAGTGGAGGGCAACAAAAATGATCCAGGGTTCAGAAACACTGCCCTGTGAGGAGAGACGGAGAGAACTGGGCATGTTCAGCCTTGAGAAGAGAAGACTGAGGGGGGACATGACATCCCTCTATAAGTGGCTCAAAGGCTGTTGCAAAGAGGAAGGTCAAGATCTCTTCTTGCTGATGCCAGAGTGTAGGACACAGAATAATCAGTTCAAGTTGCGACAACCCAGATTCAGGCTGGACATCAGGAAAAGCTTCCTCGCTGTCAGAGCAATACGAGAGTGGAAACAACTGCCTGGAGAGGTGGGGGGCACTCCCACAAAAGAGACATTCAAAAAGAAACTGGGCAGCCACCTGAGTGGGATGATGTGAATTGGTGTCCTGCAACAGCAGGGGGCTGGACCAGATGGCCTTCATGGCTCCTTCCAACTCTACTTTTCTATTCTATGAGTCTAATTAAATATCTGAAATTCCAAGTGAACCAAAGGCAAGATAAAACTGAATGGACCTCCAGTCTAGAACCTGATCTAGAACCCTTGGAAACAGCTCCTGACCCTGGGCTTACCGACTCTGGGTTCTTGACAAAAACTTTTGTGCGGCCCATCTGATATTGGTCCACATCCATGTTGACAGACCTCAGCAGGTGCTGGACACCCTGCCGTTCATCTCCACGCCAATGTGGCCAAGTCTCTGGGGTCAGGATGGCATATCTGGGGGAAGGAACAGCAGATATCCTAGTTCAGATAGTAACCCCAAAGTGGTGCTGAAGTTTGGGCCAGGGTTGTGGGAAGGAAGACCCACGGCAGAATAGAAGGGAAGCTTGAAATAGAAACTGGAGAACTTTTAAGGTACCCCTTTCCCCAGGCGCCAGAAGCATCCTTCTTGATTTAAATCAGCCCGTTTATAAAACATTTTGACTTAGGAGTGAATCCAGAAAATGCAGCTTCTTTCCCTGAAAGAAAGATCAGCCCTTTTCCAAAGAGGAGATTTAGAAAAGGATGCATTCTGTGCCCTCCTGGAGATGTGTCACTGCCATGCTGAGCTTCTGACTTTGTTATATTCCTTTTTCACGAGAAATGTCATGAGGCTGAGGTTGATGGGAGTTATCCACAACGTCTGGAGGGCGCCAGGTGTTGCGGGGAGAAATATGGCTGCTTTGGATGCTTGTCCTCAAGGACTGCTGCAGAGGAATCAGAATGTGAAGCAGAACTGGGTGAGGGGAACGGGGAAAGTGGGCCATCCCAAGACCCTGAAATGAGAGAAGCACAGACGCAGGCTTTGGGAATAACCAGGATGCACCATTGGCAGCGGGGACTTAGAATAGGGGAGCATTGCGAATGCAGGCAAGGTGAAAACCGCTCTTGACTCCATGATGTGTTGTCTGCAGAGAAGGGTGGCCCGATTAGTGGGAGGAGACCCGCTCAATTCCAAAGGCCCTCCCCCAAGATGGTGACCAGGAATGCTTATCAGGAGAGTTCCTGGAGGTGAAAACTTGACTGGGTTCAAGAAAGCAACTGTGTGCATGCTCAGAGGTTCATTTTGGTGCTTTGTGCTTTTGGGTCATTAAAGGACACTGTGTGAGGAGCCTGAGGCCTTTGAATGCATCTTCTTCAAGGTCTGGGCTTTAGCATGTGGCTGAAGATCCCTGGTGCAGAGTTCCCATGGTGCTGAGCAGGGATGGCCAGCAGGGGAAGCCAAACACTGGAACAGCCTTCCCTCCAGCTGAGCCTTGGCGAACAGAGGAGGGAAAGAGATGCCCGAGCAAGAGAACTGGCAAGCCAGGTTTCCCCCACACCTTTACCTTTGCAGAAATTTGTGGAACAGTCTGCGGTATGCAAAGCCAGCTCGGCGGACTCGGATATTCTCCTTCAGGCCCAGGTACTCCACTTGATGCTTCACCCTGTGGGAGGAGCCGTGCATCACAGAAAAAGGAAGCAAGCCAAGCGACACCGTGCAAACTCTCTTTTCACTGCCTTGCTGTCTCAGAATCCTGGGCTCCCCTGACCTCCTGCATTCTCCCTTTCTCCTGGGGAATCCTGGGAACTGTAGTTCTGGAAGTGCCCAGGATTCCCCGGCCAAAAGCAGGCATAGTTAAACTAGTTTAAGTCTCCAGCAGAGACAAAGTAGGGCAGGGAAGTTTTGGCCCTCCAGGTGTTAATTAATTAATTTGTCATCCCTATTTATATCTTGTCTATTTTCCCAGAAGACACCAAGGTGGCTTAGACATTCCTTCTGCACTTTATTTTACCCCACACAACATCCCTGCAAGGTAGATAAGGCCAAGAGTCAGAGATTGGTCCAAGCAATTGGTCCAAGTGGGCTTTGGGCCTAAGGGGGACTAGAAGCTGGATCTCCTGAGTGTCAGGCCAGTGCTGTAACCACTACACCACATGGTAGCCAAACTACAACCCTTATCTGTCCATCCAGTATGGACAGTGATCAGAAAGATGGGAATTGCAGTCCCATCACAGCTGGCTGGGCATGGATTCCCCACTCGGGTTGCACCTCTGCCTTCCCACTTCTGATCTGTAACTGTGAAAACTGAGATAGGACAAGAAAAATTGCCAGAATTCGTAATTCCTCTGATCCACTTTACTCAGATAAATTGAAATGCCATCCATGGGCAAGACCAGCAGCCCATCCCATTCCACCCAGCTCCAGAATATTTAAGCTTTCTCCTGCATGATTGCTCCTCCAATTTCTCAGCATCGCCAAAGCATTTTTAAAAGATTTGCTGCCCTCTTATGCCTCCCTTTGATCTCAGATTTGGGAAGGGCCGCCCCCATCCTTCATAGCTCTCCAGAACTCTTCTGCAATACTCTTTCTTTCTCCCTCTTTCCAGCTTCTACCAGATCCTTCTCAAAACCCTAGCAACTGGAGCAGCCTCTCTCTCATCTCACCACTCTCAAACCAAGCCAAAGAAAGTATTTTAGTTCACATTATGATCTTCCCACCATGGTAGAGTCATCCCACCTCCTCCCTCAGCTCGGGATGCCCTGCCCCAAGCACCATACAGTCCAAATTTTGGCAGCAGGGGTGGATGGTGCAGAGGGAAGGGAGGAGATGACCTGGAGAAGCGAAGGAAAACTCCTCTTGACAGTCATTGACTTCAAGGAATAGCAAGCATAACTTTTGGCTCTGAGCTGTGGGGGAGATGAGAGTCCACCTCTCTCTCTCTGTCCCCCCCCCCCCCGTTACCTGCTCTCCTCCCAGTCTCGGGGCCTCTTGGTCTCGTTGGGTTTAATGCAACGGATATAATGAGGCGTGCACTTCATCAGGGTGTTCACCAAGTCGTTGGCCTGTTTCTGTGTGGGAAGACCCGAGATTTGGGAGTTACCTGGCATGCCACTTTAAAACCACCCAGTTACCTGGCTCTCCAAAATACTGACAGTGAAATGCTAGAAAAGCCAAGAGCTGCCAATAAAAAAGGGAGAGAAGGGGAGAAGGTCACAGGGAGGAGAAGAGAAGGGAAGGGAAGGTTATGGGGAGGAGAGGAGAGGAGAGGAGAGGAGAAGAGAAGATCACAGGGAGAGGAGGGGAGGGGAGGGAAGTCCCTGAACAATTTTCTCATTGGAGTTCTGGGCTAGCTGGGCCGTTCCCATTTATTATTATTATTATTATTATTATTATTATTATTATTATTATTATTATTACATTTCTATGCCGCCCCTTGCCGAAGCCTCGGGGCAGCTTACAACACAATAAAATACATTAGAACATAATAAATTACCACCAAATACAAAAATACAAAAAATACACTGAGATACAAACATAATAATATAAAATTAACATTAACATTTATGAATTAATTTATGAAGGGAATGCAAAAGTGTGCAGTATTCATTTGTTAATACATGACCCAAGAGTGGTCAACACATTTTGTATTATGCATTATGTAATTGTACTAAGGTTTGTTTTGATTTTGTATTTCTTACAGTTAAATATTGTTTTGCTTGATTTTATTGCTGTAATGTATTATTGTATTTCTTTGGAATATTTTTTTTTGTTCTATCGTAAGCCACCCAGAGAACACTATGGGCTATGGGGTGGCATGCAAATGTAATAAATGAAATTAACTTTGTATAAATACTACAGAGAGTGGAGCTTCTCCTGTTGGCAACCTGGATCTTGCACCTCTGTGAACAAACCTACAATCATCAAGCGATGGTCAACAGACCTCCCCACAGAAAACCGTGCCCGATGTCCCCCTTCACACATCTTCCTGAAATGTTCAGATAAGAGAAGTGCTGGGTGCACAATAAGCCCTCTTCTCCATTCACATGCAGGGAGGTGAGATCGCCTGAGTGACCTGCATTTTCAGTACTGTCAAGCTTTCTCAACAGGATTTTTCCTCTGACAGCTTTCTCAGCTTCTCTTGCTGGAGAAGAAATGCAGAAACCAAACAGGCTCACCTTGATTTTGGACCCTGCGGTGGTGGGCCGTCCTTTTTTGTCCGCATCAAGTTTTTCTGGGAAAAGCATCCGGATGAAGCCACTGAGAGGCACAAAGGAAGAGCTTGGTGCATAGTGAAGTGAATCTTAGGAAACACCCAACCTCCGCTTTGGAAAAGGAGTGGCAGAGAAGGACAGGGGCCAACACTGCTGGACCAGATGAACGGACTTTGCTGCTATGACACCATGCTTTGCTGGCTCCCCATATTGCGTTCTGCAGTGAAGTGTCCCTAATCTGGCTAATATCTGTGGAAAGATCCATTCTTCCAAGAAGAGATCGGCTCTGTCAGACCTGTAGATCCATCCAGTCCCAGACGGCATCACCCTCCACCCTCCTTAGCAACCTCCCCCAATTTGGCTCCGCTGCAGATGTATTGGACTGCAGCTCCCATCCTCCCCATGGCTGGGGACAGAGGGAGGCATAGTCCAAAACAGGCTGGGGAAGGAGCAAAGACCAACCAGGATGGGGCTTGTGGGGATATGGTGGGGGTGACACTCACAATTCACTGCTTTGCATCAGCTCTATCAGGTCGGTGAAGAGCACGTCGCGGTTCCTTTCGCAAAAGCCACTCACGTCGTAAGACACCTGTGGGTAGGAGGGGCCAGTGATGACTATTCCAGCAAGCCTTATTCTAAAAATGGCATTTTTCTTTTGCTGGGAACCAGCTTGTGAGTTTGAGAAGGTGACCGACTGCAAACACCCTCAGGCTGTGCCACGCATGGCCACTTTGGCTCCTAGGCCAGATTTATTTATTTTATTTTAATTTTATTTAAAGTTTTTATATGCCGTCCAACACCACAGTCTCTGGAAGGCTCTATCTTGCTACTCAGTGGTGACACCCCAGAGAAAGAGGATTTTTATTTTATCTTTATTCACTCCTTTATTTGTCTTGCACTCCGTCTTTCTCCCTGAAACATCACTGAAATGGTGCTTCCAGAAAAGGGTGACTTGGCTTCTTCCCTCCCACTCCCCATTTCCTTGTGTGTTGTGACTATTAGAAAGTCTCTGGAGAACTGAACATTGGAGCAATTTCTTGTTCCTTACAGGGCTCCACTAGGAGCCTTCACGGGCTGATCAGCAGGGCCGAATAAATTAATATAAATAAATTAGAAAGACATGTTCCTCTAGGTCACGGGAGCGGCGTGTGCCAGGCCAATGGGCTGAAAGCTCTCCTTTCTGCTCTGGTCCCACCCCACCCCCCATAGGTGCCAAATGTTGCACCCCAAGGAAATTCGGGCACTGTGGGATGAGCAATGCAGAATGACCTATCCTGCCAACTCAGGTGTCCAGAGACCTTGCCAGCGTAATGGTGGATGATGAATCCGGAACTGGAGCCGTTGAAATGTTCGTGGTTGCCCACCGCAGACTGGAGTTTCTGCAGCAGCGTCTGGTCTGCCCCGTCGCCCTTGGCATAAACCGTGGCACAGACGTCATCCAAGATACTCATAATGCCCGGAGGGTTCTAGCAGTTGGAAAGAGACACAGAAAGCAAAGGTGGCATAAGTATTCCTTTTGTGAGGGCTGGGTTCCTCAGAGGTGCACAGGACTTCTTCTGGCTCTGCTTTAATGGAACAACATGACAACTCGCATTTCAACCCAGGTTTCAACAATCACAATTCAAGGACAACCCACACTCAACCCACAATGCAAGGACAACCCACACTCAACCCACACTCAACCCTGTTTGTATCTCCCGACTAAGCTGCAGCCCTGATCTTCCCTCTCTCTCTCTCTCTCTCTCTCTCTCTCTCTCTCTCTCTCTCTCTCTCACACACACACACACACACACACACACACACACTTTTGATGGCCAAGAAGGAGCCAACTCCTCCTCCAGAAACAAAGGAACAAACAGCAAAAGCTAAAATCCATTGAGGGGGGGGGGGACGGTTGTTCTGCTGGCTTGAAGTTCATCAGCTAAAGCTTTTGCTTTGTAGAAAAAGAGTTACTGGGCCAACATGCAGTCACAGAGCCAGTAAGAAATATTAAGTTTTAAAGCACCTGGACTTGCTGAAACTTGAAATCCATTCTTATGTTGACTGCTTTCTTAGGGGAAACATTTGGCTGAATAGCATCCGTACTTACGGAATTTAAGGCTGGCCAGAGGCAATTTTGTGTCTGGGGTCCAAAACAACCCCAGAAACAATGACTGCTAAGTAAGCGGGATGGAGATTTGGTTCTGCTTCTACTGGCTTCACCCAGGTCTGGGGGAGCCACTGCTTTGAATTTTCCACAGTGCCCCTAAAAGTTGAAATGGTGAGAACAGAAGTAGGGGCTGCTCACAAGGACTCGGCTTAAGGCCCTTCAACCTCCCCTTCCCCTTCCATTTAATTCTTCTTGACAACTGTGCTGGGCATTTGTGTGGCTTTTATTAGTTTGCAGTGCTCTTGTCCTGTGAGTCTCTTACCACCTTGTTTTCGATGAGGTCACAAACCACTTTGTTGTTGAAATATTCAATTGGGGTCCACCGTATTCCCTCTTGCACATATTCTTCCTAAGACAAAAATCAGGAGAGTGAGCTGAAAGTGTGGTTTGGAAAGGAAGAAGGGAAAGAAAAGAACATGGACTGGATGCATTCTATCCAAACCCTTCTCCGGGAACCCTCCGTGAAAGAAATTAGGAGAGTAAGTACCCGGAGGAGGGCTTTCTCTGTGGTGGCACCCAACCTATGGAATTCACTCCCCAAAGAGTTCCGCCTGGCACCGTCGTTACTGGTTTTTCGGCGCCAGGTAAAGATCTTTTTATTTAAACATCATTTCAATTGTTAAAACATATGATCTGGCCAGGGCAACTTCTTCTTCCTTCTCTTTCTCCTCCTATATTTTTATTTTATACTGATAATTTTAATTTTATTTTTGTAAATCAATGTATTCTTTGTATTTTTATATTTAATGGTAATTTATTATGTTCTATTGTATTTCAATGTATTTTATCGTGTTGTAAGCCGCCCCGAGGTTTCGGCAAGGGGTGGCATAGAAATGTTGTAATAATAATAATAATAATAATAATAATAATAATAATAATAATAATAATAGTGAGAGGGGTTATTAAGGTTCAGCAGGTAGCTGCACTTTCCCAATGCCCAAAAGCCAGGATAGATTCCCCCCAGAGCTGGCTGGGGAATGTTGGGAATTGCAGTGACTCTCCAGGACTCGGGCAAAAGTTTTTTCCCACCACTGGCTGCTACATGATCCCTTTTAAGGAACCATCTGCACGCAAGGCATATTTCCATCCGCTGACCTGTAGCACTTTCCTTAAAGACCAAGCATGCTTCTAGTCCTCATGGTTCCAGATCAAGGACTAAGTTCATTAGAAAGATCTCTACAGAGATCTGCCACAGAGAAAAGAGTTTTTCTCGCTTATTTATTCATTATATTTCTCTCACATCCTTTTTCACCCTGCAAGGGACCAAGGTGGCTACACAATCTACCTCTTTTTACACTCATATAAAGGTAGGTTGGGCTGAGAGTCACAGATGGCCCCAAGTTACTTGGTGAGCTTTATGGTCAAGTGGGGATAAGAACCCGGATCTCCTGAGCCCCAGGCCAAGGCTTTCACCAGTATGCCACATGGCCCTCTCCTGCTACTTAGTCTTCTTAACTTCACACACCTTCAGCCTGCAAAGCAGGTGTCCCACCGCTCAACTGAGAACTATCCCTCACACTTCTGTACTTTTCATAGCTCTTCTGGACACAGTGGAATATTTTCCCCATCCACAAGCAAGAGCATGCCGTAAGCCATACCTGCTCCGCTTTGAGGGTGAGTTCGATGAAGATCTGCTGCAGCTTTTCATTCACAAAGTTGATGCAGAATTGCTCAAACCCATTTCTCTGAAAGGTGGGGAGGAGGGAGGGAGGAGAGAGGGGTTTTATAAACACGCATGCATAGGGATCCGTGCTTTGTGATTGCCAAGGCTGCATTGCCCATCAGACCCACCGGCTGGAGATCTGGTGCTCCCAGCTTCATTTTCACAGAGCAATCATCTCTTTCTAAAAACATCAAGGGGGCAACCACAGTGTAACAAGCACAGTTCCTATACCACAATTCCTGGACCAACAGCTCTGAATGCCTTTATCCTTTAATTTAGAAGTGCAGGCTCTTGTCTTTACATACAATCCCAGAAAACATAATTCCACACAATGCTTTCCATTTTGGTTGGGCATAGCAGTTCAAGACCACTGCCAGAGCAATCCTGTGGCCCTCATATTGAGTCCAGGGAGGCAGCTCATCCCTTGGATTCTCAGTTCTGTAGTCTGAGACCGAATGCCAGTTTCAGAGCTGGGATCTGCATTTGAATTTGCCTTGTCGCTGGCATGGAAAGGACTGCACAGGTTGCACCAGATGAAAGGTTCACGTGGCCGCCAACCGGATTGCACCAAGCGCTCTTCGTATCTTTCCTAATCAAAGATTGCACTTCCAATCCATAGCACTACTGGGACTCAACAAACACAGGGCCCTTTGGTCTGAGTTCATTCCTAAACTTGTTGAATCAGATCATACCCGGTCTGGGCCAACCCCTGGCACAGTTCCTGGGGAAATCTCCAATTCAGAATTCACTGGCCCTGTATTTTGGCCTACCTGGAATATTTCATACATATGTACACACACACAATCTTCATTTAAAAGAATAAATAAATAAATCTCACACACAATCTTCATTTAAAAAAATAAATAAATAAATCTCACACACAATTTTCATTTAAAAGAATAAATAAATCTCTCTCTCTCTCTCTCTCACACACACACACACACACACACACAATTTTCATTTAAAAGAATAACTAAACCACACAAACACAATTTTCTTTTAAAAGAATAAATAAATAAATCTCACACACAATTTTCATTTAAAAGAATAAATAAATCTCTCTCTCTCTCTCTCTCTCTCTCTCACACACACACACACTCCCAGGAAGGAAAAAAGAATACCAAGGGATATTACAGAAATATAGCTTATAATTTCAACAACTAACCTGTTCATAAGAAAGCAAAACTTTTTTTCTCCCCTAGCCACAGTTAGATCAATCAATTCTCACTTAAGGTCCAACAACAGATTAAACTAATTTATCAAAACATTTGTGAATACTGTCATAACTTTATCATGAAATACATATCTCTAATGATTTTTTTTTACAAATTCTCTTTTCCTAAATATTGGTTGAATTGCTCATAATAAGCTTTCCATTTTCCATTCAATTCTTTGGTAGGTCTTCTGTTTATACAATTTTCTATTATTCCATATTCAGCTAGCTTATTTTTCCAGTCTTTGGTAGCTGGACATTGTTGTGCTTTCCACTTTTATGCTTTTGTAAATCTTGCCCATGTTATCATATATTCAAATAACTCTAGCATGGTTTTTAGAAGAGTCTCTGTTACAGTACTCAGTAACATATTCTTAACATTCATAGGAAAATTTCCTACCTGGAATATTTCAAAGCCATAAATGTCAAGAACACCGACACTGTATTCCTCATATGGCTTTTGCATGGCCTTGTTGATGGACTAGAGTGAAAGAGAACAGACTAATTATCAGGAAATAAGAATTTTGTTATCAGAATCTGCATGAATGTTTGCCTTCAGAGATCTATGGGGAAGCCCAGCCTCTCAAAAGGAAACCCTCCCCATTTGATTCAAAGAACTGGAAGGTAAGAATGGACCTCCAGTTTCTTCCGCAAGCTCTGTTATGTCCCATCCTTCCCTATTTAGGGCCCAAAGAACCACAGACCTGGAAAGATAAATTGGCCCTCACTGAGGGAACTGGGCCTCTTGAGCCTGGAGGAGAGGAGACTTAAAGGGGATCTGTTGGCGACATGCAGGTGTGTGAGGGGATGTCACATGGAGGTGGGGAGAGACCTGTTCTCCCCTGCAGAGGAAGGCAGGACATGCTCCAATGGAGCAAAGCTCAGTGAGCCAACATTCCATTTGGATGCCAGGAAGCACTTCCTGACAGTCAGGACTCCGAGGGTTTGGAATGGGCTTCCACGGGAGGGGGTTGAGGCCCTATCGGTGCGGGTGTTCAAGGATAGGCTGGACGTCTACATGGTGGGCATGTCGTGAGCGGAGCCGGCTGGAGCCAGGGGTCAGACTAGATGGCCCGGGAGACCCCTTCTGATTCGCTCTGTTTCTATGAATCCTCACCAGCTTAAATCTAGACCCAAGCAAAGCTGTCCAAAAATCCATAAAAACTGGAAGTGTTCAATGGGTCGCCATTGGGTTAAATTTCCTCCAGCAAGTCAGTCAGTCAATCAGTTTATTGCATTTAGCCATAGGCCATTACAAATTAACAAGGGAAAACATTGAATTAACAAATAAAATCATAAATCAAGCATATTAAAGCATAATACTAAAAGACGGAACAGGGGTGATTCAGGACAGGGTCCCCTTCAAAACCTCTCTAGCTCTTATCTTTTCAGCTGTGAGTCCAACCCTTACAATTTGGTTTTCAAACAGTAGAAAGTTATAAACATTGCCCAAGCAAAGCAGGTAGCTTGAAAAGAGGGGCTTTTCCCAGCTGTGACACCCCATTTATGGAATGCCCCCCCCAAATGGAACTGATGCTGTTATCTTTTCAGCACCTGTGAAGACATTTCTTCCCTCCAAGGGTTTTAGAGTTTTATCTTATGGCTTTATTTACGTATTTTAAATGCTATTTTTCCTGTGTGTTTCACTGTTGCTCTGTGCTTTTGTTCTTTTGTCACAGAACATCCATTGCAGGGGTGGGGGTGGGACCTGAAGCCCTAATAAACTTTCCCAGGGATGAGCCTGAAGTTTTGTATTCAAAGAATGACAGTGAGAAATGCTGCTGAGATCTTCTAAGATCCCCTCTCTAAAAAGAACTATTCTCCAGATCAAGTAGTGAAGAAGCCAGGGAACTTCTCCTGGGTTCAACAAGCCACCATCCCATTTAGCTCTCTCTATTAAGTCCCAGTCATTGGTTGGACATTGTGTCCAGAGAACCATAGAAACGGAATAGATAGACTGCCAAAACTAGAGCAGTGCCATATTCCAAGCATGGAGTCTCCACGCAGCCTGAAGTGCCTGATCCTGTCCAGGTTCGAAAGCTAAGCGGGGTCAGGCCCAGGTAGTATTTGGATGGGAGACTTGGGGCCTGCGCTGAGCAGCAGGTTGGGCTTTCTAGGCCCTTCCAACTCCGTGGTCCTGTGCTATTGCTTACCTCCACCAAGAAGTCAAAGACCCGTGCATAGAGTCCTTTGGCAAGGGCATCGCGGGTGTAAGATGCTTGCTCTACGTTGAGGGTCACATTGATGGACTCTGACCGGCCTCCCCATTTGCTGTCCATTTTTCTACTGGTGAGCTTTTCATCCAGCCGGTCCTTGTCAATCCCCAGGAGGTAGGCTGGAAAGGCAAGCACTAAGGTGGGAGAACAAAGGAAAGCTCCATTGGTATCTCTAGGAGGCTTGGTAGAACATTTGGAAGAGCAGAACCTAGTGAGATCATCAAAAACTGCATGCATCCAGCTTCCTCTGAGAAAGTCAAGGCAAAACAGCCTTGCAAGGCAAGTTGAGAGAGGCCCCCAATGAGTCAACAGTCTACATTTGTGGGTTTTGTTGGATGGTTCTACTCTGTTTCTATGTTAGCTCTTTCTGGCCTAAGTCCAGCACTCTACCCACTACAAGGACAGGGTGACAAAAGACCATTTCACCAGAGATGGTTTCAGACTCAAAAGGCAGTGTGGCACAGTGGTTCACATATGGGACTTGGGTAAAAGAGGCCCAAAACTGAATTCAGGCAGACGTTAAAAGAAACAATGCAGCTTCCCAAAATCTGAAGGCAAAAGTTTCACTCCTGTTTTGGTTAGCATAGATGAATTGCTTCAGTTTCAGTTCTCCAGTTTTTGGGGTTGTTTAAGCTGAAATGCTTTCTGTCCCAAACATGAAGAAAACGGCACATTTGGAAAAGAACCGAAGCTATATTTTCAGCCAACTCTACTTGATGGAGTAGGCAGAGGCAAATACTTACGGTCTGGACTTTCCACTTGAGCATAGTTGCCCTGTTCCTGGAAACTGATATTGCCCAGGTGAAGAATGCCAGCTATTATCTGCAGGACAAGCTGCTTATCTTGACCTGTGATTCCAATCACGTCCATGGCATTCTGCAGGCAAAGAAAGAAAAACTGAGAAGACAAACCCAAAGATGGTGATGGAAGAGACAGAAAATAGGCCTGCAAGCAAACACTGAGTCTGCCCAAGTTCTCCACCACAATTGCAATTGTTGGTTTTGTAGTTTTGCATAAAAGTCCGTGCACTCTTTGTGAGTATTTTTCCAAATGCATGCATTAGTGGTGTGCATTTTTATTTTTGACTCTCTCTCAAGGGACTTTATGCAAAGATTACATATACTGCTAAGTGTGGGAAGTCAATAATTATTATTACTTCTATCAATTTTATAACCATAGTTTTGACTTAATAATACTTTGTTATTACTAAAGAAAAAAACTATCATGGGTATCAAGTAAATAATAATTCACCTTATAATATATCCACAAACCCATCAGCAATTAGTATTTGATTTTTTCCCTTTTTCCTGGAGGAAATGATATCATAATACAAAAGTTAGATTCATAAAGAACTATGTGCATCTTTGAAGGGCACCCATTTTTCTTTGCCTGCTTCAAGTGAGTACATATGTGCATTTTTCAAAAGAAAGCATTTTCCTCATGCATTTTTCAAATGCTCTAGTCCCTAAATCACATCACAATTTGAGAATGTGCAGGTTTCAACTGCCACATAACTGAGTTTGGGCAGCACAAGCCACACTTACAGGTTAAACCTGGGTTGTCACTGAACCAGCCAAAACAACAATGTTTGCTAAAAGTCCTTCCCCACAAACTGCATTTACTCTCTAAATTCAACAGGCAGTTGTATAGCCCTCTGTCAGGGATGCTGGAACTTGGAGTCCTGCCTTGAGCAGGAGGCTGGACTCAATGGCTTTATAGGCCCCTTCCCATTCTATGATTCATGAGTTGTTCTTGGTTAACTAACTTGGCTTGTTAGTGCAGCTGGGTTCAGAAAATACCGCAACCCACAGTTAAACCACAATCTACTTTCAACCCATATTCAACCCAGAAGCATGGCTTGTCTGAACGCTGTCACTGAGCCTGTCTGGAAGGGATGGCCTAGGCAAATGCAGATTAAAAGATGAACCAAAGCCAATCCCGAAAAAGAAGGCATGGCAATCCATGCAGTGACACATGGATTACAGGGTTTGGCCCCAGGGCTGACAATAGACACTCACCATGGTCTCATGGAAATCGCTTCGATCATCTGTACCATCCACTTTGTATGCATCCGATTGGCTTAGATAATAGTAATAGTCCGGGGTCATAATCCCCAGGTTATGCTTCTGTTCTTGTGAGGCTCCCTCGATGAGCTGTGTGTACGAGAAGAAGGGAAAACATTGCACAACACCACAAACACAATAGCAGCAGGAATGGCTGGAAATCAGTGATTCACCTGAGGTGCCAGGAAACACCTGGCTCAGTCTATTGCTACTGTGCACCTGTACATAACAGCAGTAGTTGTCTGCATAAGCTCGTGTGCCATCGGTTCCCCTACCTGGTAATAAATGTGGAAGTTTCTCTCACTCTCATTTTGGCTCACTACCCGGGACTTTTCCAGCAGGAAGTTGGAGATCTTCCCCCCATCGGGCTCACCTCCACGACTGAATTGGATTTCAAAGTATTTCCCCTGGTGGGAGACACAGTGGATTGGATTAGGCAAAGGAGCATGGGTATGTTGTGAGCTCAAGAGCTGCAAGAATCCAGAATGTATGCCCCAGGATTGTCTGCAAATGAGACTTTACCCAGCAAGTCACATGATTTTGGAGCTTCTGCATGTTAGCTCAGTTTTGGTTTGTTTCCTTGGATTTTAATGCCAGTTTTAGACTGGATAGTGATTAAGGGTTGAAGCATTTTCCTTATTGTATTTCCCACCCTGAGATCTAAATGTCTTAATGAATACAGAAACCTGAAAAGACTTACAAATCTGCTGGAATTGTTGTTTCTGACGGTTTTGGCATTGCCAAAGGCTTCAAGCAATGGATTGGACTGGAGAATGATGTCTTTGACATGCTAAAGAAGATAGAAAGTCATCACTGCATTTATAGTCTACCTTTTTCCCTCTTGCAAGAAACCCAATAATGGCTAATGGAACCCCCTTTTCCCTTTTAAAGTAGGCAAGGTGGAAAAGCAGTGACCAAGTTCTGACAACTTTTTGTTGCAGTTGTTCTGTGACAATGAGGTTAGATAGGTGGCTAGAAACAGCTGTCTGCAGGGTTTGGTGGGCTGCAGAATGGCCAGGAAAGCCCACCAAGAAAAGTGGACTTTCCTGGCCATCCCAGGATACTTCACTCAGAGATGGAGACTCTGTTGATTTAGTCAAGGCTGCAGAAGCCCTGAAACTCATTTGGCCTGGGGATCATCCAGGGCTTAGAAAGAGAGAAATAGAGCAAGTCAGAAGGGGCCTCCCAGGCCTTCTAGTCTGACCCCTGTCTCCCACAGCTCTGCTCATGACATGCCTTCCTAAGAGAGGGGGCAGCTCTCATCCCTGGAGCATTTCCCCTTCAAAAATCATTCCCTTTATTGTCCAAGAGGGAGCTGAATGCCATGCGAAGCCAAGGTGAGTCCACACTGCCTCGTGGCATTATGGGAAACCAGAAAGGCAACCCATTAAGAACACAATTCTTACATTTTTAATTTTGGGATTATCAATGAGAAAGGAGCCTCCACACCTGGGTGCCCACCTGGGCCTCCAGACTCCCATCGCCTGCGTGGTGGCTGAGAGTCCCACACGTCTAGAAGGAGAACATGCCCCTAGTTACGGCCTGCCCAGACACACAACTGAATCCCCATGACATTTTGAGAAAATGCTTCTCCTCCCCGCAGCTTAAAGGGAAGGGAACGGCAGGAAACGAACCAGAGAACCAGGATTTCTTCAGCTGGCTCATCCCTGCTGAGACGTACCTGCACTTTCTCGCCCCCTCCCGACACTTTGGAAATGTATCCCATGATGTATTTGGCTGCCACCGTCTTCCCCGCACCACTTTCGCCACTGAAAAGACACACGTGGAAACAAGGGAGGGGGAAGCGGAACAGCGTGAACTGAGGAAGCAAGAAAACAGCAGCCGGTAAACCCAGCAAGGGCTCCATATGGCCCCGGTTTGCGGGCATTTGCCTTGCAGAGAAACAGCAAGATCCCGGCCAGTTTCAAGCCACGGGATATTTGCTCAGTCTGTGGGGCTTTCCTCCATCCAGCCTTTTCCTTTCAGCTGCTCATGGTGCGCCATGATGGTGAATCTATTGTGGGAGGAAGTTCAGCACCACGGAGAGCTCCTGAGAAGCGTCAACAGCCGAGGTGCATCACCAGGGATTTGGGCAATGAGAACCTAAAAAGAGCCCCGCTGCTGGAACAGCCCACAAGCACATGCGGTCCAGTGTTCTGTCCCCATGGAGGCCAACCAGCACCCTCCTACCCATGTTCCCCAGCAACAGATGCACAAAGGCATATGCCTCCTGTACCAAAGGCAGCACAGGGCCATGAGGACTAGGAGCTTTGATTGCCTCCTGCCCCACCATGAATTTGCCCAATCCCCTTTGAAGGCCGTCCGACGTGGTGGCCATCACATCTTCTTGTGGCAGTGGGGTCCATAGTCAACTCTGCTCCAGGGCCCCTCCAGGGTTGCTCCTTTTCCTGCCACATATTTCCATAGATCCACAGCCCCCTTCGTTGCCTCTTCCCATATGGCTCACTGTTGCCGATGCCTGGCTTTTGGTTCCCCTGCTCTGGGCCACCATCTTCTCTCTTTCTTCTCCCAGAGTGCCTGGAATACTTTGCTGCCCACGCTCCCCAGATCCAGAGTGTGGGACAAACCAACCTCCTGCAGCCCTCCTTCTCCAAACTCTGCTCCAGAGAAGAATTTGGAGGGGTGCAATCCCAACTGCAGGAGGGGCCAAAGCAAAGGAATGGGGCCAAAATATCAGCTTATTTTTACTTTCTTCCAATAACCTGCCATGAACGTCCCTCTTTTTTGGTACAAATAAACTCGGAACAAAAGAAGAAAAGCAACAACAAAAAGAAGAAAGCAACTAAGCCTGCAGACAACCATGAACCATACAGAAGTGGTTGGATTCCAGTTCCCATTTTCCTGGATGCTTGACTATGCTGGCTGAGGCTGATGGGAACTGAAGTTTGGACAGAGAGAATGACACATATTCCCCATGCCTACTGTAGAATCCAAGATATGTGTGTAGGAAGGAAAAGCTTCACCTGTTGAATATCTGCCTGCCATGTTAAAGGGCAAAATAGATTACCATCATCTCTGCCCTGTCCTCATGGATTTTTTAAAGGGAAGAGGGCAGAAGATCCGCTCAAGCTGGTGCGGTAGGAGGGAAATGAGCTTTGCAAGCGTGAAAAGAGAAGTTGTTTCGTAACGGGCAACAAATCTGCCTGTTGCAATGATTTCATCAGGGGTCAGAAGGAACTGAAAAGTGTGTGGATGCTGCATCCCACAGGGCCCAGTAGTCTCCTGCTATTTTTCTTTTTTCCATACAGCAGTGGACGTTTCATCTTTTATTTTCTTTTTTAAGAGGGTGTGATATGGGGCTGTTTTCTCCTTTGCTGCAGCCCCAGCAAAACCAAAACTTCTGCATGTATGAGGCAGCAGAGCTTCAGTTACAGGAAAAAAGGTGTCTGCCCATATTTCAGTTTACAGTTTTGGTTCCTATAATTCAATAGTTGCAAATATAGTATTAAACTCATTTTCTTTTCCTTTCTTTTTTAAGGATGTCCATTTACTGTGGGTTTTTCCCAACCTCCCTCCTGTCAGATTTATTGGGCTACTATGTCTAGCACCACCAGACAATAACAGCCATGCTGGTGGTGGGTATTGTAGTCCCCTCCACGCAACCATTCATTTGGAGGGAATCAAGGTAGACTCTCAAAACAGAGACAGAGGCTGGAGGGTATGTATTGTGCTGAAAATGTGCCTTCCAGAAAGGAATAAACAGCAATCCCTTTTCCAGGAAGTTGCCCTTGTTTGTTTTGTGTTGACACGTACCTCATAAAATCAGTAAATTCTGTAAATGTAGCAAGCTTCTGCATCTCATTCTTTATCCCTTCTGGGACTGCAGACGAGCTGTCTGTTTCTCACCATCAAGCAAATAGTGCTATGAATCCACTTAAATACAGATTATAATCCTTTGATTCTATTCCCCCGTTCCCATGGCAGAGCTAAAGTTTGAAAGAGATCAGGGTTTGGAGAAAGATGATTCCAAAGCACATCTTGGGAAGAATTTCCAACGCTTTAACAGTCTGGAGTTTGCCTGTAGGAGCTTCATCGGTGTGAATGGGCATGAGAATCCTCATATTAGCTTCCACGTAGCCTGAAGTGCCTGATCCTGCCTAATCTTGGAAGCTAAGCAGGGTCAGGCCTGGGCAGAACCGGGATGGGTGACTTGAGTGTATGATTCTATGATTATTGCTGTATACTGCCCAGAGAGCTTTGGCTATGGGCAGTATAAAAATGTAATAATAATAATAATAATAATAATAATATTGAAGCAACTCTAGGCCAGGAGAGCTCCATATAGACTTACATTCTGTGCAAAGACAAGGCAAAATATATAGAGGGCATAAAGAGTCCCTATGCCACTACATGGTGGCGTTGCAGCAGGAAAACATGTGAGGGGGGCTGTGCTCTCCATCTTCTCCATCCTCATGGGAACATTCATGCTGTTTTTATTTCATTACATTCATATCTCACCTGTTTTCCCTCCAAGGAACCCAAAGTGCTCTGTTTTATTCTCACAACAACCCTGTGAGGTAGGCCAGGCTGAGAGTCAGTGACTGGCCCACAGTCACCCAAAGAGCTCATGTCTAAGTGGGGACTAGAACCCAGAGTTCCCAAATCCCCGCTCTTAACCATGACAGCATACCCATTCGTGGCCAGTTACTTTCCTTCGGGTCTCTCCCGCTGGGTTTTGGGGATGCGCATGATGTATAACCAGGCATGACCACCATGGCAGCCACTTCCTGAATGGGGAAACTCCGCCTTTGTACGTACAGCAGGGAGTCATCTTGCATCAAAAAAGTCACACTCTTTGCCCAAGGTTCCAACCACACACACCAGAATCCCCACCCACTGGGGATACACCTTACCTGATAATCACACACTGGTTCTCCCCGTCAATGAGCATGTTCCGGTACATGTTGTCAGTCAGTGCATAAATATGCGGTGGGTTTTCATACTGAGCCTGGTGCATAAACCAGAGGCACAAGGTCAAGGCTATATGACAATCCTTTCAACAGCCATTTGAGCTCACATGATCCAAGAACTGAATTCTGCTCCTGAGAGGGCTGCAATCCAAGACCCATTGACTTGGGAGTAAGTGCTTGGCATGAATAGGACATCCTGCACAGGTTGTCCTCTTTCCTTACACTTCATCATTTCTCAGGTTACATCTGTACAGTACTTCTGATGGAAAGACTCACAAAATCTCCCTCTGTGAGGCCATATTTCTCTGAATGCTCTATTGTTTATGTCTGTTTACAGATTGCAGTCCCCTTGGGGCAGGGACCAGTTCTGTCATCCTTTATAAAATGCCGTGCACCAAAATAATCATTCATTCTACAAGATGCTTTCTACCCTATCAGTTTTCTTTTCTTGATACACAATTCTACTCCCCTTCTATTCTATTCATTTCTGGTTCCCCCATCCCTCTGCTTTGGTTACATCAGGCTGTTTTTCATTCTCCTCCTCTTCCTCATCTCCATACCCCCCCCCCACATGATTGTTTGCATTTCTGCAATCCTTGGTGCTCCCCATGGATGGAAGATTGGGGAATTATTAGTGCTGGCATTGGTGGGGCAAACATAGGAACATAGAAACAGCGCGAGTCAGAAGGGGCCTCCCGGGCCATGTAGTCTGACCTCCAGCACCAGCCGGCTCCGCTCACAATATGCCCACCATGTGCATGTCCAACCTATCTTTGAACACCCTCACCAACGGGGCCTCAGTCACCTCCCAGGGAAGTGCTTCCTGGCATCTAAATGGGACCTTGGCTCCCTGAGCTTGGCTCTGTTGGAGTGCGTCCTGCCCTCCTCTGCAGGGGAGAACAGGTCTCTAAACACCTCCATGTGACATCCCCTCACACACCTGTATGTCGCCAACAGATCCCCTCTGGGTCTCCTCTCCTCCAGGCTGAAGAGATCCAGTTCCCTCAGTCTCGCCTCATACGGCATCCCCTGCAAACTGGCCACCAACCTTGTGGCCCTTCGCTGCACTGACTCCAACCTGGCTGTATCCTTCCTGTAATGAGGGGCCCAGAACTGAGCACAATACTCCAGTTGCGGGCGCACCAGAATCGTATGGAGGGGCAAGAACAGCAAAGAAACCCTCCAAACCCCTAAAAGCAGTATGCACCCACCTGTCTGTTTTCAGAGATTTCAACCCACATTATCCACACACTTTCAAACTTGTCCTTGCGATCTTAAAGACTAGAAACTTGAAATTGCCTGGCAAAACAAAGTTGCACAGTCAAGAGTTCTCTGCACTTTTTGCTCCCCAAAGAGTTGGGCCCATTTTACTAATTTTGCTCCAATGACCATTTCCTGCCAGTCTGGTGCCTGCATCTCTGTGGAGTCTTAGAAATAGCGCTGCCAGGACAAAACCTGTGTGCCCGTCTCGTCTCTCTCTTGTCACATCCAAATGCTCCTTACCGCTCCTTGGTAGAGTTCAATTTCTCGGTCTGTGAAATAAGGCATCTGTTTGAAGGGGTTGACGGAGATGAGGACTGGGCCAATATATGTCTGAGCATCACTTGTTAAGGTCCAGACGAACGTCAGTTAGGAAAACCCACCTTCGGTTCCGGGACAGATTTTTGGCTCCAAGGACCAAACACCCCAACTCTTTCCCCAAAAGCAGCACTTCTGTGAGCTTACTCCAAATGGGAAAAGAGGTTTAACATGAACATCACTGCTGAATATGCATTATTGTTGTTGTTTTCCATAAAATATGATTACGCAGTGCCAATTTTTAAATATATAAAGCTTCCCAAGGTGGCTAGCAAGTAACAACATGAAACAAGTATGTATATACTCATAGTACAGATTTTTCTTGTTAGTATACAGAACACTAAACTGCTCAGGATCAGGAAATCCACCTGATTGCCAAACTCTCCTTTCATCTTGCAAGGAAGACATATTGATTGTTGCTCAAGCTGAACTTGGTAACGGGACCTTCTTGGTACTGGCCACCCTTACTGTCTATTTTCTGTTTACAAGTGGCAGAAGGTGGGTGGAACCTTAAATGCCTCTCTGTGACAGGCAGAAGATGTTGAAGGCATAGAGACAGTGTGGTGTAGTGGTTAGAGAAGCGGGATGGGAATCAGGAAGTTTGGGTGTCCACCCAGCCATGAAGCTTGCTGGGTGAGTTTGTGCCAGTCACAGACTCTCAGCCTACCTTACAAGGTTGTTGTGTGGATAACAATGGAGAAGGGAAGAGAATTAGGAAAGCTGCCATGGGTTCCATGCATAAAAAGTGGGAAATAAATATAATGAAGAACACTCTGTTGTGCACGTGTGTGATGTGAATTGCTTTAGAAAGCAGCTTTTTGCAACCGGGTGGCCACTGTATGTGTTGGGTGGGTGTTGCTGGGAGTTGTCGTCCCCATATCAAAAGAGGAAGATTGAAATTGGATGGACTGAAAGGGCAGCACTGAAATACTGTTCCAATAAAAATCATTGATGGATAAAAGCACAAAAAGACAACGTTTGAAATAAAGGGCAGCTTCAGTCAAAAGCCGTCCTCAAATTAATAAGGCCCATTTCAAATGACCATGATTGCAAGCCAGCCAAGGGTCCCATGAAATTTATTTTGCATTGTTTTGGAAAGAAAAGCTGCCCAGGCAGAGCTCTGTTTTGCACCCTCCCCAATGCATGGCCCAGCTCCCTGGGGGGGGGGGGAGCAAACAGCAGTGGTCACCCACCCACCCCAAGATAAGGGAGAATATGTATAAATAATTCTGCCGAGTGACATTTTTTCTGTGTGTTGTGGGGGAGGCAGAGGGAAGAACCTGACAAATATCTACCAGAAAAACACCTTCTGAGAAATGTCTCATTTCTAGAACTTACTGATAGTTCCTCTTTTCTTTTGGGAAGGCAAGACTGCCTAAAATGAGAGAGGAAACAGAGCCTTCCACCAGCCCTTCTGACAAGCCATTTGCTTTTTTCTCCCCTCTTCCTTCCCCATCTCCATTTCCTTTCCTGTCATGACTTTGTACAATTCTAGTTTGTAGCAACAAATGTAAGTTGACTCAAGACAGACATTAGCTGATTAATAGAATTAATATGCCTTAAATAGAGAGCCAGTGTGGTGTCGTGGGCTGGGACTTCAGCAAACTGGGTTCTATGCAGTCAACTGGGTGGCTTGGGCCAGCCACAGGCTCTCAGCCCAGCCTACCTCACAGGGTTGTTGTTGTGATGATAAGCCTGAGAGCAGTAGGAGAAGAATAATGTCAGCTGCTTTGAGTTCTTGAAAAGAAACCTTATTTATAACCCTAATAAATAAGTAACAAAATAAATACATAAAAACTATAAAATAACAAGAGGAATGCGAGCATGTGGAGTTGGGAGATGCTTGCTGCATACCAAGATGGGCTCCTCTGATAAGGGAGAACAGAAATCATTTAGAGACAAGTATTTTTGTTTCTTTTATGTTGGCACCAAAGTGGACCAAAACATTTCAGAAGATCAGTCTTTGCTTTACAGGCTACAGCAAAGCCTTTGACTGTGTGGATCATGTGAAATTATGGGTGTTCCTGAAAGAAATGGGGATACCTCAGCGCTCGATCGTTCTGATGGATAACTTGTATCATGGTCAAGAAAACTGGAGAAACACAATGGCTTCCTATACATGAAGGCATCCGACAAAAGTGTATTTTATTTCCTCCAATCTGTACACCAAATGTACCATAAAGAAAGCTGGATTAGGATCAAAAGAAGGAGTGAAAATGGGTAGACCATCCATCCATAATTTAATATCACTGATTGAAAGCATTGAGGAATTGAAGGGATTTCTGCTGAAAATGAAAGAAAAAAGTTCAAAAGCAGCACATGAAGAAAATGAAAATCCGTGACTACAGAAGAATTACAGAATTTTATGGTGGAGAACAAAGGAATCAAAATTATGAAAGTTTAGAAACATAGAAACAGAGCAAGTCAGAAGGGGTCTCCCAGGCCATCTAGTCTGACCTCTGGCACGAGCCGGCTCCGCTCACGACATGCCCACCATGCGCATGCCCAGCCTGTCCTTGAACACCCTCACCGATGGGGCCTCAACCACCTCGCGGGGAAGCCCATTCCACACCCTCGGGGTCCTCACTGTCAGGAAGGACTTCCCAGCACTAAATGGAATCTTGGTTCCTCTGAATATCTTTCAAAAAAAAGTTTCTGCATATCTTGGCTCAAACATCAGTTCAAATGGAGATTATGGTGGTGAAATTTGAAGAAGACAGAGACTTGGAAGATCCTGCAAGGAAGGAACTAGATAATATCCTCAAGTTAAGGATGTTTCTCTGGAGACTAAGGCCAAGATCACTGTTGCCTTCCTGTGCATGAAAGCTGGGCAGCAAAAAAAGCTGGAAGACCAACGGATGTGCTGCAAACCATGGTGCTGAAGGACAGCTCTGCAAATTTGCTGGATGGACAGATAAACAAATAACTCCTGGATCAAATCAAGCCAGAATTTGTCCTGAAAAATGATGAAGCATTGGACACATCACGAGAGGACAACAAACATGCTTGAGAACATTGAAGGCAGGAGGGAAGGAAGAGCACATAACAGATGGCTTGAATCCATCAAGGAAGCTACCATCTTGCATTGACAAGACGTGAGCAGGGCTGTCAGGAACAGAAAATTTTGGAGTGATTTCATTTATAGGGCAGCTGTAAGTGGAAATGACTTGATGACACGTCACAACAATTGCCCAGCTCCTTAAACTTCTGCCACAGCTTTTCTTGCTCAGTAACTCCCATCCCCGTCAAGTAAATTTCATTCCCTTTGATGTGGCAGATGATGGGAGAATCAATAATGACTGAAGAACTTCTCCTGATCACTGAGCTAGTCTCTGCAGCTGTGGTGCTGTTACGTTGTTATTTTTATTTTGCCTGTGGCGGTGTGGATTTCCCCTGCTTTGCACTCATGTGTGGTTCTCTGTGAGTTCCTGAAGAAGGACCGCATGGCTCTAAAGAAGCATTTTGCGATGGCTGTGTGAACACCCACCACAGAGCACTCATGATCATACATGATCCGTCTTCCTTCTTTGTGCAATGCGGGTTGTTCCTGAGACCAAAAACAGTTCCATCTGGCTATTTTTGTATGGATTGTTGTTACAACACACCAAGGGTGGAGATTGACAGCTCTGAGAAGCTATTGATTTGGCTTCCAAATCATGCTTTTCTCTGTGGCTCTGAGGAGTAAAATATTTGCAAAATTTTATGCAGTTTTGAGGATTCCCCACCCCTTCGTTTTGCTCTCTTGATTTTACAGTTTCTTGGTTCTTTCTGCAATGGGAGAAGGTGCTGGAACAAGGGAATCTGGGTAAACCTCCTTCTGCACCCCAGCCAGTTTGAACTTACCTTAAAACTCATGCACCTCAGTTTCCACTATGACATGAATTTCTGACAGTTGGTAAATCAGAAAGCAGTTCTCCCCTGCAGCTCACTGACTTCACTAGGCACCAGCCCCCTCTTTGCAAAAGCACTTTAAAATGATAACCCATCACCTCTGGCCATTTTATGTGATAGTGGTTGGACTGGGAAAGGAGAATACATTGACCAAATCATATCACCTAACTCAAAGTACAGTTTAAAAGGAGGGAAGAGAATAAGAGAGGGGGGAGCAAATGAAGAAAACAGGTATTCCTTTGAGGAAAACCTCATCATAGTTTTTGCCCGAAGCTCTCTTCCAATGCATCACTGATTTGCTGATTAGGGCTGGGATTTATTGATTCAGGGGATCGCAGAACTGCCAAGGGGTAGTTTGCCAGTAATTTCACAAGGATGTTAGTGGAACTGTGGCTTACAGCGTGTGACACCAGCACCTTTTTGGTAGCAGCGTCAGTGGCCCAAACTGCAGACCTTCTTGTTCCCTCCAAGCTTAGATGCAAACCACGTCATGGCAGCTGCTGGGGTTTGAGGACGGCTGCATTCTCCTAGGACCAGATTGGGATGCAAAATATTTGGGAGCAGCTTCAGCTTGTGTGGGCAGTAAAAGCCATCAGCTCACAAAAGAACCGCTGCTAGCTAGTGGAGGTGAAAATTGGTTAGAACTGGTTTGTTGATAGGGACTGGCGCAGCTGGCCTGGTTGTTGGACTCACCTTGGTGGTGCAGCTATGGGGTGGGGGGGGGGAGGTATCATGAAGAGTGCCTGCATGTCCAGCTAGCCAGATGCAGTGGGGAAATGGCAGGGGAAGTGACACTCACTCTTGGGCTTCCTGGAAGCCTCCGAGGCGATTGCTTCTGCCAACAGAGCACAAGAGTCGACATCAGTTCTGTGGGTTTTTCCTCCCCCAGCCCCTTCCCTTTCTTCTTCTCTTTTGAACAAGCATTGTTTTTTTGGAAATGACATTTTCTGCACCAGACATAAATGGATGCATCGCATCTACTGATCTTGCATATTTCACTACCTGCACAGCCCACCCCGCTCCACTTTTAAATGACAACGACAACAAATCCTTGCGGTTTTGCGGTCAAGGCTTCTTGTCATCCTCTGGCTGCAGCATTGCCAAATTTGGCAGCTGCAACCAAGTGCTAAGCCCTCCTCTTCCTTCACCTTCGCCTTGCCGCTCCTCCCACTGCCATTTTGCCCTGTGGAGCAAAGGGGGCGGCTTCATGTCCCCACCCTTAGCACACCCCATGTCTGCATCTCCAACTTGTGTGGTTCCCACATGTTTTCTGAAACCTTGTGCCAGATAATTGTTGCGATCACAACAATTATCTCTCTGAGAGACCCAGAGGGCCTGGCTAATGGTCGCCATATAGGTTAAAGAATCGATCCTCTTTGTATAACCTTTTATGAAAGCGTTCCCTAGGAAGGGTAATTTATTGACTCATCATGCAAGGTCCCTGGAAGGTTTGCAGAGATGCTGGACACCAAAGGGGCTCAGGAGTTTAGCTTGCATCTTCGCCTACCCCACACCACTGGCATATGTGTGGTTTCGCCCACCAAAGGATACAAAGATATAATCATCCATGAACCGCTTCTTTAGATTTTCAACAATGGCATCCTCGTTGATCTTGGAGAGGAGGACCATGTCGTCCACGCCGCTCTGCTTGACATTGTGACTCTGCCAGTGGAAGCGTTCCTTGCTGCCCTGCAAGGTAGGCCATGGAATGATTTGAGAGTGAGAAAGGAGAAAAAGAGCTGCAGCCCATCCTCAGAGAATTCCAAGTTATCCCCAAGAGGCAGGGACTGTGTGTGGCCAGGACCGGCCTGGACCAACCTGGGATCCTCCAGGAGGTTGGCCTACAAGTCCCATCAGCCACAATCCGCATGGCCAGTGGAAGCCAGTAGCAGGCCAAAACATATGGAATGTCCCAAGACATGGAGGACTGACCCGCTCCAGGGGCAGAAAACTCATATGGGTCTGGTGGCCAGATAAACACTATTCTGATTATTGGAATAACGCTATTGATTGGAGAGGGATAACTTTCTCTCTCTGTGTTGTACTTGATATATTTGTGCATGTGTGTTGCAGATGGTTGAAAAGTCAAGCCTGACCCATCATGACCCCACAGACAACATTCCTCCAGGCCTTCCTGTCCTCCACCATCCCCAGGAGTCCACTCAAGCTCACACCCACCGCCCCAGTAACTCCATCCAGCCACCTCATCCTCTGCCATCCTCTCTTCTTTTGCCGTCAATCCTTCCCAGCATCAGGGTCTTCTCCAGGGAGTCCTTCCTTCTCATTAGGTGGCCAAAGTATCTGAGTTTCTTCTTCGGTATCTGGCCTTTTAAAGAGCTGGTATGTGTGCATACAATGTTTATATATAAAATTCGTATTTTATATATTTATATGTAAATATAAAATATGTTTGAATATGTAAAATTAGCATTTTATATCATGTATGTGTTTAAAAATGCATTTGTAAAGTTTTAATCTCTTTAAACTGCTTGGTTAATGACTGTTTAGAAATGTAATAAAGGAAAAGTTATTATGATTGCTATTAATCTCATTTCCAGGCCACTCAAGTAGTGGAAACCACCTGGACCCTTTACAGCAATACACAAAGTTAGAAAATCACAAACCACAGGAAAACACAGGAAACATTTTAAATTTGCAAATAATAAAAAAAAGATGATGATGAAGTTTAGTGGGCCAAATTTAGCCTGGAGGTTGGAGATTCCCCTCTCCCATAATCTACTGCAGAGAGTACAGATTTTTAAGAATAATCTAGGAATGCAACAAGAAAACATGAACACTTATGGCTGCTCTCCTGGGGGTGTTTGGAAAGAAAAGATATGGAAATAGTCAACATATCTCAGTCAGTGTAAGAAAAAGGGGCCTTCACCTACCAGCACGCCCCGGCCTGGATGGAAAAAGTTTGTAAAATTCCCAGCATGCTCCAGACTACATGGGGAAAAGGTCCTTCATCTCCCAGAATGCCCCAGCCAGCATAGATGATGGAACCACTGGAAGCTGTAGGACCTCCGCTCTCTCCATCTAAGCAAGCATAGAATTGCCTGTTTCTTGCACAAGATATAAGTAAGAGAGAGCCAGAAAAATAACTTCCACTTGCTATTTCTGGAAATCGTCTTAACTCACTCAGGATACAGAACCCCTTTATAATTTGCTGAGACTTGGTTCAAAATGCAGCCTTGATTGTCTTAGCTGCTGCTGAATTTATACATCTCCAAAAATAATTCACCCGCAATATCCTGCAGTGCCCAGCTGATCACTGAAATGTAGCTTAAGAGCGCAGTTTTGCTCTATGACAGAAAAGGAAAAGATGAATCATGTACATGACACTGGGGGCAGTGTGCTGGACCTTTGAGAGCAGCAGTTGAATCCCTGCTCAGCCATCTGGGTGATCAGTCACAGGCCTACCTTACAGAGTTGTTGTGGGAATAGAATGCAGGAGGAGAGAAGGCTTGTGCAAGCTGAATTGGGGTCCTTGACAGAATAAGGTTGGGCACAAATGCAATAAATTCATAAAGAAGACATTTTCTAGGAAAGCACTTTTGCTAATGCATAATCCTTTCATCATTGCAGCCTCAAGTGAAACGTTACTTCCATTCTTGCAGAATATGGATATTAGAAAATGGCAACCCTTGCGATTCCAAGGGTCAAGGACTTCTTCCAAGTCATGCAAATTTCATGTACCTTTTTTTAAATGTTCCAGTTTTGTACAAATTTATTTGTGGAAAATAAGAGCAATGAAAAAAAAACCACGCACACAACCCTAATTACGCATGGCCCTTGTATCCTAAAACATCAGAATGCACAATTTTCAGGGATTCATCTATGTTTTCTGGGGGAGGGGGAATTGGTGCTTTTTCAGGAGTGAGAATTTTTGCAAGTGTGAATTTGCGGAAGTGCATACAAATGCTTTGCACAAGAACCGATTCTGTCACTGAATGGAGAATGGCAAGAAGGGTGTGTGACAAAGAAAGTTGTGCAAAATGTTTGAATGAGATGGCGGGGAGATTAGCATCCAGGTATGCTCTTTCTCCAACTTCTGCAAAATTCGCTCCCACACTTTTGTTGCTGGGAGCCAGAGCACCACAAAGTTGAGAGGTCATCTAGTCCAGCCCCTCTTTTCAGGGCAGGCTCTGTCATGCTGTTCAGCCCCTGTTCGAAAGCTTCCAGCAAAAGAGAACCCTCCAGATCCCAAGACAGCCAGTTCCATGATGTAGTATGCCTCACTGTTAGGAAGTTTCTCCTAATATCCAGCCAAAATGTACCTCCCCACATCATCTCCTGGATTCAGTTCCCCAGACCCCTCAGCATTCTATGATCATCAGAGAAGTCCAGCTGGATCTGACACTTTATCTATCCAGTCCAGGACTCTACACACACGGTGGCAAACCAGGATCCCTCCATCAGGATGGGTGCAAGATCTCCCCCTCCCCAAGCTCCTCAGCAATTAGGGGAAGCCGGTCTGGCCCCACTGGTGAAGGAGGGAGCACACAGCCAGCAACCCCTGCTCCCTCCTGCCTTTATCATCTCCCGCTTGCTCACACCCTTGTTAAAAGGTGTTGCTCATCTCCGTGCACCTTACTCCTTGCTCTCAGGCAGCCTGGAAGCTTCACCTCCTGGGAGCCGAGCCCTCTGCTTCTCCTAATGCAGCCCAAGGGCGCATTAGCTCCTTCAGCAGCTGCAGCACGGTGCTGGCTCGAGCTCAGCTTAGGACCACTAAGGGCACCACCCAGCCCCTTTTTAATTTCCAAAGCAGGGCCCCCACACCCGCTTCTTGCATTCCACCACCCCAAAGAGGGAGTGGCTTGGAAACAGGACTGCAGCCTGGGAATAGTCTGGCCCTATCTGGTCCTCGGCTTAGCACCCCAGCCTCTGAAGTTTCCAGATAGTTCTTGCAATGGTCCTTGCCCCTCTGGTTTGCAACCTGCATTTGAAACTCGACACAAGAGGGACAAGGACTGGAGGGGAGGAGGCGAAAAAAGCCATCCTTTAAGATCAGGCCAGGGGGCCCTTTTGCAAGTGCCATCCCTCGAGGGAGGCAGATGAAGGGCCTTCTCGGTGGCTGCCCCCTGCCTCTGGAATAATCTCCCCTGGGACATCGGCCTGGCTCCATCTACTATTGTTTTGGTGCCAGGCAAAAACGTTTCTTGTTAATATCCTTTTTAGTAATCGATCCTGTCCCCCTTCTCACTGCTCGCTTTGTTGTGATTTAGTTAGGTTTTAAATTTTGATAATGGAGATTCATTCTCTATTTATTGTTATAGGCATTTTATCTTTTATTGTAAGCCACCTTGAGACTTCAGTAGTAGGTGGCACATAAATGGAAGTATAGATAAATAAAACAAATATAAAATTTAAATCTTACGAGGGCCAGCTAGGATGGATAGAAAGACTTTCTTCCCCAAAGCCTAAAACCTGGACCAGAGGATAATGGATACCCCAAATTGTGTGGTGGGCAGAACTTCAGGATTCAAGGATTCCAATTCCCTAGCCAGATTCCTCTGATTCTCTCTTTAGCGCTCTGCAGCTGTACATTTAATGATCCTTAAGCTAAGAGGCAGGGTAGCGTCGTGGTTAAGAGTGCAAGTCTGGGACAAAGGAGACACAGGTTCGAGTCCCCGCTCAGCCATGGGGCCGACTGGGTGACTTTGGGCCAGTCACAGACTCTCAGCCCAGCCTACCTCACAGGGTTGTTGTGGTGGGAACAAGATTGAGAGCAGGAAGAGGAGAAAGATGGAAGCAGTTCTGAGTTCTTTGTAAGAAAAAGTCTGGGTATAAATCTATATAAAATCTATTTATAATTATTATAAATTTATAATTATTATAAATTATTTTATAAATAAAATAATTGCAGGGTTTTCATCCCTTGACTATGCAGATCTTGCTAAAAAAGAAACAGCCATCTCCCAACAAAGAAAACACCTGTTTGAATATGCACTTGCACCTAAAACGCTGGCAGCACACTTGCAAAAGGACAGAGAACTGCATCTAATAGCACAATGGACTAGAGACTTAACAAAGCTTTACACTTTTGAACCAGGCTCTTCTTTTGGGATCAGCTTCAAATGGATTAGTTCTTGGATATCTGGTCTACCTTCTCTGAGAACTACACTTTTTCCCTGGTCTAAAATCTAAAGGGGAAAACATTTCCTACACCTCCATTATAATTGATCTACTCAAATGTCAGTTAGGAAAACTATACATTTATTTATGTATTTTTGATAGCACCCCCAACTCCAAAATCAAGCTTCTAGAAACCCCAGGGACAGAGCAGAATCTTGAAGTTTTAAACTTCCACCTACACCTATACAAGGTATACCCCAGAGAAAGGAAAACAGGGGGAAACTGAAATCAGTAGGGCTACCTTGGGACAGACAAAAGGGAGTTTGTGGACTGAGCAGGGAGTTCAAACTCAACAGGGCCAAGTTCCCCCGTTTCGAAATATGTGAAGGCATATGCATATACCCAAGCCAGTGAAACCATGAAATCCAGTAAAATAATTTACGTGTTGTTATTTGAACATGAAAGCCCTCCACATTGTCCCGTCCTCGACAGCCCTGTGCAACTCTTCTAAGTTCAAGGTGGTGGCTTCCTTTGTGGATTCAGCCCATCTCCTAACTTAACTATCCCTCTGAATAGAAGGGGGGCATCAAATTGCCAGGGGGAGACCAAAAAGAGGGACCCTTCCTGGTCAACAGAGGCACCGAGGACATATGAAATTTAGCTTTAAACTCAAAAATACAATCCGCATGTAACAAGAAACCACTGTGGGTGAATTTCCTGGTGGGCCTTGAGTGGCCGCCATTTTCAATATTCAAGTTATGGGGCGGGGGGGGGGCACATGCAAAGCCAGTGAGGCTGGGTTGTCAGGGATGGTTAGCAAGGCACCCAAACAGCCTGTGAGTTACGGAGATGGTGGGTTCATCTATAAGGCTAAAGGGTTCCATAGAAGCCTGGACTGAGTTGTGAGGGTGTCCACACCCTTCCATTCTTGCAGGATATACAAACTTCTTCCTCTGAGGTTTGCACATTGGCCTGAAGAATGTTGATTTAAAGGAAGGGGGAAAGCGGAACTGGGCCTGTGTGCAAGGAGTTGAGAAAGCTGTCTGCATCTCCCAGGATGTTGTGTCAAAAAGGGAAGGGGCAACCTGATCCAACCTCAAGCAACCGATTCACCGATGGTGCTGTACAATGCGGGTGACTAGATTATCTGGGTGCTGCAAAACACACACCCTGACCCCACCTTTCGGAAAAAATAAACTGTCAGCCAAAGAGGCCTGAAATTGCAACCCTGCATGAGTCATTGCCCAGGTTTTGCTTCCTTTAAGCCAGGAGGTTTGGCTAGCGAGTTTCACCTGTGTGATAAAACAGCACTTCCTGTACTCACGAGTACAGGGACAGGAAGAAGATGCACTGCTTGTAGTTCAAGTCAAGAGTGATAGCAAGCAGAATCATTTTGGGGACGTTTGGAGTAAACAGCTAAATAAGACTGTATAGGTGGTAAAAGTCAGGGTTGTGCAGCTGTTTGCACTTTGCCCCGGGACTCGAGAGACCTGGGTAACTCAGTGGGTAGCTTCATCAAGCAACTTCCTCTCAACCTAACCTACCTTGCAGGGCAGTTGTGACGAGAAGGATGAGAGGATGAGAAGTGTTCTATAACTCCACCCTGGGTTCCTTGCCAGATAGATAGAATAAATCATCCCATTCCACGCCCATAGAAAAATAGCATGCCAAAGAGAAATGTGGCACAGCCTCGTGCTTTCATTGCATGCTTCTTTTCTGCATGCAGGGATGTCTGATTTTGTTCTTTCTGTGGAGCAGGGGCACCCCATTAGGAGAGCCCTTTGCTACAGCTTGAACAGGGGCAGAAAGGGCCATGGGTACCACACCCTCTGTGGGCAACACTCCCTCCATGGGTCCCCTCCCAGTGGGAGAGTTTCTGGGAGGGTTTCTCTTCCTGCCACTGCAGGCACCATCTGTTCTTGCTGCTCCTCCTCCTCACAAAGGCGCTTGCTTGCTTGCTTGGCCACCAGAAAGCCAGGAACAGGGAGGCTGTGGCCGCCCCTGCTCTCCTCCTCAGCACTGCTGTTGTCTTAGCAAGAGTCAGAGGCCCAAAGAGCAAGCAAGCAGGTGAAACAACAGGTCAGAAGGATAAAGAAGCAAAGCCAGTTAAGGGAACTTTTGCCACCTGCTGTGGACAATTGGGCAAGTACTCATGTATCCCCTTTTCCGCTCGCCTTGGGTACAGCCCCGATGGAGATTGACCGTCTCATGGGGACTAGATTCTTTCAACAAATATGTTTTATCTGGTAGCACAGTGTCTTTTCAGACCATGTTTGTAGCTGCTGCTGCTGCTGCTTCCAATATTGCTGGTTGTTTTATGCCCAACCAAACCAGGAGCAGAGTGGAGGCAAAGCACATGGGGGATGCTGGGACCCTTTCAATTCACCAAGATGCTGCGGTCATCTGGTACCCCCTCAACTTCTCCATCCCCCTCCCCCCCCCCGAGCTCAGTTGCAGTCCTCCCTGGAGCTGCATGAATTGGGGGAAGAGATTTCCTTGGTCATATATTTCTCCTTGTTGTAATGCAAGGCATTTTGGGATAGCTCAGTCCTGGATGCAGAATTTAAAAGGCTTTTCCTTACAAAAGTGAGGTGCACTTGGGGAAGAGAGGAGAGGGAAAACGGGGGTATGGATTGGCACAACTGCCTGCTTTTCTGTGCACTCTCCCAACATGCAATCAGGTTGTGGTGAGTGTCCACACTGACCCAAACAAGATGATCCTCACCTCAGCCTGTTGAAAGCAGGCAGGTGGCTACGCAGGCATATGGTGGCCATGTGTCCCCCTCTGTTCTGAAGGACTGTCTAATCTCAGAGTTTTGGCAATTCACCCACACAGAAAAACACACAGACAGACTCCAGAGTTTTCATGCAGTGATGTTAAACCTGCACACTCTGTATCTGATTTCTAACTTGTTCTGTGCTGCTCAGTGGCTCTTTTATTCTTTGCCATCTTTCTGCTTTAAAAAAGTGTTTTCAAACACCAGGTCGAGAACATCAGAAGAAAATAACAGGCATTGGCTTTCTCTTCATCGTAATCAGTCCTTCCCTAGGGGCACTTAAACAGGTTTCTCTTACCTTATCTTTTTATCTATTTATTATATTTATCCCAACTCATTCTGGCAAGAAACCCAGCACAACTTGTATAACCTTCCTCTTCCTCTTCCTCATATTTCTATCCCACCCTTTCAAGGAACTCAAGGCAGCTTCCATCATTCTCCTCCTCTCAATCTTATCCTCAGAGCAGCAGCCTTGTGAGGTAGACCAGGTGAGGGCCAGGGAGCTCCATGGCTGAGTGGCAAACTCGAACCCAGATCTCAGGTGCCCTAGCCCTGTACTCTTAACCACACCAACTCTCTCAGCTCCCAGCTGATGAGTCCAGGCAACCAAAACATGCTTTTTCTCCAAGTCAGCTCAGGGGTGCAGTACGAGCCATGGAAAGTGCACCACCTTTTTCTGACACAACCTGGACCGAAGCTTCCAAGCTGCACACACAAGCAGCGATGGCCGTCAAACCAGGACGCAAAGTTGTCTCTGCTTCCCACACCCTGCTGAGACTTACCATGGTCTTCCTCCTGTCTCCTGCTCTCCAGCCTGGCTGAGACCACCCCACCAGTAAAAGGGGCCACCAGCTTAAGTCACTGAGATCCACCAGTGGGCATGATCACAGGGGTGAGATCTCTGTGCTGGCTCGGGTGTTATTTGCAACAGCAGAAGCCCAGCAGAAGTGCAACAAGAAGTTCCTCTCCTTCCCCCCACCCCTGACTCGGCGCTCTCCCTCACTTCCTCCTTCAGGTTCAGCCGATGGGGTAGGTGGAAACGAGGGCGGCCCTTGTGCACTTTAAGCAAAGCTGAACCCACTCCAAGAATGACTGTGCTGGACACGGTCCTGAATGGCGACAGGGATTTAGCTGGCTGCTTGAGAAGGAGCCCCTCACAACCAGAGCACAGCAAGACAGAACGCACTGGTGGGTTTGTGCAAAGTCACAGCTCCAGTCGACTGCAGCAAGCCACAAATGCACGGAACAACATCTGGGAGGGTTTGTTGCATGGTGTCCCTTGCCGCTTCTAAGAGAGGGGAAGTGAAAGGAAGGACCAAAGTCAGTGGTTCTGCATCATGAAGCTATGAGATCAGCCCTGCTTAATGGCAGCACCGGCTCCAGTCAAACTGTGCAGCACCTAAGAGCCTGCAGGAGGACCTGGGAGTCCTTGGCAGCAGGGCCATGGATCTCGAACTGAGGGGGGACATGACGTCCCTCTATACGTCCCTCCAAGGCTGTCACAAAGAGAAAGGGCAGGGTCTCTTCTTGCAGATGCCAGAATGCAGGACACAGAATGATCAGTTCAAGTTGCGGCAACCCAGATCCAGGCAGGACATCAGGAAAAGCTTCCTCACTGCCAGGGCAATACAGCAGTGGAAGCAGCTGCCCGGTGGGCGCTCCCACACAGGAGACAATCCAAAAGAACCTGGGCGGCCACCTGAGTGGGATGGTGTGAACTGGCGTCCTGCAACAGCAGGGGGCTGGACCCCATGGCCTTCCTGGCCCCTTCCAACTCTACTATTCTATGGTTCTATGATTCTGTGCTTGCTGGGAATGATAAGAAGTGTAGTCCAATGTATCAGAACAACAGCTTAGCGAAGGCCATTTTAAATGGTTATTTCATTAAAGATAGCTTTAAATGGAACCAGCTTCCTAGAGAGGTGCTGGGCTCTCCCACATTAGAGACATTCAAGAAGAAACTGGGCAGCCACCTGAGTGGGATGGTGTGACTTGGTGTCCTGCAACAGCAGGGGGTTGGACTGGATGGCCTTCAGGGTCCCTTCCAACTCTACTATTCTAGGATTCTAAGAAAGCCCTATGAGGAGAGACTGAGAGAACTTGGCACTTGCCCTTCCTGTTCAGCCTTGAGAAGAGAAGACCGACAGGGGTCATGACATCCCTCTAGAAGTCCTTCAAAGGCTATCACAGAGAGGAAGGTCAAGGTTTCTTCTCACTGATAACAGAATGTATGACGTGGAATAACCAAGTCCAGCTGCCGCAAGCCAGACTCAGGCCGGACATCAGGAAAAGCTTCCTCATGGTCAGAGCGACAGGACAGTGGAAGCAGCTGCCTGGAGAGGTGGGGGCCCTCCCACACTGGAGGCATCCAGAAAGAAACTGGGCAGCCACCTGAGTGGGATTGTGTGACTTGGTGTCCTGCAACAGCAGGGGGTTGGACCCGATGGCCTTCCTGGCCCCTTCCAACCCTACTATTCTATAGTTCTATGATTCTATGCTTGCTGGGAATGATGAGAGGTGTAGTCCAACGTATCAGAAGAACTATGATTCTATGATTTCTCTGGTGGAAGAGAAGGGCTTCCATTTTGCTGGGGCTCAACTTTGCACAGGGGCTGAAGGAGACTGGAAAGAAGCCACAGGCCAAGAGCGCAGGCGACCAGAGCTGAAGGTGCAGGATTGCCGAGGAGAAATAAGCATCTCTCCCCAGGATACAATCAAGGCAGGCGGGAGGGATCCGGTTCCTTTTCCAGTAAGCTATCACCCTACATGGATGGAGTTTGACCCTGATGCGTCCATGCAAGCATCCTGCAGTCACAGGACCCCTGACACACAATTTATTTAATCCCCCCATTGAACCGCCCCCCACCTCCTGTTCCACTGCCCAAAGTCTCTCCCCATTTGGCCCTTTTCCTAACCTTTGCCCCAAATCTACTTCCTGCAAGTTTATCCCTAGGAAACAACAGATAGCAACTGTTCTATTTTCTGCAAGATGTTCTTTCGGAGAGGTGAGTGCTTTTCTCCCATCTCTGACTGGTCAGATAAAAGTGCTCCTTCAGAAACACCAAACAAACTGGTAGGTAGTCCTTTATTATAAAAACCATGCGGTAATTTCTCTCATTCTCTCTTGCGCTCTCTCTCGCTCTCTCGCTCTCCCTTTCTTTCGCCCTCTCATCTTGGAAATAGGATTTTTAAACAATTTCTATAATAGCAATAATAATATTAATACAATATATCTGTAAATATTTATATATGAAATTGTGAAAACCATCCTGGCCCACAAGTGTCAGAACAAAATGCTTTCTTTCAGCAGGAACTTGCCAAAACTTTTCAGATTCATCCCAAACTGTAGTAACTGAGAGATGACAAAAGCAGCAACAAGTCAATGCAGGTGCCCAAATTTCACCTGTTATGAAGTCGAAAGCACATTTGAGCAAGATACATTTCTTTTTGGGACAACATCTGGGTGGGGGGGGAGGGATTCAAGAATAATTGTGTCTGGTCTGCTCCCAAATCTCATAGAAAGGAAAAATCTGACCCAGATTTGGGTGTTCCCGCTCAGGTGAAATTTCAAGTGATACCAACAAATGTTCTGTCAAGATAAGCAAAATTCCATAGAACGTTTAGACCAAGCTTCCCCAACCTGGTGCCCACAACTTCAAGCATCTCCCAGACATATTCCAGGGGGAAGGCGAGAGGAATGGGTGCTGTATGGGGAACTTTCAGAGCTGGGATTGGGAGGCTGCCCCGGAAAACTGTGCTAACTGCCCCCCTTCCAGGATGGAATTTTCCTCCTGTGGGAAGGAGTGCCAGGGGTCTGGGGAGTGGAGGAGGCAGGGACCCTCAGCCTCTTTCTCTCCCCTTCCTGGCACTTAAGCCACATACTTTAAAATGGCCGTCAGGAGAAAGCACCAAGGTGCTGGAGCTTACCACTGTCTCCTTGCAGGTTGACCAGATCAGACCCTAATAGATGGATTCCTGTCCTGATTTTAAATTGAGAACTGCACTGTAAAATTCAGAGAAGTGCACATTTCTAAGGATAGCTGAATTTGGGTTCATGTAGTGGTTCAAAAGTTCATCATTGGGTAAGTGCTGGATTAATTTCTCTCCCACCCAGGGATGCAAAAGCGTTTTGACCCAAGATTTTCACAAGGGCATTCTCAGAAGGCTGCTTCAAGGAGCCCTTCCCCAAAATTAAAAACTCAATACATCCTGACATCGTATCTGAATCAAGACCGACCCTTCCAAATTTCCACCTGATTAATTAGAATTTTTTAAAAAGTTAGAGATGTTATATTGCAAGGATAGCAACAATTTGTTATTGAAAACTGCACATTCAAACACTGGCCAGTCAGGCAGGCCATGGAAATGTGCAGTGCCGAAATATGAAAAAGCTGAATTTGGGAGATGGCCCCAGCACCAGCAAAGCGATTTTTAAAACATTGAATTAAAATGCAGCATCTTCTTATCCCACACCAAAGCTGAATTTTGGCTGCTAATTTCCAATGCTCCCTTAATGATTTGCAGGAATTGATCCACGGGAATTGATCAACAGAAGGAATCCATCCACTGGGTTCTTCTCATGTGAGAACCTAGAAGCTCAACTGTGCTCAAGGGATGCAAGAAATCCAGTCGGGATGCGAAAGACTGTGAGAGGATGATGAAGCACTGCCTAGACTTCCTTATAGTTCCTCCCTGGGAATGCAGAAGTGGCTTTTTCCCTAGTCCTACCTGGGCATGCCAGAAGCAGGACTTGGAAACTTCTACATGCAGCTGTGGTCCTTCCCCCTAAAGATCAAGTGTTGGTGCTGATGTTTCTGGATAAACCGTGGACAGAAATTGAACCCTAGGAAGTGCCTATGCATTCAGTCAGACCACTGGTCTGCATTTGGTTCTGTGAGGTTGTTGCTAATCAACAGCCGCTCTCCAGGGCTTTCTGAGCTCTGTCTAAAGATCCCAGGGGCTGAGCCTGGCTTTGGATGCTCCATTCTGTCCCCTCTTGCCCTCCTGAGTCCGAATTCCCTTACCATTTCCCCCTCCACAGTCCCGTCAAAGGCTGGCTGGCAACAGTGCCACGGGAAATCCCAGGTGTTGCCTTTAGGGGAAAGTCACAGTGGGGTGCAGGTGACACCCCCATCCCTGTGGGGTAAGGGGGTACCCCAGTGGGAGGGCAGCCAGCCGGTGATTGTGGTACCCAGCTGTGCTATGAAAATAAATAAGGTCAGAGTTTCAAGTAATGCACTCAGCTGCGCTGCACCCATGCCCCCATCTCTGCCCATGGACAAAGTGCTCCTGCCCCCTCCCCTGGCACCCGCTGCAGTGGCCCCACTGGGCTTCCCAGGGAACGGGGGGGGCACGTGGTCAGCAGGGTCCTGGGAGTCGCGTGGCTCAGGGCACCTGCTTGAACTCGTTGGCGATGGTGGGGCAAAAGGCGGCGGGGGGCTTCTCGGAAGTGGCCCGGCCGCCCCTCCTCCGGGGCCTTTCCAGTTTTCTCTCAGCGCTGAGTTCTAATGCCCCTGGCAGGTTTTGCAACACATCTGTCGGAAGTAAGTCCGGCTACAGAACTTAAACTTCAGCACCAAAGGGCAATAAGCGACTTTGTTCACATCTTTGCATTCTGGAGAAGAAACGGGGAGAAGGAGAGAACGAGAGAGAGATTTGAGGATGGGAAGTTGTGATTAGTTGATAAATTCCACGCATCCTGTCAAATTCTGGCCATCGGCTCTGAAAGGTCCCTCGCCCACTTGGCTGTTCTGCCAGAGGGCACTGAGCACCCCATGATTTCTGGGTCCACCCAGAGAGACAGACATATTTGTCTGTTTCCATTTCTCATGTTTCCCATTCTAATTCCCACTGTCCCTGAACTTGTAGAATTTTCCCAACTATACGTTGGATTTTTTTTCAAAAGCTTGAAAAATGGAATATATATTTACATTCAGTCATCCAAACAGATGCTTTTTGGTACCTGATTTTATTTAAGATAAGTTTTCCCAAGCAATTTCCCTAAAATAATGCCATTCGGAATGCTATCTTGACATTCACACCAACACTCACATATTTGCGTGCCCTTTCCCCAAACACCGATATCCTGAATTCAAGTCCTCCACTGCAAAATCCAGGAAAATGTGAACTGAGAAGATAGCTGAGTTTTGATTCACATATTGCATAGAAAGTGTCCCTTTAGCTAAGCACTCATGAATATGTGAGCCAAAGTTTTTATTTTATATAAAACCTTTCTAGAGCATCTCCTGAAGTCTCGGGATGGTTTAACAATACAAAATGTAAAAAAATAAACACAGCATCCTAAAATTGAACTAACAATAAAACCCCAGTTAAAACATTAGGAAAATAAAACATTAGGAATGTCTTAAAATGTTAGGAAAATAAAAAGGTTTTGGCCTGGCACCAAAAAGAATGAAGTGACAGTGCCAGGTGGACCTCTCTGGGGAGCGAATTCCACAATTGGGGCGCCACTGCAGAGAAGGCTCTGCTCCAGGTAGCCACCCTCCTAATCTCCGTCAGGGAGAGCACCTGGAGAAGGGCGTTTGCCCCAGATCTTAAGGGCTGGGCAGGCACCTTTCATCTCCCATCCCTGCTGCAAGACAGCCTCAGTATCTGCTTTCACAGTGGAAAAAACCTTGCTTCTCCGTGAGTGCAACGCAAATGAAGAACCACCCCTCACCACGGGTACCTTCAGGAGTTTCTGTCGGCCCCGCGTGACACTTGCTTTCACATTGCTGCATCGGCAACGGCTTCAGGGTGTCCACGCACTCGCTGGAGGGCTGCCCGGTGTGGGTCACGCACTGGACCAAGCGCCTTTGCTGCCCGAAGCTGCACTGCCCAGAGCACTGCGGGACAGAGCAAGGAACATGCAGAAGGGATGGGCTAGGCTCAGCAGGAAGGAACCTCTCTCAGCTTTCGCCTTTGGCCCCCGCACCAATCTTTTCATTCCCTCCCTCCCCCAGTCCTCCCACCTTGGTCCACGTGAGAACACAAGGACTTTATTTATTTATTTATTTATTTAAAAATTTCTGTGCCGCCCCATTCTCCGAAGCCTTGAGGCGGCTTACAAAACATCAGTTAAAATATAAAACACTAAAAAAATAAAACACATTCACATTATAAGATAAGTCGCCCTGGCCGAAAGGATGTAAGAAAAGCCCTGCTGGGTCAGGGCCAAGGTCTGCTCTAGTCCAGCACTCTGTACATGCAGTGGCAAGCCAGCTGAACACAGGATCCCTCCAGCAGGAAGGGGGCAAGACCTCCTCCCGCCCAGCGATGAGTGCGTGCAGGTGGGCCGCCTCTGGGGAAGGAGGGAGCCCATGGCCAGCAAGGCTAGTAGCCACGGAGAGCCTCCTCCCTCACGCATCTGACCAATCCCCTTTTGAAGCCATCCAAATTGGGGAGGGGGGGTTAGAGACTCAGCAGTATTTTCCTGCCTTTTTGTGGGTGGCTGACATTTTGTTTTCTCCAGAATACCCCTTGGAGGGACATCAAGCCCAAACAAGTGATGGCAGCCACAAAAGGAGCAGGATGAATTTATTTATTTTATTTACTAAAATTGTTTCTAGTCCGTCCCATTACTGAAGTCTCGGGATGATTTAACAATACAAAATGTAAAAAAATTAAAACACTGCATCCTAAAAATTAAACTAATACTAAAACCCCAGTTAAAACAGTCATGTCTTAAAACATTGGGGAAATAAAAAAAGTTTTGGCCTTGTGCTGAAAAGAATGAAGTGATGGCACCAGGTGAACCTCTCTGGGGAGCGAATTCCATAATTGGGGCACCACCACAGAGAAGGCCCTGCTCTGGGTAGTCACCCTCCCCATCTCCTTCAGGAGAAGGGCTTCCGCCCCAGATCTTAAGGGGCAGACATACACAAATGGAAGGAGACACTCCTTCAGGTAACCAGGCCCTAAGCCATTTAGGGCTTTATAGGGCTTTGTCCCTCCCCTGCTTCTCAAATTTGACCGGTTTGCCTCTCTTTAAAAAAACAGTAGAAGTCTGATTTTTTTAAAAAAGGCAAATTCACAATTTGCAAACTTTCAGCCAGGATCTAAATGATCTTTCAGCTTCCAAGAAGATTCTTCCTTGGGCTTCCCATCCGTGTATTTCCCACCCACCAACACTGGTGGTGATAAACCAATATGGCTGCTCTTCTCCAGAGCTCCCCCTAGTGGCCCATTGTGGAATAATTGCTACCATGAATTGCTGGAGGAAAGTAAGAGATGGGGTTCCATACCTCTCCCCATTCACCAGTGACCCACCGTGGGGGTGGACAGCGCCGGAGGCTGCACCTTATGCTGGTGGGGGGCCTAGAGCTCTCCGGACATGCAGAGGCTGGCAAGGTGGTGCCGTGGTCACCGCTTTTGCAAAGGACGATTCGGTGGCGGAGGCCAGGCCCGCAGCTTGGGGTGCACTGCAAGGAAGGGTGGATGTTAAGGCCAGGAGGAAGCTGTCAGGACAAAGACCGTCATGTGTGCATGGGCTCTGGTGAGATTCCCTGGTGTGCCCAAGAACCGGCCTGTTTTGTGGAACAGATTGCTTGGACACAGAAATGAGGCAGGGGCTGCTGACCGAAACCAGACTCTGGTAACGGAATTGCTGTTGCGACGGACTGCAGCCCTGGTCTTGCAGTACCCATGTGAGCCTGCTCTGGATGCAAGTAGCTCAAGACACCCCCGGAGCCTGGTGGGAACGAGGGAGAAGAGCAGCAGCATCCAGAGCAAGGGAGATGCGGAGTTGGGGAATCTCTCGGAGAGAGAGCGCCCACCTCCTGAGGATGGACCCGAGGGCCCATCGCCACAGCCACTGGCTGGCCCAACTGGGGGCTGAGGGGGCAGAATGCAGGTGCGCTGGTTCCACAGTGCCTTTCCCTCCCAAGACAGGCCCCAAAGGGTTCAACAGCAAAGCTTTGGGGGCAGAGAGGGTTCAACATCTCACTTTGTGTATGCTTCGGGACTTCTATGTAGGACAAAGACGCTTACAAGAAGAGCTGGGGAGTCTGTCTTGCTGGGGAGGGAACTCCTGGCTCACAACAGAGACTACCTGTACTCAGGGGAGGGTTCTTCAGACACAGGCTTCCAAGACTTGTAGAAGAAGAGAGGCACAGATTTTTTTTTAAAGGGTGTGTATGCTTTTGTGCACCGTGGAATCACCTCAGCAGTGAGATGAGGACACAGGAAGGACCCCGGCAGAAGAAGAACCTTGGCAGATCAAAGGCAAGTTGCAGCTAGTCCAGCATCCTTTTTGTCCCAGTGGGCAGCCTGATTATCATGACACTGCATTTCTACCCAGCCCTTTTTCTCTTACTCAAGATAAGTTAACAAAGCTCCATTTTAGCCACACAAACAGCCCTGTGAGGTAGACTGGCCCAACGTTCCCCATTGAGCTTATGGCCAAGCAGAGACTAGAAGCCAGTTCTCCCTGGCCCCTGGACCAGCACTGAAACCCCCACCCCTCACACAATGCCTCCAGGAAACTCACAAAAGGGGCATGCAAGCCCGAGGCCTCCCGTGTTGCCGGTGGCTGCATTTTCTTACCTGAGCTATCCTTGCCTCCCCCACCACACACACACACAATTTAGCCCCCTGAATAACGGCCACTGACAGGGAGAGGTCCCAATCCTACACTCCACAAGAAGGGTTCAGAACACTGCTGACGCCGCATGGGCAGCAACCAAGTACGCACCTCCGACCAATCCAGGGCGATCCATTCCGGGGGACACGTCTGGTTGTTGCAGGGCTCCAGCACAGGCGGGCGCGGGAGGCTGCAGGACGTGTCGTCCAGAACCCTCTCCTCCACGGTGGAGACCTTGCGCCGGCAGCTGACGCTCCGGGTGCGCACGCCCTGGTTGCAGCTCCGGCTGCACTTGGACCAGTTCCCGATCACCCAGCTGAGGGAGACATGCGGCGGGGAGCAAGGAGGCACGATGGACTCTGAGAAACGCACAATGAACCCAGGGGCCTGGTGCATCGCCTTTGTCTCACTGAACTCCGCAGGGACTTTGAGATCCTGCTCAGCCTAAATTGGCCGGGCTTCCCCCTTCCTTTGCACCAGGAAGGGAGACAAAGAGGTCTGAGAAATGGATTCTCACTCTTGCTTCAAAGCCTTGGATGCATCTGGCCATGTTGGAGTCCAGAGCTGGGATTTCTTTCTCTCTCTCGCCTATACTTCATTCTTCCTTCATTTTGCTCCAGGTTTCCTTTGGGCTACATATCCCTGCCCCTTTCCTTCCATCAACTCTCCCTTTCCAGGCTCTGCCTCAGTTTCCCCCCAGCTATTTCTCTCTCTCCCTTGTGTCCTTTCCTAGTATTTATTTATTTATTTATTTATTTTACTTATTTAAAACTTTTGTATGCCGTCCCTTATATGCATGGCATCTCGGGACGGCTTACAATCATTAAAATAAATAACAATACAACAGCACAACCACAACACAGTCTAACCACAACACTTAATAAGAACAACCACAAGGAATCTGTCCACTGAAATGCCAGTTTAAAATCCAAGGGTGTCCTTCTGCTCTTGGCCAAATTGGGCACATGTCCCCCAAGATCAGGCTCCAGGCCTCCACTTCTGTATAACATCTGCACCCAGGTTCCACCCCACAGAAGGTGGGAAGGGGTGAAACGCACCTCGGCGGACAGGGCTCAGTGTTGCACAGTCTCTGCCTTTCCGGGAGCTTCGTCTCCGGGCTGCAGAAATGGTTGAAGACGGTGGAACTGTCAGCCTGGTTCCTGCATACAACGGTCTGAACTTGGCTACCTGCAGGATTGTTGTGAGAGGAAAGACAGCAGTGGAACAACGATGCATAGTGCCCCGAGGCCCTCAGAGAAAGAAATGACTTTATCAAATGATCTATGTGAAAGTCTCAGCCCCTCTGCATGCCCAGAAATCAGTGTCGTGGCCCTACTTTTAGGAATGGATGGATCTGCTAGTGCTGGTATCGCTGCATTTCTCCTTTTTCCAGTCATAAAATGGTTGCATTCCTATATATTTTTACTTACAAAGACTTGATATAGCAGGAAGCCAACAGCTCCCTTCCTCCAAGTAGCATCTCCAACAGCGGGGGGAGAGGAGCCTTCTTGGTGACAGCCCCCTAATTATGGAATGAGCTCTCCATAGCATGGATTCTATTACCCTTCAACACCAGGTTTAGACTGCCATCTGTGCTGAGGAATTCAGTAGCTTTTAATGCCATACATGGGGCTTACGTCAGCTGCTTTTTCTTATAACAGGTCTGGCAGCATCAAACTTTTTTTTTCTGTTCAAATTGTTTTAAATTTTGCTTTTAATTTTAGATGGAAATGTTATGTAGCTTCTACTTCATGTGTGTTTTACATTGCATTTTATTGTATTCTATAACTTGCTGTTAAGCACTCACAAGGCTTCAGTTATTGGGCAATACATAAATGAAATTAATAACAACAACAACAACATCTTCAGACTTTGAGAACATTTTAAATTTAAGTTCAGATTCTTTCAGGGCACATAAAATTTGTGCAATGTCTGCAATCCTGCCTTACACATTTTGTAAAAACTATCCTAATGCACTGGATTCTAACATTATTTTTGCTAAGGTGTGTGTGGACCTTCTAGTACACAGCTTTTGTTAGGCATGCTTTGATAAGACAACTCCACTGCACAATTTGAGGAAGAGCGAATGTCAAAGGCTGCGTTTTTGTTCACCTGTTAGTTCAAAAGTGCAAAATTAGGCAAGTCCACATTAAAACATGAAACAAACCAATTTCTCTTCTATGCCTACCCCATTTTTGTGGGCAGAGAACCTGAGAGAGAATCCTGCTAAATTCTGCAAGTATTTCTTAAGTGTGGGGCTCCCCATTCCGCAGGGGCAGAAGCACGATCCGTGTGCTCCCCTTACCCCAAGATTTTTGATGGTGCTTTGCTTTGGCTATTGCAAGAACAGCTCACAAGCACCTACTAGTCATTTAGGTAACTTGGCCATCAGTTCAACTCCACTGCAATGCTGCAGACCAAGTGCCTTTCCAGGGCATACCAAACACAATAATGGTGGAGAATATTTGGAGAAAATTCTGCAAATCAGCAGTGTTTTTCTAGACTGAAAGGAGGAGACCAAGAAATGTTTTTGGAGAGGCGTAGACTCTACTGGACACGATGTTATTCTTCAAGTCACACCAGCCAAACCTTGGCCATCCAATGCAACCTTGTTATCTGAACTTCATCTCCCCTCCAGCATCCCATCTGTCATCTCCACTATAAACATCCTCACCTCCAGCACAGATGGCTGAACATTTTGTCCATGAGACGTACTGCCACAAGTACTGGGCCACAGAACGGCGAGCGATGGGCGCATTGAACTTATATCGGATCTTCTGCAGCTCTTCCCGCACAAAGACCTACAGAGAGCAACGTTGCAAAATTAGAGGTACAGAGCTGAAGTATCTCTCCCCAACACCAAATAGACAAGCAGATTTCAGTGCTGGAAGAAGCTCCCCGGGAACTTGGGAAAGAAATTTTTTTTTCAAGTATTACAGGCCCTGTTCTGTAATAGCATCACTTTAGTTGCATCATTCCTCAAATTTCACCCTTAGACATGGCATAAAAATAATTTTGAACAAACACAAAAATGATAAATGCATCCCAGCCAATCAGGGATCACACACTGGACAGGAGAACATTGGCCTATGTAACCAATCAGTTGCAATAAGATCACTGAAGGTAAATGGAACCCCTTAGAATTATGGGCAGTATTTCTTGTGATAGTCACTGAGGCAATCTTAGTCTATCAAGCATCACACTACAAATCCATTTCTCAGACCTCTCTCCATTACCTTGTGCAAAGAGGGTACCCCACCCCCAACAACTTTTGAAGCTTTCTCCACATTCCCTTCCTCTCCTCCAAAAGACATTTTGGCTCAGGGATGGAACCAACCATGACGATGAGGGTGATGTTAGTTGGACCCAAGGCCTCGAAAGATTCCAGGTCGCCCTGTGAGCGCTTGTAGTGGAACGTGGTGCCAGCAATGTCAAAGCGCCGAGAAGCATCGTTGGAGAGTTTCCCATTGATAAAATATTCATCATTCTCCCCTCTTAGAGCTGGAAAAAGAAATCAGGAAAAGCAGTTTAAGGCAAAGATGGGTCATTCTTGGACTTTTGAAAAAAGAGAAAAGGATGATTCTGGTAGAAAATGGCAGTGGATGATGAGAGGGAGAGAGAGGGAGAGATTGAGAGAGGAGGTCCTATTTCTAGGCTGGGAAGGAAATTCATGCAAATCTAGCAGGAGGAGGTCACCTTGAGAATCTGTCCAGAAATGTTGCAGAAATCCACAGTGGACTCAAACCATTTCGCATGCCGAAGAACTTCCCACATGGATTCTACAGTGGAGAACCTTTTCCCAGGTCATGTAGATTCCACAGACTTGTGGACCATGGCTTTCAAATCGGCTAATTTTTGCAAATCGAGTTACAGCTTTTCTAATAAAGCAAAAATACACCTTTCCTCCAGAGTATAACATGGAAAAATATGCCTTTCTCAGTGATTTCTGTGTTTTGGGGAAACTGGGACATTTTCGGGGGTGCGAATTTGCACAAGTTCACATTTGCACAAATTTATGTATGAATGCATTTGTACATCTATCAAACAGTGGAGGATAAAACAAAAGGTGTTTGATGATACACAAAACATAGATGAAGAAGAATTTACTTCATCTGTACAACTGGAAGCTCAAGAGTCTTTCTGGGCATCTCACCAAGATAGTTCAAGGAAAGATTGAGCTCCCGGATGTCGATATGCACCGATCCTTTGGGGATCCATATCACCTCTTCATAGCCTGCAGATCAAATAAAGAAAATTAGCATGGGAGGTTAGTCTTAAAGACATACTTTGGGACTGCCAATTTGGCAGAAGCCAGATGGGGAATGTGAGTGGCCAAAAACCCAGTCGGTCCATTTTCCCATCGGTATTGTCTGAACTCCATCCTCATCTCATGTATCTCATCTCAAGGATGGAGTATCTCATGACTCATCTTTGGGTTTTTTCCCAAGGGAAATCAAACCTGAGGCCTTCTGCATGTAAAACATCCCATCTGCCATTGCGCTATGAGCTTTCCTCCTAACATCGAATCTGAGAGTTGGGAGAGACTGTGGAGGTCTTCTCATTTTGGCCCCTGCTCAGGATGGGTATCTTTGATGCTTCTCTGTAATTCAACAGCCATCTCCATTCTCTCTCTTACTCTTCAACATGGAAGATGCCCTCTAAGCACAGGGTTCCATTTTGCCATTGGATACCCTCCTGCCCAAGTTCCCCAGCAACTGGTATTCAGAGTCATGCTGTCTCTGGTATAGCAGGTGGGTTAGAGCCAGAAAGACTAGCTGCCACAAATAGCATTCTTTCCTCCACATATCCAGCCGGGCCTTTTCAATGCCATCCAAATTGGTGGTCACCCCTATAGCTCACAGTGAAGGACTCCACAGGTGAACAATGCCTTCCACCTTGGCCAAACTCAGGAAAAAAGTTTTTGTTTCACCTCCACCTAGAAAACTTGGTGGTTGTTTTTTTGATGCAAAGAGCTTATTTCAGAGTCAAGCACATATTTCAGCCTGCAGAGGAATGGAACAGCCTTTGCAACTCTGATGGTGTATGCCTGTTATTGCCCTCCAGCTCTTAGTCCCACCTCCGTCAGGCAGCGATTGGTTGAAGATCCCTTCAATTGTTTCACAGGTGCTTCCATCTCCTCCACATATGCGGCATTTGTCTTCCTTGGTGTCCGAGCCGAGGATGCGGTCACAGCCCACGTGCTTACGGGAAACAAATGAGGCAAGATAAGGGAAAGCCTTGCTCCATCGGACCATGGACCTTTCTGGTAAGCTTGCCATTCATACATGAGCAACAGCTTTCACTGGGCCGTTCACAGGAAGGACACGAGTGCAAAAGCACCAGCCCAGTGCATTTCCCAGCAACTGGGGCACACATGTAGCAACTGGGGTCACCCCATGAAGCTTGCTGGGTGGGAGATCCAGGACTGATTGAAGGAAAAACTTCTCTCCACACCGCCTCATTAAACAATAGCACTGACTACTGCAGGAGACTTTAAGAGCAGAGTCTGTGCACTTGTGGAGCGTGCCAATGTGTCCAATGTAGGAGGGACCACAGCTAAGAAGGTCAGTAGCCATCAGTAGCCATTCTTCTTGTTGACCCCCAAACAGCGGCCCACCCTCCCAATTAAGCCCCCAAAACTGCACATCAAACTGAATCACTATTCAGGGGCATAAGGGCAGGCAAAGATGCCTAGTGGTTAGAGCAAGCACATACTCACCTTGCATTCTCCACCAACACATATGTCGTTAGAGTCCTGTCGGCAAGGGGTGCCATCCACCACGGCCGCTGCTCTCTCCGTATAGAAGTTGAAGCCTTCAGCCAAGCAGTTGAGAGAACAGGACTTAACCCCACCTGTGGGGAGAGAAGCCATTGAACTGGACGGATCTGGGGAGACCAAATCCATGCCTGCTGGCAAGTGATACCCTTTGTGGCTGCAAGAAAGATCCGTTCCAGGACCAAGTTAGAGCAAAGGATCCCAATGCCTTCCCCTGGTGCAGCTGCCCGAGCAAAGATGGGATGGGGCCTGCCAGGACTGAAAGAAAACATCAACGTCCAGCTGCGATTCTAAGCATTAAAACGATGCTTCCTTCTCTGCAGACGCATCTCCGATTGCACTGGGAGCTTGTAACACTCTATAGCTGTGAATACATCCCACAGAACGTGGGAGCTCACATGAACGGACTTGCCCTGTAAAGGCAGTAGTTAAAAGTGGATTCTGGGACCGGAATGTTCTATATTTGCCTGATCTGAAGAAAGCCCAGTTGGCACAAGGAAGTCTCCTTACCTAGGAGCAATCAGTCATTTCGAGATGAAGAGATTATTTATTATGGCGATTTATGTTTATCCCACCCTTTCTCCTTGGAGGTCGGGGGCAGCATTCCGATCCCATGTCGGCCTCTTTGCAAACCTGCTATATTTCGCACTGCAATGCATCCTATTTCCCCCAGAATGTCACTTAGGGTGCCACTGTGCACCCCCAGTCCTCCCCATACATGATATACACCCCACATCAAGGCTAGCTTGGGCTGGGTTTGAGAGTGTTTAAATGAATCCATCCAAAGGGACCCCAGCTCCTGGGGCCTGCCGCAGCAGCTGCAAACACGAGCCTGCCCTTTCTGCCTCTGAGATTCTTCCCCTTGGCATCCCCTCCAAGTATTCCCACCCCCTCACCCTCTGGTCCTTTGAGCGTCATGGAAATCAGAAGGAAGGCAGTCAGAAAGCAGGAGAAAACTGCCTGTGAGAGGAGCCACTTCGCTCCCCCAAAGGGATTTCCTCTTTCCCTACCTAGCTCAAAATACCCAGGCCTGGGGGAAATGGTACAAAAATCTTTAGCTTTTAAACCTGAAGTTTTCTTATTAGGCATTATACTTGTTGATATTAGTAAACAAGAAATGTACTTGATTTTACATGTAATTACTGCGGCAAGGATTGCATTTGCCCAACACTGGAAAAGTGAAGAGTCACCCACCGACGAACTGATCCTAAAAAAGATCTTGGACCATGCAGAAATGGATAGACTGACTTTGTCACTGAAGGAGAAAGAAGATGCTGACTTCCATCAAACTTGGGCCTCTTTTTATTATTGGCTAGAGAAACGGGACTTCACATAGATGATGTTTCTATGGTATCATAAATGGAAAAAAATGTGGGGGCTGACCCAGCGGGCTCAATGTTTTTGATGATGGATGTTGCTTTTCTTTGTTTTTAGGACTAAAAATTCTGAATAAAACTTATTATAAAAAAAAAAAAAATACCCAGGCCGGGGCGGGGGGGAGGGGGCAATGATTCAGAGCTCTCGACCGACTGTGCCCCTCCTCCAGTCTCCACTGCTCCTCAGTGAGCAAGCAGCTGTCCAAAGCCCAGTGTTTGTTCTGTCTTCTGCTGATTTATGGGCCAAGTGGGAGAGTTTGTCCTTTTGATAAGAGGGGAGGGGAGGGGAGAAAGTAGAAGTGGGGGCAGAACACAGCATGTAACCGTTCAGCCATCTGCTATCGAGAGGTCAAGAAAGACCGCAAGGCTATACTGTCTGTGGCATCTTAGCCTTCATGCACTGAACATCAGTGTTCGGCAGGGGTACCTGCCCTGTCAAAAGTTATAGTATCAGTGCCCAGGAGCTAGAAGGCACTCATGCTGACACAATTTTAATAAGGTCAATACAAAGAGTGTGATGATGCTGTCTTACCTAGAATTCCAGTATGGGTCCATTTAGCTCACTTGTGGCAGGTTTCACACGCAACACTAAGCTGTGGTGTGGGTTGTTGAAAGAAACCTGGCTTGTTGAAAGAAACCTGGCTTGTTGTTGTGTCTGAACACATCTCTTCAAACTAGCCATGGTTTGTTAACTAGCTATGAACCAGAAATGGAAAATGTGAGCCGGGTTAGCAGAGTCACAGGACTTCTGCCATGGATAACAGGCCCCACAAAAAGCCACTCAAAGTATGGCTCACAGCCCACCGTGGCTTGTCATATTGTGCAAAACCACTACTCTGACATTTCAGAAGCCCCAAAGTCACCCTGGTGGGTGCGTGGAGCAGGGACACATTGCATGCCGTCTTAAGCCAGCGACGGCACCATTTCCAGCCCCCCAGACAAGGTCGCTCCAGACAAGTGTGTCTCTGAGCTGATGACAAGGAGAAGGGAGGCTGAGGGGGCATTTTTCTCATAATTCCAAGCCATTTGCCCAGGAGAATACAGGAGCAACATCCCGTTCTCCCTTCAAAAATGGCCCCTCAGCCTCAGCTGGGAAGTGTGAATTCACACCTTCTCTTTCCCCCATCAGAAAGCGGAGTTTGCTTTGCACAGCAAGTTTTGCCTCAGCAGAGACATGCCTCCTTTTCTGCCCCACAGGGCTTGCCCCAGAGGAATCCGCTGGGATTATCCCCCACAGTGCAAAACCTTTCCTTTCTTGGCAGTCCTCACAGCCTCCGTCCTGCAGCCCTCCCTCCCTCCCTCAACTCTCCCCGTCGCCAACAGACAAAAACAAGGAGGAGGAAAGCAACATAAACATCGCGGGAACGCCACATTCCACACGAGGCTGCAAGCTGAATCTGCAAAAGACGGCTGAGCTCAGCAGTTCCCTCATTGCGTCTTCTTGCAGGCCTCTGGCTCAGAGCCATGAAACAGGGGTGGAAGGAAGGACTGCCTCAGGCCTGGGGGAAGGAGCAGCTTCAGGCTGCGGAAATGGAGCAAGCCGAGGGCGCATGGAGCCGGCGGCCATCGCTCCTGTGCCCCCCGGCATCGCCGTTCCAGAAGGCAGAGCCCTGTGCTTCACCAAGCCCATCCTGCGCCTCTTCAACCCCCTCTCTGCTGCTCATGCGATGAGGAAAGTCATCGCGTTACCCACATGGACACGCCATTCAAATGAAAATCCAGCCAGGGGCCTGAGCCTGCCCTTCACCTCAGCCCACAAAGCGTCTTGGGCCAGCTCTGGTCGGTCCTACCACTCTCCCCTGGTTCTCCACAGTTGCTTCTTCTCCCCATCCCATGGCCCCAGGGGAGAAGAAGGTGGCCAATTTCTCTATGGCTTGGCAACCTCCGAGCTGAGACCGTGGGTTCACCAACAGTGCCACTCCTGTTTCCTTGCCTTACTGAAGTGCTGACACGTCCCTTCGACCATCCATTGCAGACAGACCGGGCAGGTGAGCGCTGGTCACCTGCTCCTCCTTTCCCTGAGGAGCTCCACAGAATGGGGGACACCCCACAGGAAGCCCTGCTCCTCACAGCCAGCATCCATGCCACACAGGGGAGGGCATCTAAATCCGATCTGCATTGATGGGAAGGGGAGAGAAAGCTTGTAGGAGGCCAGGTGTGCTGTGAGGTGCTAGGCTATGTGGCAGCTTGGCAGGCATTGTCCCTGACTCCCCCGGGGAGGAGATGCAGGGACACCAGAAGAGCTCCGAAGCTGGATCAGGCCCAAATCCATCTAATCCAGCATTCTGCCCTGCAGCTGCCCCCAAAGGAAATCTACAAGCAGCCCGTGAGCCCAACAGCACCTTCCCACCCGTGTTCCTCAGCAACTTCCCCATATTGTCTCTGATACTGAACGAAGTGGACCATAAGGAAAGCTGAGCGCTGAAGAATCAAGGCCTTTGAATTGTGGTGCTGGAGGAGACTCCTGCGAGTCCCTTGGACTGCAAGGCAATCAAACTGGTCAGTCCTAGAGGAGATCAACCCTGACTGCTCTTTAGAAGGCCAGATCCTGAAGATGAAACTCCAAGACATTGGCCACCTAATGAGAAGGAAGGACTCCTCGGAGAAGACCCTGATGCTGGGAACAATAGATGGCAAAAGAAGGAGGGGACGGCAGAGGATGAGGTGGCTGGATGGGGTCACGGGGGAGGTCAGTGTGGAGTTGGGTGGACTCTGAGCGATGGTGGAGGGGAGGAGAGGCTAGAGGAGTGTTGTCTGTGGGGTTGTGAGGGGTTGGACATGGCTTTGCAACTAAACAACTGAAGGAAGCCATCAGGGCTTGCAGCCACGGATCTCCTCACCCCGCTGCCCGAATGTGTCCCCTTTTAAGACTGCCCAAATTAGTGGCTACTTCCCATGGAAGCAAATTCTGTGTCTCCTTCCCGGGTGAAGTAAGAGTTCCTTGGATCTCCCACCATCACCTCCATGGGACAACCCTACCTGAACCCCAGTATTGAGAGGGAAAAAGTCGCCCTCTCTACTTTCCTCACGCACGTAATCCCATACACCTCTTCAGGTCTCCCCATCACACCTTTTTCTGTCCTTTCCCACCTCTATAATAGCCTTTTTTTAGCTGCAGTGGCCAGAGCGGTACCTAATATTCTACCTGGGAGAGCGCCGGAGATTTGTATGGACTAGGAACTTGGCTTCAGGGTTTGCTTGCATTCTGCCTGATTTCTCGCCCTGGCCCCATGGGTCCCATTTTCTATCGGAACTTGAGATGCTGTGGGGCTGTGTGCCCCGAATGATATTATCCCGCATCACAATGATTTGTGCCACTTGTTCCCTTTCTTAGCTGTTCAGGCGTTGGATGCCTCAACTTAGCTGGTAAAATCACAAGGCAGGATGTTATTAGCACCTCTGGGGAAGCCCAAGGTTGGAAAAAGCAGCTTTTGAAAAGGGAAAATTTGTAAGTGCAGGAGGACCACCTCCCCCACTCAGATAGCCCCATGGAGATGGAGATGCCCTGTAACTATGGAACGTTCCCTGACTGTGGATGATGGGGAAGGAAAAGGTGGGTGAGGAAGGGGGAATGACATGGAACATGCTGGAAAAGGGCTGCCTGGCAGGAACTCTGAGCAACTGTGCTCCACACTGCAGCTTCCTGTTGCAGCTCTCGCTTGCATGCTTATTATTATTTATTTATTTAGGATTTTTGTATGCCATCCTTTGCAAGAGCCTCAGGACGGCTTATGAGTACCACTGGCATGTAGCTGCTGCAGCTGAAGGCAGGAAAAAATCTCACTTACCTCCGCGATATGTTTTCCAGGTGTAATATTTGCCTCGGAAGGGGATGTGATCAAATTCGGCACACTGAAGTTCTCTGAAATCTTGTGAGCCTGGAGGGCAGTCCTGAAACAGAACACAAGGAAAGAAGGACCGCCACTTTATCAGCAGCTTTCTCTGGGTCTCATCCCTCCACACCTTTTGAGCACAGATAACACGTTCCAGCTCTTTGATTCTAGCAGAAAACCTCGTTGGAGGAAACCGAAAATACTTACACCAAAGTCTAAGGGGCCCTGGTTAGCTCAGCTATAAATTATATGCTCTGATCTGCGAGGGTTCTTCTTATATTCTTACATATTCCTGTGGGACTCATCTAACCAAAAAAGGCTGTGCCAGAGATTAAATGAGGGTGGAACCAAAATACCAGAAAAGCAAACATCTGTTTGCTCAGTATTCTTACTTCTAGACATGACGAGGAGGCAGGATGCCATTTCAATCTTTTGGAGTGCTGATGGGGGGGGGGGGGATTGCACAAAAACCATCAAGGAGGAACCAAATGATGCGTGTCTGGGAGAAGGCATGTAGCCATCCCCGGGACCCAAAGGGCTGGATTGGGCCCGTGCTTCCGATTTCCCCGCTACTCACGTCAGTGTTACATGACCGATAGCGCTTCCGTTCCCCCAAGCAGTACTTTCCCCCGATGGTCGGCCTTTGGGGACAAAAGCGAGGAAGGAGGCGTGAGTACCGAGCACTGCTGAAACTCCAGGGGGGCACCGTGCCTTGGGACTGGCGCACGTACCGCGGGCTGTCGCACTGGCGGATGGAGGAAGAGACGCCTCCCCCGCACGTCCGGCTGCACTCTCCCCACGACGACCACGTCCCCCACGCTCCGTCGACGCCCTCCGGCCGTGTGCCAAAAGGCACACACTCCCGCTTGTAGCACCACTGGCGGGGATGAAGGGAGGAAAAGATAGATGCAAAGCGTTAGAGACCGTACACCAGGAATTAGGGCCGTGAGTGGGACACGGCCCACTGGGGTTGACTCGGTCTTCACCCTTCGGTCCTGAGCCTTTTCCAGGAGATCAGAGCTCTAAAGAACATGTGAAGATCCACGCTGGGTCAGACCCAGGTTCTCCTAGTCCTAGTCTGTTCACACTGTGGCCAACCAGCCACCTATGGGAAGCGCACCAGCAGAGCACAAGCGCAACCACACACCACACCCATGTTCCCCAGCATTACTATTTCTAACGCTGGTGACAGCTTAGAATTTAACAGCCCCTGCTGAAATTCTTCTCCAGGGATTTCCAAATGAATGGCCACCACCAGTTGGCAGTTTCCATAGTTTAATTCTGTGAAGAAGGATCTCCTTTGACCTGTCTGGAATATCCCACCCTTTGGGGTTCTAGCATTAGGAGGGAGGGAGAAAAATGTCTCCCCATGCATGTGTTTCACACTGTGTATAATTGTGACCAATCAGCGCACCATGGTGGGATGGAGACAATCAACTAATCCGCATGGATCAGCGGGGTGTGGGTGTGGTGGCTTGGGAGGGAGGGAGGGTTGTTGCACAGTACTTGTCAGAGCATTGTGTGAATAGTACGAAAAGGCTGCCTCGGTGAAGGGTCGCCCCTGGGAGATGGCCAACTGGGAGATCTGGTGCCCAGGCCAGAAAGAGTTTCCCCACCCTGCACTAAGCAAGCTTCAATGACCCCCCTACTTGACCCCCCCATACAAAAGCCCTCCCATTCCCCTGTGGGGTAACAGTGCTCTTGACCAACTGAGGCATAAATGGAGCTAGCTAGAGGACTACTTCCAATGGCCACCCCTTGGCAGTGAGGGCAAGTGTCCTCTAAAGGAGTCCATTGTCTAATGCTATTGATTGATATCTTGACTATTTCTGGCCCATTTCTCAGGGCGCCTAACCGTTGCCCTACGTTCCTGGACTACCTCTTTGCTCAGCTGAAGCAGGGCAAGGCTGAGCGGCAAGAGAATCTTCGGAGAGTTAAACACGGCTCATTTGTTCATCCCTAGCAGTGACACGCCTTACTCCAGGGTAAGTTTGCACAGCCTCACCTGGAGACGCCAGGGAAGGAACCTGAGACCTTTAACACAGAAAAATAGGAGTCCTGTGATTGGGTTATGGCTAATCTTGGGCATTCAGTGCCTTCTCCGGCTTGGGCACATGGCTTCTCTTACCCCCTTTTCAATGGTGTTGGTTTGGCAAAGGGTTCCTTCTGCGGCTGGGATGCTGTTGGTGATGCACTGATTGCTCTTGCTAAGGCACCAGAGTTCGTTGCAAACTTCCTGGAGGGTGAAAGAGGCAGCAGTGGATGGGGCAGAAGGCAGGGGAAAGGAACGGTCCAAAGAGGCGTCGTGGATGGAGGTATGCGAGCTACAAAGGAAATGCTTCAAATGCCTGGAAGAAAGAAAAAAAGCTTCCCCTCCAACTCAAAGCAAGTCCCTGCTGACTACACGGAATCCCAACCAGAATTTTAAGACTTTTAATTTAATTTTGAGATGCAAAAGATGAACCAGGGCGCAAACAATGTAGCAAGCCATTGTGGTGCAGAGAAACCATAGAACAAGCCACTGTTTCTAACCGTGGTTCTGAACGACCAAACTTACCATGGTGAAATGCCACGACTGGGTTCAGACTGCACAACAGACCAACAATAGTAAAGCACCACCAGGGCTTGTGCATTGTCTCAACACAGACTGTGGAGATTTACACTTTCTTGTGGTGCATGATACCTGGTTCTTTTTTGGCAAGGTGCATCATTCCAAATTACAAACACTCAGTTATCCTCTGTTGGTGCATTATCTGATAATGTCAGGAAGGTCACCTTTGGTGGTGGCACCGTGATTGTGGAATTCCCACCTTTGAAAAGCTTCCTGAGGACCAGGTTGTGGTTCTTTCAATGCCAAATGAAGCCTTCATTTTATTCCTTCTCCCCCTGCCCCCAGCCTTTTGATTCTTTCATTTATGTTAAAATGTCTGTTCTTGTGCCCCTAATTATTTCACCAGTGCTGGGTCTTATTGTTCAAACACTTTTAAATTATGTTTTATTATGTTGTATTTTTAAAGCTTAGGAATCACCCAGAAAGCTTTAGCTGTTAGACAGTATACAAATGTCACTAACTGTGATCGTAATCTTACTTTTAATCTTAGTCATCCTCTATAAAAAGCACACAGGTATAAACCATGCCCTGCTCTCAAAAGCAGAGCTTAAATGGATGCAGACTGAAATTGGGATGTGCACAGCCAATGCACACGTCCAAACTGTGCATCGTGCTTTTCCTTCAAAGCAATACAAACAACCATTTTTAATTCACACGGATCTTGGTCTAGACGCATAGCAGCTTGCACACGCATCGCATGGCGCTGTTGCACAAGCAGTTTGGTCACGGCTTCTTTTGCCCCTGCAGGTGCAAGCAAAAATATTTGCAAACGTGCTGTCTGTCAGAGACGCTGAAACTGCAACAAGGACGATACTGCATTTGCTCTTTGGAGGGGTGCAGGGAAGTGAAGGAAAGACACTCGTGGTGTACTTCCTTTCAGGTGGACGATGGCATAAGCATAAATCTGGTGCAACATGGCCAGGTGGTCATGCCAAATGGGACCGGCCTGCCGGAGGTGCCAAGGGGAAGGCAGAACCGCAGAAGAGCCAGAAGACAGCGGCTGAGTGTGGCGGTCAGGGGAGGGACAGCTTGCCATGCATGGCCAATTCTCTCGCCTGAGGGGCAGCCCGACCCACCACCCCTTTGGGAGTCAAGAGTAAAAGCAGGAAGGCTTCTCTACCCCATATTTACACTGGCGAGATTTAACTCCGTACTGAAAGCGGCACTGCTCGTCGGCATCATAGGCTTGCCCCGGAGCCACGGTTGGGTAGATGAAGTCTTGCTTGAGCGGAGCGTTGTTCAGACAGAGCCCCAATCCAGAGCTAGAGAGAGGGCAGAGGGCATGTGAGAGAGAAGTGCATTGGGTCAATCTACCTTTGGAAAAGGAGCAAAGGGACAGGACAGGATGGGAGGGGAGGAAGCAGGCCCAGAAGGAAAGGCAATCCTTACTCCAGGAAGCTGGTAATATAATCCCGGCTGCAGGAGGACCACACAAAGGGGTTGGTCTTCATGGTGATGTGGGCGGCCATGAGCTTGGCTGTCTCCTGGTCCCGGGAGCCACAACTGTTTCCGACACCATCATGATTCATGCCGAAACTGCAAGGAGAAGCATGAGGTGACCTGTGGGGGTTTTGCAGCCAGGGTGGCTCCTGCAGGATAAATAGGGCTGGCAAGCAAAGGTGAGAAGGTCCCAGTGCTTCACACAGCTCCTCGCAAGCCACATCATTTTGGTGGGGGGAGGAACGCTGGGGATGGCTGGGAAGAAGTGTCTCTTGCACAAGTGGGTCTGACATCACAGGGAGTGTGAAAGGGGAGGGGAGGGGCCAGGCAGGGTGAGGGCTTTGTCAAGAAGTGGACAGTTCATCCCACTAGCAATTGGAAGTCATGGAGTGCTCCAGGGTGAACTCCAGACTGTGCCAGTGAAGGAGGAAGAAGAGAAAAGAGGGAAAAGAAGGGAGAGTAAGAGGAGGAGGAGAACAAGCAAAAGGAACAGAGAAAGAAGGGAAAGAAGGAGACCACCTTGCCTTCTATTGCAAAAGCAGCTTCAAAGAGACCTGCAGTCATGCAGGAAGCCATCCTCCACAGAGGAAAGAAAACAGAATTAACGGAAGCCACGGTGAGAGCCGCAGCAGCAGCGGGAAGGATCAGCCAGACTCACGTGTGTCCGATTTCGTGGGCGATGGTGAAGGCAGTGGCTAAGCCCAGGTCTTCGTTGATGCTGCAGCTCCTCTCGCGCTCACACATGCCACCCACGGGGGCCAACCCTGAGAGAGGCAAAACGTTCCCGTGGAGCTTGCTGGAAGCTTCCCCCAATCCATCGTTCAAGGGGTTGGCAGGTCCAATGCCGAAGCCCAGGTCGCCGGCTTGCGCCAAACTAAACGTCTCAGGATTGTGTTTATGGGCACAAATCGTGCAATCACATGCCCAGACATGTATGCGAGGATGAAAGCGTGTTCTCTGAGAGTGGCCACGAGTTCCAGAAAGTGGGTTTGAAAAAATATGCACGCCTTTCTTGCATTCTCAAATTTCCTCAGCATTTTCTTTTAATGTTCAAAGCACAGCCTATCTTAGAGATAGAGGCCTGTGATCAGAGCGAACCTGTACCAGCTCAGGCCTGGCAGACCCAAACCTGGGGAGGGAGTAGCAGTGAACAGCCATCTGATTTTTCAGCCCCATCAAATCCCGCAAGTATCTCCTTCCCCTTACATACACATGTGCCTTTGTTTTCCTACCCTTTTCTTATAACAATGACATTATCTTGCTTATATCATAACTCTAGATCAGGGTTGGCAGACTGGAACTCTCTAGAGGCCCTGGACCACAACTCCCATCATGCCCAGCTACCCAAACCAACAGCCATGGATGATGGGTGCTGCTGCTGTGGACGGTGCCAGAGTCTTCCTGGCACTGTCGTTCCTGTCTCAGATGATGGATTTCACTGCCATTAGTCGTTGGACACAGACTATTGCCAATCTGTTTTGTTCTGCTTCCACTTTTAAACATCAGTCCTAGAGGTGATTAATTTTGCTTTTCATAGCTGTTTCCTTAACCTCTTTGCTGGGCCAGAGGTTTTAAGTGCTTGCTATTTTTCTTATGGGAATCTCTGCTTTCAACTTTTTCGGTGAGTCGGCCTCCTTCTCCCCTCGGCCTGAGAGAGGTCAGTTTCTACAAGGGGCAAAGCGATGGCTATCAGCGCAAATACTTCTTCTGGTAAATGTTCTCAGACGCTACAAAATATGGCCCAGAAGTGGCCCGTATCTGTAGGTTGCTTCCCCTGCTTCCAAGACACTTTTTTGCTTCTGCATTGGATAACCGCTGCTTCATGTCCTTACTAGGAACATTAAGAATTCACATTATTCAGGTCTTTAAGACTTTCATGGCTGATTTTTTTTAAAATATATGTTCACTGTGTGATGACAAGGACCAGGGGACTGTTGCATGGCATGGGTGGGGAGGTGGGGCCCTTAGCCCCTCACGTCAGCCTTGGACCAGATCCAGTTCCAGATTGCTTCCCGGGATGTCCTTCCCCTCTGCCAGAAATGCACTGGGGGGAAAATCAGCCATGGAAGGGCTAAAGATCTGGGACCTGCCAATCCACCTTGGCCACCAGTTGCATTAAAAACTGGTCTTCCATACGTTATCCCCATGGCTGAAAGTCAGAACAGTGAGATGGTAACAGTGCTGTTCCACTTACCTAGAGTGCCACACGGTTTGTTTTTGTAGATGCAGATATCATACCTGAAAGTGGGGAGGGGAGGGGGGGGGGAGAAAAGACAACGCTGAAGTAGAATCCACTGTATGGATTGAGCAAGTTGTGGGGTTTGTAGGATCAATGGCTGGCAAAGATACCTCAAAAGATACAATGCCGCCCACACAAAAACAGTCCCCCAGAGATGTGTTGGTGTGTTGCCTGGATGTAGAAAAAATGGGAAGGATGGACAGGAGGGAGGGAGGGAGGGAGACAGACAGGCAGGCAGGCAGGCAGCAGGTGTTATCAGGACGCAGTGAAGACTTAACACTTCATCCCATCCCAGTCCTGCCTTCATGCCTCAGCCTCTCACATCCCACAAAAAGACCTACAAACAGGCTAAAGACAACCCACTGTGTGGAATGGAAGAAAGGAAAGGGGCAGAAGAGATGAAAGAGGGAGCATGCTTGGTTGATGGCGTTTCACAATCATGTCGTGCAACAAGACAGGACTGGTGCAACCCAGTGCCAATATGGGGAAGGGGAGGCCTTCCCCAGTCCTAGGATTGCTGTTTCTGAAGTTGGAACACTTTGAAAATTATCATTATCTAATTCCAAGTTACTTGCAGGATCCTAGCTGGGCCAAAAGGTGAATCCTACCTATCTAAATAAATGACCCAAAGTGAGAAGCAGTTTGTCCGTCACTATCACTGCTGTATGACTGTAAAATCTAGACACCAAAAATGCAGCACACAAACTGCAAGGATCCTAGAAGTATTCATCTCTCGGTTATTTAGTTTTTTGCTTAAATGCATTCATAGATGGTCCAACTCTACTATTCTATGATTCTATGAGAGCAATGGGGCAGTGGGACCATCTGCCTGGAGAGGTGGGGGGCCCTCCCACACTGGAGGCATTCCAGGAGAAACTGGGCAGCCACCCGAGTGGGAGGGTGCGACTCGGTGTCCTGCACAGCAGGGGTTGGCCCCTATGGTCTTCAGGGCCCCTCCCAACTCTACTCTTCTAGGATTCTATGATTAATTCTAAATAATTGAAGTGTGTCATCTATGCGGATGAAACCAATGGTATTTTCCATCACTCAGAGCAGACTTCACCAACCTGCCAGAACTTTGCATCCTTTCTGAAGACGGGGAAGGGTGGTGGAATGAGGAACGGAGCTGCAGTGGCTCCTCCTCCCCTCCAGGGCAAGAGAGTGGGCAGACCCCTCCCCAGGGGGCTCTAGGGGTGCACCGGGTGCCAGTTGACTCGGACAAGGTGGGGCCCATCTGCCCAACCCCGTCCACGGCGTCACCGCTTGCAGGCTTCATCGTATCAACCGGAAGAGCGCTTCCAACCCCCTTACGGCTTGCAGTTACCTGGTGATCAAAACGGCGGTATCATGGTTGGCTATGCCATTGTCCGGAATGGCGTTGCCGTTGCCATTGTGGTTCACAATGGATTTCTGCCACTTGCAAAAGCTGTCGAGGGACTTTCCGGCATGGTGGTTGATCTCCAGGGTTGGCTGGGGGAACAGGGAGCATTGCCGTGTTTCAGCGCATGGCGCACATATGCACAGACCTGCCCGCTTGTGGAGACCTTTGGAATGCCAGTCCAGTGCCGGTCATTGCAATGGAAAGCCCACCCTGTTTTGATGTGCTCACTCAATGGCTCACTAAATCCAAGTCTCTCCGGAGCATTATTTAATTGTGCTTCTTTTTTTAAGGGAGACTGCCTGGGGATCTCGGGGGGTTCAGGAGAAGCCAAAGGTGAACGCCACCCTCACTCTGCATTTATTGCTAGAGTTGCTTCTCTCCCTGCCTAGCTTGAACATCTCAGAGAGAAGCACTGGGTCAGCTTGTATCCTGGCCCTCCCAGTCTCTTGCCAGACCTGTTCCCCAAAATGTCCTTTCCATTGTTCTCCTGACCTTAGAGAGCAGCCATGAAGGGAAGCCAAGCTCTGATTCTTCCATCCAAAGATGGGGGACGTAAATGTATGCCCCAGCTTTGCTCCAGGCAGGAGGACTGAAGAAACATAGCTCCATGAGGGGTGCCAGAGATCACTCATGAACTCAGCTCCCTCCCCAAACTACAATGCCCAGTGGGGAAGCCATGACAAATACCCAGCTGAGGAAGTTTGCAAAACACAGCCTAATTGGCTCCTGCCTGAGAGGAACCACTGGCTGCCTTCTGGGTGGGTCTCTCTTCTTTCTTCTCTACAGGAAGCCTTACCTGGTCCTCCGTGAGCAGGATGAGGCGTGTGACGAGGATGTTCACAATATTGCCCAGACTTGAGTCTTGGAAAAGTTTAGCAACCTGACCTCCAGAAAACAAAGAAAGACCAGTGTTAAAAACAAGGTCGGTTCTGCTTTGTGGTTGATCAAAAATGTACAGGTATTAGCATCCTTCCTGGGGGTCTCTAAGAGAAAGAATAAAGTTCAGGGGAGAAGGAGAGCAAGTTTCTGCTTGAAGCATTTGCTGTTGGCAACGTCCACTAAACCCCTCAAGGAGCCACCTGTAAGAAGCACTTGCCACCTTTCATCTCCAACAGTCCAACCTGGCCTTTGCTCCACCTCTCCCAACCAGTGGGCTCCACCCCCATCATTAGGCACCACCCCTTACTTCCATGACTCCACCCCTTTAGTCTGAGAACATCAATGAGTTGGAAAAAAGTACAGAGGTCAACGAAAATGATTGTGGGGTGGAACATCTCTCCTGCAAGGAGCAGCTTCAAAAAACGGGGTGGTTCAGCTTAGAAAGAGGGCAAGAATGTGGGGACAAGAGAGGTTTTTAAAATAATGCACAGTGTGGAGAAAGTGGAGAGGGAAGCGAGTTCTCCCTCCCCCATTCCCCTCGAACCCTGGTTATCCTATGAAGTTGATGGGTGAGAAGTTTAGGACAGATCAAAGGAAGGGTTTCTTGGTTAAACTATGGAATTTGCAGCCATGGGAAGAGGAGATGGCCACCAATCTGGGGCATTAAAAGTGGAATGGACAGATTCATAAGAGGAGGCTATCTGTGGCTACTAGCCTTGCTGGCCATGGGCTCCCTCCTTCACTGGAGGTGGTAAGGGGGCTCCCCCCTTGCATGCGCCATTGCTCAGGAGCTGGGCAGGAGGAGGTCTTGCACCCGTCCTGCTGGAGGGATCCTGCGGGCAGCTGGTTTGCCACTGTGTGTGCAGAGTGCTGGACTAGATCAGACCTTGGGCCTGATCCAGCAGGGCTTTTCAGATGTCTGTTACAAGAGGCCAGGAAACCTGTTCATGTGTTGAGGTCTTAACTCCTGATAGAAGCTACATCGCCAGGGAGCAGGTCTGCTGGCTGGTGCTGAGAATCATGTCCTGGTTATAACACTTACAATATTCATGATGGCCAGGATGTACTGCTCAATGTCCCGCCGGCCGTGGTAGCCCACCATCATCTTGTCAGCCACCACGAGGGTCTCCACGTAACGCTCAGAACTGACCGACCTCTTCAGAGGCAGCTGTCCCCGTTGTGTGAAGTTGCCCAGCGTCTTCGCAGGGGAGGGTTTCAGCATCCGCAGCCACCACGGACGACCTTTCCACGGTTTCTCATCTGGGGGAAAATGGCTGTGAGGTGCACTACCTCACTTCACTCTGTCCTTCGAACGTGGGTGAGCACCAAATCCAGCCCTTCTGGGATTTCAATCCATTTTTCCTCAGCTGGCCAAGCCTCCAACCCTGCCTCGTTTCCCCCAAACCACAGGTGCTTTCTCAGCCATGGTGCAGTTTCTCCACCTCTTCAAGGACTTGGCTTTCTAGCAACAGGAATGTCAGACTGAAAGATGCTCCCCTCTTGGCTCCACCCCTTTGGCTTCAGCCCCACCCACCACCAGAATGCGGCCCCCGAGGGGTCTCTGGAATGAAATCCGGCCCTTGGGCTCCAAAAGGTTCTGCACACCTGCTTTAAGGCGTACGCACTGGCATTTCTATCAGAGAGAAAGCTGCTGGGAGTTTGATGCAAAGACTAGTTTTAGGGCCGCCAAGGTTTTCACTGGCCTTGCTTCTTTTCTTTAATAACAGTCTGAAATGTCAGTATTGATTAGGTCAAGAAAGCGCAACCCAGACAACCCCTCACCATAACTAAAGCTGCCCGGGACTAATGGGAGGAGTAGCCCAAAACTTCTGCTGGAAATTGGCTTGGCTATTGAGTGGTATAAACATGAAATAAATAAGTTGCCCACTCCTGAATTAGGCAATACCATTCATATTCTGAATACTAGGAAATGGCTTACCAGATTAATTTCCTTTTATAGGCTTGTGTTGATGATGCAGGAACAGGGCTAACACCAACTAGCTAGATAAAAGCTATCGACTTTCCTTGCCACAAGAGGGCGGAATAGAACTGTGAAATTCTTTGAGAATCTGTTTGCCTGTCTCTAGGGGGCAATAGACTGACTGTTCATGTTAAAATAGATCAACATCCTAAATCTGCCCCAATCATGGTGCTTTTGCTTCATTTGTGCTCAGCATTCCACCCTAAATGGAAAATCGCTTCTGATTCTTGGAGATGGGGCCAAGAATCACCCCACACACATTCAGTCCCCAGTTTGGAAATCATAAGGACTAGAAACTTCATAATTATTTCTAAAAATCAGGAAGCCAATTCTCAGGTGGTGAAATTCTGTACCCAAGACTGTCACATACTTCTGCATGCTGAATGTGGGCACTGATATGAGCCAGGTCATACCTAACACGCCACAGGCTGCGTCCATGTGGGGGGGCTGGAGAGAAGAGCGTTTATACACCACGTGGGGGCTCCCTTCACTTTCTCGTCCACCGCTGATGTTGCCGCCGGAGGTGAGTGGTTCGATGAAGTACTCCTCGTCATCCGCAATGATCACTCCATGCTGAGGCAAAAAGCAGAGGTGTGTTTTCATACCACAGCAAAATAAAACGCACAGCCATGTAGCTCTGTATCCCTGCATCTTCTCCACATAACGAGGCATTCCAGCTTGGTTTTGCCTTGGGTAGGAGAGCAAATGGAGAAAACTGAACCATGTCTGTGCCACTTCATTAACCGATGGGAAATAACTCCTTGAGCTGGATTGCTGCCCTGTGCTGTAGGAGGAACTGCCTTGGAAGAAATTTGGAAGCTGTGCAAAATGCAGCAGGGACCAGATGATTTCCACACATGGAACCACGAAGGCTTGTTTGCACCGGCTGCATTTAAACTTCCAAGCCTGGTGCAAGGTGCTGGTTTTGACTTACAAAGCCTACTGGGGATTGGGACCACGGTACATGAAGAAGGCCCTTACCTAGCAAGAATGTACCTAAGCTCAGGATTCATTATGTACCACTCTTCTCCAGGCGCCTCCTTTAAGGAACCTGCTCAAAGGGCAGCAACAAGGGGGATAGTCTCCTCCGTGGTGGCCCCCTGATTGCGAAATGATCTAACGCCCACCTGGCACAAACTTCTTATTTTTTGGCACCTGGCTAGGATGCCTTTCTTCTCACATGCATTTGGCAGCATGCGATAAAAGTTTTAATTCTTGCTCTGGATCCTTGAACTGGTTTTCAGAGAACTGCGTCTCTCTTGGGGGGTTTCTGCTTCTGTGCATATGGTTTTAGAATGCATTTTTAAGGGTGCAGTATTTGCCAGCCCTCCAGAGAGCTGTGGCTATTCAGCAGGACAGGGAATGAAGGGAAAGAATGAAACACACACGCTACACACAGTGTCGGGAAGCAGCTCTCCAGCAAAACAAGCCATGGGCTGGCAGAGATGGCCTTATGAAGGCCTCTCTCCCCAAACCACCACACGTTCCAGCTGAAAAAGCCCCCCTTCCTTTCACTTGGAAAGGAGCTACATCATGGGCGAATTTTATGGGGGGTTGCAATGTCCCCAGCCCCCACCCTGCTGCTGAGCCACAGAGCACCTTTCCATGGTTTGGGGGATAACCACAAAGGCCGCTGCTGCACCCCAGCAAAACAAAACCAAACACGGCTCTGTGGTGCCGTGGGCCACTGACGTTCAGTAGCAGAGCCTCCGGGCACTTGCCCGACAACAGACAATGGGCTCCAGCCGCCTGGCCAGCTTCATGTTGCCCAGCACAGACAACAAAGTGGTGTCATGTGGGTTGTCAGCAAAACAGGGCCTGCAGTGTTGGCTGAACTCAGCTGAGAGGACAGCCCACAGTGCACAACCCGACACCAAACCATGGATTGTTCGCGGTTCAGGCACTCTGGGTTCTGGCTGGACCATCATCCCCATTTCAGAGGCAAGACCTACTCGACCTTTCAGGCCTGAGGAACTCCACTGTGTCGAAGAGGAAGAGGAAGCCAGGTTCCAGATATGCTACCCACTCAAGGAGCCCTTCCAGTTTGTCCTGAAGTTATTTAGTTAACTTTCATGTTGTATTTAATCCCTGTCTTTTTCCCTGTAGTGATCCCAGCCAATTTACGTAATCGACCTCTCATAGAATCACAGAATAGTGGAGTTGGAAGGGGTCATGAAGGCCATCAAGTCCAACCCCCTGCTCTTGCAGGACACCAAGTCACACCCTCCCACTCAGAGGGCTGCCTAGGTTCCTTTTGAATGTCTCCAGTGTGGGAGGACCACCACCTCTCTGGGCAGCTGCTTCCACTGTTGCATTGCTCAGACAGTGAGGAAGCTTTTCTCCATTTTATCCTCACAACAACCCTGTGAGGTATGTCAGGCTTAGAGCCCAGGATTGGTCCAAAGTCCCACTATCAGCTTCCTGGATCTCCCAAGTCACAGCCAACACTCTGACCACTAGGCAACACTGTCTCTCTCTTCACTGATCACTTCAGCTTGTTCAGTGGGGAAGGGGAAGTTTGAAGGACGTCTCATTGGTGCATGGGTAAAGATTGTGTGTGTGGGTGTGAATGGCATCCAGGCAAGCACAGCAGCAGCTGTGCAGCACCCCGGGGGTGCCCCTGCTGAACTGGGGGCATAGCTGACCTATGGTAGGCATCCATGTGGCAGGAGAGCCAGTGTGGTGTTGTGGTTGAGAGCACGGGACTGGGACTCAGGCGATCCGGGTTCGAGTCCCCGCTCAGCCATGGAGCCAACTGGGTGGCTTTGGGCCAGTCCCGGACTCTCAGCCCAACCTACCTCACAGGGTTCTTGCTGTGGGGAGAAGATGGAGGAGGAGAATGATGTAAGCTGCCTTGAGCCCTTTGTAGGAAAAAGGCAGGATATAAATCCCAAAATAAATAAATAAATCCAGCCTCTAGCGCACTTGTGGCAAACCCACTGCAATCTTCCTAGTGCCCCACAGACGAACGCAACACATGTAGACCTGAAAGGCACTCTGGAGTCCCATGTTCCCGGCAGATGCACAGCCAAGCTCTGGTTAAATGCCTCATGCCAAGGACTGCCCGCCACTTTGCGAGGTGGCCAAGTCCCTCTCCAACAGCTCTTACTGTTCGGAAGCTTCTCCTAATGTTGCTTCCTTGCCAGTCTCCACCCCGTCCGTTCTAGGATTCCTAATGCGCCGGTTTCGCTTTGGAAATCAGGCCAGGTCACCTGAAGAGGATCTTGGAAATGCCCCTTCCCCTTCACAAGCTCCCGCCCTCCCTGCAGCACGCATCCCCCAAGTGCCATGCTATAAGCCAAGGGGTGCCCCTCTTTTCCAGCCCCCTTCGGTCAGACGCCCTAACCTCACACTACCTCACTTGTGCTTGGAAGGATGGCTGGGTGCCAAGAGCAACAGAGCTTGTGTATGAGGAGGAAATCCACCGCTGGGCCATCAACACCAGCCCCTTCCAGGGAATTTTACACTGTAGGCACACAGAAGTGATTCAGCTCTTGCTGCGGGTGAGGGGCGGGGGCGGGGGAGGCACTGGGACAGCCAAAAGAACAACGGGGAACTGAGTTTGCTTGATTTCTCAAGTGCTGCTCCTGGAGGGTGGAGAGGGGAAAGTGTAATGCCTTCTCTAAGAGAACGGTTTCCCCTTCCTGGAATGAATCAGCAAAACCATGAGCTTGTTGAGTTCTCAGACTTGCACCCTGAAGCTCATGTAGAGGGTGAGCCTGGTTTTTATTGAATTTTCCATGAAAATCCATCTGCATTGTTGGGAAAATTCAGATAAATCCTGGCAGAAAAACATTGCTTATATGTGCCTTTGTGTTACAGAATCAAACCTGCACCCCTTTCTCAGAAGGCACCAGAATTCCAAGCCAGGTCACTGTTTAGCATAGCTGTTGCTTTAAGAAGATGGCATTCTTAGCTAGACTGAGAAGCCACACATACCTGTGTTATTATCAGCTGTAGAAAAACTGAAATAATGCTGTTCGTTAGTTTCTGGATGGGCCCACCGAAGCAGAGGCAAGTCCTGCTGAGTTTAAGTTGCCAAACCAGGCTTCCTAAATGCTTCCTCCCTCAGACACATTTGCATGTGTGAACAGATGGACCGTCTGACCTGAACTGTCCAGAATTTGCTAGACTGACCCATCAAGACAGCAACCAGTCATGCTTCCCAGACTGTTGTTACCAGTATTTCTGATGGGTTTAGAACAGTGGTGGCCAACCTACGGCACACGTGCTGCAGCGGACACACACAGCGCCCTCTGTTGGCACGCGAGCCCAGTCGCCCCAGCAGCCGAGCATCAGAGAGCAGCGCACATAGGGGCCATGCGCATGCTCAGAAAGGAGTGGCGGCGCCAGGCGATGACATCACAAGCCACGACTCATTAGCCGCGACTCATGTGAGCTTTCCCATGGCCGGTCAGTGCGCTGTCAAGGATATATATATGTTTGTATCATTGAAAGCTCCGTTACTGTGTTTTTCTTTTAAGACAAAAGATGTTAATGTATGAGTTGTTTTTTCTAAACTAAAACCTCAGTATTCAGGTTTGATTGCAGTGTAGGCACTTTGCGATAAATAAGTGGGTTTTGGGTTGCAGTTTGGGCACTCGGTCTCTAAAAGGTTTGCCATCACTGGATTAGAACATAATTTCATGCCCAAAGACAGCAGGTGCTCTTGTACTGAGATTATCTGGAAACTTAACACTCTGTATTGCTGTATGTGACTAGCAGGGTATAAAAGCATCTGTACATGGGCTGTGATTTTGTAGTTGAATTTACCTCTACCCGGTAATGGATTATTGTGACTGCAGATACTGAGGTCAATAAAACAGCAGAGGTTCAAACGGTTGATCTTTCCCACGAACCCGAGTTTTAATTTCTTCCTCACAAATTGAAAACCAAGATTCTCTCAGCATTTTTGTGGTGTCTTTCCCCAACAAGGGTGCGCATTTTTCAAATATAAACCACTTTGGGTTCCTTGAAAGGAAAAAAAAGGAGGGGCAAAAAATAATGCCATTATGAAAATAATGATAATTTGCTTCCCTTAATTCATGCATTTGTGTACATGTTCCATGTTCCTTTTCTGAGGAGCATTTTGGAAGTGTGAACATTTTCTTCCAAAGCTTTCCTGCAATGGGTGTTCCACAAGCCACATGGCAAGCTCAGAAATAGCATAGCCCATAACCTCTGCATCCCATATTCTATTCTGGGAGATCTGAATTAGCTAAATTCTGCTCAAACACCTGTTTGCCCTCTCGCCCTGCCTCCCAGATATTCCTTTGGTTCCACTGTCATCCAAATTAAACAGAGCATAGCAGTTTGGAGAGCTGTATTGAAAGATATGGAACATGCCATCTGTCCTTTTTAAAAATCCCATTCAAGTTGTGTTCTACAAGGAAAGGTGCTTATTTATTTATTGGATTTATATCCTGCCTTTTTCTTTTTTGAAAAACTCAGATAGGCTGAACACTGAGGGGAGACATTAGACCCCTCTAGAAGCCCCTCAAAGGCTGTCACAAAAAGGAAGCTCAAGGTCTCTTCTTGCTGGTGCCAGAGTGTAGGACATGGAATAATCAGTTCAAGTTGCGACAACCCAGATCGAGGCTGGACATCAAGAGAAGCTTCCTCGCTGTCAGAGCAATACAAGAGTGGAACCAGCTGCCTGGAGAGGTGGGGGGCTTTCCCACACCAGAGACATTCAAGGTAAAACTGGGCAACCACCTGAGTGGGATGGTGTAACGTGATGTCCTGCAGCAGGAGGGGGTTGGACCTGATGGCCTTCTTGGCCCCTTCCAACTCCACTACTCCGTGATTCTATGATTCTTCTCATTCATGTGAGTGTAGGACACGGAATGATCAAGTTCAGCTGCAGCAAGCCAGATTCAGGCTAGATATCAGGAAAAGCTTCCTCATGGTCAGAGCAATAGGACAGTGGGGTCAGCTGCCTGGAGAGGTGTGGGGGGCAGGCTCTCCCACACTGGAGACATTCAGAAGGAACCTGGACAGCCATCCTAGTGGGAGAGCGTAACCTGGAGTCCTGCAACTGCAGTGGGTTGGACCAGATGGCCTTCATGGCCCCTTCCAGCTCTACTATTCTATGATTCGTTTGACTCCTGCTTCTCCAGAAAATACAGTTTAATACAATAGTACCATGTTCCCCAGTCATTGATGAGCACAGATATTATGCCTCATGGCTGTGGATGGTTTTCTCCTCTGTAAATTTCACCCTTCAAGATCACAAATTTCTTCTGAATTTTGCAATGGCCTGGAAATTGTTTAGAGAATGCTGGAGGTTGACTCACTTTAGAGAAGGTCTCAGCAGAGCTAGTTTTCTTTAGACTGGAGTTGAGCTGGAAAGCCCCTCAAACCAGATGTGGGGACTTTTCTAGTACCAGCCTAAAGCTGCCCTTTACTCTCAGGCATTAAATGGCATTTAATGGATTATGAGGGGGGCAGTTAAAGCACCATGTTCACTAGTATTTTTAATTAGAATTGTTTGTAGCCATTTGAATTGTCTTAAATTCTGTCTGTGATTGCTTCATGATCTCTCTTTGTGGTTTGGAACTTGATGGGCTGTTTTAAACCAGCCTGGAACTTCATTTTCTGTAATGTTACATGGCCTTATATCAATGAATTAATAAAATGAAATTATGAATATTGGCCTGACCTCAGACAGCCGTTCAAATAGAAGACTGTAAATTGAGACATATGGAGACCTGGTTCCACAGGGATGCTTTTGTCCCTTTTGCAGTCAAAAAAATCCAGCCTTATGTCCTTAGATAACCTCTATCTCATCATTCTCAAAATCCCACCAACATCCCATCCCAGGCTGCTGGAAGAAATGAGACTGAATAGTGCAATTCATAAAGCCACAGAGTTGTTTTTTATCACCCGTTACTTTCAAACAAAAAGTTTCCCTCAAAAAACAAGTGTTGGATACAGAACCCCTGTGGGTAACTTCTTCCACTCTTGATTTAGCCAGAGTCTTCCCAATGCTCAAAAGGCATCTAATTCTTTCCTCCTTTAATTTAAGAAGGAAAATGTTAGGGACTGGGAACGTTTAATGTTCAGAACAGTTCAGAATTCGCTCCCCAGAGAAGTACGCCTGGCACCAACTCCACACGTGTTCCAGCACCAGGCAAAAACTTTTTTATTCACTCAGCATTTTTGTGTTTCAGTGATATGTTATTAATATCTATGGCCAGGTCTTCATTTTATTTTCTGTTCTGGTTCTTGTTTTTATTTGTTTTAATTGGGAGTTTGTATTTATTGATTTCTTTAATTATGTTGCCATTTGCTTTGGTTATTGCTTAAGCAGAATGTTTTATGGATTGTTAATCTGTGGAGTATTGTGTTCAGTTTTGGGCCCCTCGTTACAGGAAGGATATAGCCAGGTTAGAGTCAGTGCAGCAAAGGGCCACAAGGTTGGCGGCCGGTTTGCAGGGGAGGCCGTATGAGGCGAGACTGAGGGAACGGGGTCTCTCCAGCCTGGAGAAGAGGAGACTCGGAGGGGATCTGTTGGCGACATGCAGGTGTGTGAGGGGGTGTCACACGGAGGTGGGTAGAGACCTGTTCTCCCCTGCAGAGGAAGGCAGGATGCACTCCAACGGAGCCAAGCTCAGGGAACCAGGTTCCATTTGGATGCCAGGAAGCGCTTCCAGACAGTCAGGACCCTGAGTGTATGGACTGGGCTTCCTCGGGAGGTGGCTGAGGCCCCATCGGTGTGGGTGCTCAAGGATAGGCTGGACATGCACATGGTGGGCATGTCGTGAGCGGAGCTGGCTGGAGCCAGGGGTCAGGCTAGATGGCCCAGGAGCTCCCTTCTGATTCGCTCTGTTTCTATGTTTCTGTGTGTTATGTCTGCATTTTATTGTGCGTAAACTGTTCAAAAAGCCAGCATGGCTGAGAGAATGGTAGACATTTTTATATAAATAAATAAAACAAATAAACAGGGCAGCCATGAGAATAACTTGCCAAAAAATAAAATCTCGCCTCTCCTCAGTCTTTCTCTGCCTTCATCCCCACTGCTGCCCTGCCCTGCCCAGGGCAACATGAGGAAATATTCCTGCTGGAATGTGGGTATATTCTGGAATTGCAGCCATACAACCCTAAAACCTGATTTCAGAGGGAAGAGCTAAGATGCTTGTAAAACCACAAACAAAGTTCTAGAGCATAACTTTTCAAAGCTAGGCCTGAGTAACCTCCTATTACTGAGGACGCCACATTTTAAGACGGGTGTTATTAACAGCTTTCCAAAAGTGTGTGATGGCACAAACATTTCTCTACAGCTCCAAAGGTCAGGACTGAAACAACCAGGTAGAAAAAGGAGACAAGGCACACCTAAATAATGGGAGAAACTTTCTAAAGGCATTTAGGGGATTTAATGGCACCTTTATGTTTTAACAGCTCTGGCTTAGACTGAAATGCTTTCAGCGGTCAAATTGTCTTTCATTTAAGGCATTCTGGAAATGCCATATATACAGTTTAGTTAACTGCGGGTCTGCATTGTTGTTTGGTCAATTGCTGTGAACCTCCCAGAAGGTTTTGGCTGTTGGATGAAAGGGAAGAGAAATTATAAATAAAGAGGTGCTCAGCACTCAGATTGAGGGACAACGGGAGGTATTTAGCAGAACTGGAACAGCCAGAGAATAGGGGTGATGGAATTGTAGACCCCATCCTGGGTGCAAAGAAAGACCTGAGGACCACCAAACCCTCTTCTTATTCTAAATTGTTAGGATTCTCTAAGCAGGGCTGAAAGGTCCTTAAAAGTGGAAGCTAAACAGTCATGCTGGGCTGGACCAAATGTCCATCCAGTCTACTACCATTTCCTTACTCAGCCAGCTAGATGCTTCTCAGAAGTCAGATGAAAAGAAAACAGCCGCCTCAAGATTTGCCCGGAGATAGTCATCATTCACCAACCTGAGTTTCTCCCCAGATTTTTGCATTCCAAGTCACCTGACCTTCTTTCCTAAATGAAACTGGTGCATTAGGAAACATCTACTATTTTACCATTCATTTCCAGTTTTTGTAGAGAGAGTAGTGTGCACATAGTTTGCATGCTTGTTGATTTCCCTCTATGTTGTGTGATCCCAGCCAATCAGGGGTTTGAACGCTTCGAAAATTTTCCAGTGTGATCCCAGCTGATCAGGCATTTGGATGCTTCTAATTTTTCCAGTGTGATCCCAGACAATCAGGGATCTGGATGCTTCTAAAAATTTTCCATTGTGATACCAGCTAACCAGGGATGTGGATACTTCTAAATTATTCCTGTGCAATCCCAGCCAATCAGGGATCTGGATGATTCTAAAATTTTACTGTGTGATCCCAGCCCATCAGCTCCACCCAACCAATGCATACATATACATGGATTAAACACTGCAGAATAACCTTGTGGTTGCAATCTTGTAGGTGACTTCACCAAGGGAATGATGAGAAGGGAATAAAATTGTGACATTCTGCAGATGTTCGGAGTTTTGTGCAAAATTTAGAAAGAATATAAAAAGAAATGATGTAGTCTTTCTAATGTAGTAGTACAGGTTCTATTCCAAAGACAAGACATGGGCATTCAGAAATCCCAAAACTTGGAAAGGTCTTCATCCCTGATAGCCTAGGATCAAGCAATAAAAAGGAAAGAACAATCCCTGTTTCAGTTTTTTCCTTCTTTTCTAAAGCGTTATCAGAACAATATCTGATGGCAGGTATAAGGTGCATGCAATACTCAAGCACAAAGCAGGTTTGTTTTTCTGGTTGTCTTTCACACCTCTCCAATTTCACACCATCTCACCTATGTCTGAGGCTGAGAATGAGGTTTTGCTCTTATTCCAGCTGCTGTAAGAGACTGCATTGCCTAGCAAACCTTCTACCACATCTTTTCTCAACTCTCCCACCACAATGCAGGAGAAAGCAGGGCACTTACCAGTCCGTTGCAGTTACTGATGGCAACTTTTGAGTTCAGGTACTCATCTTGTAAGTGCCCAGAGTAGTGGCAGTCTTCATGGAATTCATGCTGCTGATCTATCCCATCTCGTTTCCAGTACTCGACTCGGAAACGCTCTGTCAGCAGGTTGGTGTGCAACGTCAGGTTGAGGAGAAACTGAGTCCGGTGGGCAGAGACTTTGTAGAAGACTTTCTGTTCGGGGGAGTCATAGGCTGGATGGTCCATACTTCGGCGAGACCTCCGTTTCCATTGGCTTTTAATGTCAAAGCTGAGAAAGTCCCCATTCTGGTCCACCTGGACTGGAAAGGCGATTTCATAGTGGTCCAGGCTGGAGAGGAATTCCTCTGTTGGAGGAAAAGGGGACACACAACTGTGATATTTGGACCATCCTGTCTATTTATCGTTTCAGAGTTTCATTCTGTGTTACATTCCGTTTGTCCTGCATGCCAGACTCAGGAACATCTGGAATTGAAGGATGTACTCAGCAGCTTTCAACGAATCCCTAGCTTGAGAACATTTTCAGCAGATGTGTGTAGGCTATGCTTGGAAGCTTTGCAAGCAAAAATAAAATCCTGGCTTTACATGATCTTGAGAGTGACTCCACTTGTGAGGCCCAGGAGTAACTATATCTGTTCCACTACAACTACCACCCCTTACTTTAGCGCTGCTTTGCCATTCCTTCTACTTTTCTTATTTATTTAACTTCTATACTGCTGAAGAGCACCGAAGAATTGAGGCCTTTGAACTGTGGTGCTGGAGAAGATCCTACGAGTCCCTTGGACCGCAAGGCAATCAAACTGGTCAGTCTTAGAGGAGATCAACCCTGACAGCTCTTTAAAAGGCCAGATATTGAAGAGGAAACTCAAATACTTTGGCCACCTAAAGAGAAGGAAGGACTCGCTGGAGAAGACCCTGATGTGGGGAATGATTGACGGCAAAAGAAGAAGGGGACGGCAGAGGATGAGGTGGCTGGATGGCGTCACTGAAGCAGTCGGCGTGAGCTTAAGTGGACTCCGGGGGATGGTGGAGGACAGGAAGTCCTGGAGGAGTGTTGCCCATGGGGTTGTGATGGGTCGGGCACGACTTTGCGACTGACAACAGCAATGTATGGCTGTGAGAGTTGGACCATAAGGAAGGCTGAGTGATGAAGAATTGAGGCCTTTGGATTGTGGTGCTGGAGGAGACTCCTGCGAGTCCCTTGGACTGCAAGGCGATCAAACTGGTCAGTCCCAGAGGAGATCAACCCTGACAGCTCTTTAGAAGGCCAGATACTGAAGATGAAACTCAGATACTTTGGCCACCTAATGAGAAGGAAGGACTCGCTGGAGAAGACCCTGATGTGGGGAATGATTGACGGCAAAATGAGAAGGGGACGGCAGAGGATGAGGTGGCTGGATGGGGTCACTGAGGCAGTAGGCGTGAGCTTAGGTGGACTCTGGGGGATGGTGGAGGACAGCAAGGCCTGGAGGAGTGTTGTCCATGGGGTCGCGATGGGTCAGATGCAACTTCGCAACTAGCAACAACTGCTGAAACTCTCTGGGCAGTTTACAATAATCCATTAAAACACAGTCAAAAATGCTCCATAATATAAAAGCACCAGGGAAAAATTACTATAGAAAAACTTTAAAACTATATTTAAAACATCACATTTAAATATACAATTTCAAAAACCTAAAATAAAACCCGATTGAACCTGGGTTAAAAACTAAGTGAGCCCTATCTAATTAAATGCCCTCCAGTTGTCTTGACCTTGTACTGAAAGGTTGGCACCAGGCGAGCCTCTGTGGGGAGCTTGTTCTGCAACTCAAGGCCCACCACTAAAAAGGCCCTTTGCATTGTTTCCACCATCCAAGACTCCCCTGGGGGAAGGAGTTGGAGGCAGGCCCCAAGGCGAGATTATACTGCCTAGGCAGATGAGTAGCTTAGACAGATGTCCAACCCTGCTATTAAATGTGAAACCTGGAAGCCTCTGCCATTTTGTATTTTGTCAACGCTTCAAAGTGCCATCATGCCTGATGGAATAATATGCAGTTTACATCTGCTATACAGAGTATTATTATTAATTTCACTTTGATACAGCCCAATAGGCAGAGATCTTTGAATTATGGCATTTTTGAAGGGGAAAGAAATAGCAAAAACCAGGAAACTACCAAATGATCAGCAAGACAGAGGAAAGCCATGGCCAAGATTTCTTCTTGCTGATTCCAGAGTGCAGGACACGGAATAACCAATTCAAGTAGCGGGAACCCAGATTCAGGCTGGACATCAGGAAAAACTCCTCACTGTCAGCCTTGCGAAGAGAAGACGGAGGGGGGACATGAGATCCCTCTATAAGTCCCTCAAAGGCTGTCACAAAGAGGAAGGTCAAGATCTCTTCTTGCTGATGCCAGAGTGTAGGACACGGAATAATCAATTCAAGTTGTGACAACCCAGATTCAGGCTGGACATCAGGAAACGCTTCCTCGCTGTCAGAGCAACACAGCAGTGGAACCAGCTGCCCGGAGAGGTGGTGGGCGCTCCCACACTGGAGACATTCAAGAAGAAACTGGGCAGCCATCTGAATGGGGTGTGGTGCGACTTGGTGTCCTGCAACAGCAGGGGGTTGGACCCGATGGCCTTCATGGCCCCTTCCAACTCCACTGTTCTGTGATTCTAAGAAAGCCCTATGAGGAGAGACTGAGAGCACTTGGCACTTGTCCTTCCTGTTCAGCCTTGAGAAGAGAAGACCAACAGGGGACATGAGATCCCTCTATAAATCCTTCAAAGACTATCTCAAAGAGGAAGGCCGAGGTTTCTTCTCACTGATAAAAGAATGTAGGACATGGAATAATGAAGTCCAGCTGCAGCAAGCCAGATTCAGGCTAGATATCAGGAAAAGCTTCCTCATGGTCAGAGCAATAGGACAGTGGGACCAGCTGCCTGGAGAGGTGGGGGGCTCTCCCACACTGGAGACATTCAAGGTGAAACTGGGCAGCCACCTGAGTGGGAGGGTGTGCCCTGGTGTCCTGCAACAGCAGGGAGTCAGACCTGATGGCCTTCATGGCCCCTTCCAACTGTGCTATTCTAGAATTCTGTGATTCTAAGGAATGGGATCCATTTAGAACATCCCAGAGAGTTAAACTGGGACTCATTGTGGATTTTACCCATATGCCTGATATCCCACAGCTCTCCCTTTGGGACTAGAAACTTCCTGATGCATAGAATTTTGAAGGTGCCGTCAAAGATTTTGGTAAGACGAGCAAGATGCCTCCAGCATACATTCCCCAGCAACACCTCCTCGTTGCAAGCTAAAAGATGACACGGCGTCCGCCGCATTTTGGCCTCCACAACCGTACCTTGAGACTGGAACGTGTAACCAGGAAGGTTGCCCACAAACATGGCGGAGACAAGCGTCCAGGTCAAAAACGCCCAGGCTGTGGCCATAATGGGCAGTGAGGCTCTTCGCGGTGCGGGCTGCGTTGGACCAGGAGGAAAAGCTCTGCCGCCACATTTCTTTGTTTGAGCCACCACTTATGCTACGAGAGGGGTCCCCACGTCCTCGGTGGCCATGCTCAGGCACTGCACGGAAGGACGGAGCAAGCGTTGTGGCGTGTCGAAGCAGGGCGCTGCTCTTCAGCATGTGCCGGTGGATCGCAGCATTGCTCTGCTGGAGAGGAGAGGAGAGGCAGAGGGAGAGGAAGGCCACGTGACCAGGAGCTCTGGGGAAGCACAGACAGGATGTCCAAATCACAGAGGGGTTAAAGGGCTAGTTACTGGAGGAGAACCAGCGCTAGACTCCTTACACTCCTCAGCACACCAGCTGGGCACCAGTTCACTTACTTACCCACCACCTGGGCCAAGTCTGAAGGAACCAGATTGGCTGGGGGGTTGCCTCTGGGATTCTCCAGGAGGCCATGCGGCCCCCTTGGCCTGGCCAAGCCGGCCTCCCACTAGCCCTGATCTCGGAGCCCTTTCCCAGCTTCTGTGCAGTTTTGCTCCTTGACTGGTTGAAATGCCACCCTGGAGGCATCGTGGTGTTGGCTCCTGCCGTATCGTCCTGTGCTGCTACCCAGTGGGGTCCTTTGGCTTTTATTAAAAAGCGTTTGCTTCGTTTCAGTTGAACCTTCTCTAATCTCTAATATTAGACAACAACTCTCATCATCCCCAGCCACCACGGCAATACATCCAGAAGGCCAATATACATCTAGACTGTTTTTATGAAACAGTCACTGAATTTTTCTTGTAACCCTAAGGGTGCAATCTAATCCATGTTCCACTAGAAAATGTCCCACAATTCCCTGGGTGCCCCCACCAGTGCGCATGAATCCTGGGAGCTGTAGGACTTTTGTCTGTCCAGCCACACATAGGCGTCATGCCCCTAAATGTTTGTGTTTGGTTGCTCAGATCTAAACATGTATTGGATTTTATCCTTACCACTGGGGGGTTTTAATCATTCATTAATTCTTATTGCACTATTTAAAAACCCAAACCACACCATAAACAGAACAAAACAGTAATATTACAATTTTGATTACAATGCAAAAGTATCCATTCTATATCTCTGTAAGTTATATAATAGAGCATACTGCTCTTATTAAAAAGAGTCATGCCTAGACTTCAGCAAAGGCACTCCAAATATCCATTAATTTATCAGTATGTCGATGGCACCTACAGGCCAGCCTTTAATGAAGATTTTGGTGTTAATGGAAGTTCCACGCAGTCCTCCACCCACTGGGTTAATGCAAGCGGTCATTGATCTTTCCGGTGTTGTAATATTAGTCTTTTAGCTGTCAAGAGGGCATGGAAAATCCATTTACACTGACCTCGTATCAAATTCCAAGAGACGGGTGGGTAATTCACAAGAACATGTGCATCCTTGAATGCTGAAGAACTTTCCATCACAAGATTTATCTGAATTATTACTTCCTGCCCAAAGGAAGCTGCCATTTGGCAATGCCAAAACATTTGGAGAAGAATGACCAGCATTGCGCTTCCAACAAATTGCCAATTTAATTAGGCCCTTCTCAAAAACAAAGCAAAACAAAACAAAACAAAGTGACATCCAGTCTACACAAAACATCAATTCATGCTGAATTAAGGGTAGTCTGCACTGTACAGTCCCCTGCCTAGGAAATCATATTGGGGCATTCCTCTGCTGAGCAAGATGGCGTACTCCATTCCACCATTCCACTTGTGGTTAAGATCCTGCACTGCGTATTTATTCACGGCTGAGTGGGGACTCAGACCTGGATTCCCTGAGTCTGGTCCAACCCCTTCCCCACTATGCCAGATTTGCAAACATAAAATCTGAATGCATTGCTAGATGTAAACTTATACATGAATAAATGCAGGAATGACAATTTGGTGTGCTCTCCCGTCGTCCCACGGATGTAGCACTCCATCTCGGGACATCACTTGACATCTCTCCAAAGGGACTGCTTTGCATGTTTGCACCCTGAATGTCACAAGAGGCAGTGCCGTGCAGTGGTGAGGGTGCTGATCTGGAACTCAGGAGATCCGGGTTCAAGTCCCCGCTTGGCCATGCAGTTAATTGGGCCAGTCACAGACTCCCAGTCAGACCCACCGCACAGGTTTGTAGCGGTGACGATAAAATGGAGCTAGGTGAGCCATCCTATGTTCCTCAGAAGGGGGGGAAAAAGTGGGGTATGAAAGGAATGGAGGAGGAGGAGGAGGAAGGAGGAGGAGACAGAGATGGAAATGGAGACAGACAGAGACGTAGGAGGAGAAGGGGAAGGAGATGGGGATGGGGATGGGGACAGGGATGGAGACGGGGACAGGGACAGGGATGGGGACGGGGAAGGGGAAGGAGACAGGGAAGCAGAAGAAGGAGAAGGAGAACTGTATATTACATGCAACAAACCAGCTAACAACTTAACAGGCAGTTCTGGAACACTGAAGGGGACTGAAAATAAAAGCCAGTTTTCAGTGGGGGGAATTCTTCAGCTGTTTTCACTCAACCCAAAGGAGAATTGAAGGCAGAGAAGGAAGGAAGATGGAATTGATGGGGGAAAGAAATGGAACTGAGTAGTTCTGGACACTTCAAATACAGGAAAGTGGGGTAGGGGGACACAGTGATGGACAGATAGAGATGGAAGAGATAATTGAAGGTCAGAAGGAAGGAAGGAAGGAAGGAAGGAAGGAAGGAAGGAAGGACAGACAACAGCTCCAACAGAATGTATGGATGAAAGAAAGCAGGAGGGGAAGAGAAGTAGTAAATCGATGGAGTGGGATGGGACAGAAACAAGAAAGACCCGACTAGACAGACGATGGCAAGCAAGGCCGATAGAAGCAGCAGGAGGGAATCCAGCCCGCTGGATGTCTGTCTGAAGTCAGCACTTTTTGGTGACTCTCTGGCTTTGCAGCCCCACAATTCTGTGCTGTTCTGTGTTCCAGTCTCCCAGCAGAGACTTCACCTCATTCTTGGCTTCCTTCCGCGGCCCTTGGAGCGGCTTTCCCTGAGCTCCTACCGCGACTTCCCATTATCCTTCGGCAAACCCCAAGGATTCTCAAGGTGCAGCGGAGGGCCTCCTGCAGGGGTCTGCCCCACCTCAGTGTCCCCAAAGACCCCCTCCCCACCACTCCGGCAAGAGTCCGTGCTGCATCTCGGAAAGCCACCAAAACCAGGAGGGTCTCTTAACAGCAAGAGCAAAGTGTGAGTGTGGTTGAGAAGGAGGGGGGGTTTCAACAGCGTGTTGTTGTGCAGAGGGAGGGACAGCAATTGTTCCTAATTTTGCCACTGGGGCTGGAAACAGCTCAGCTGTTTGGCTACAGATCCAGCTGCAGGATATGCTAATGGGAAGCAGATGGGCCTTCACTGCAGCCCACGGGGTGCCTCTTTAACTGCAAAGAGAATAAGGTCGTTTTCTACAGAGTTTCATGTTCCTGAGACCATGTTTGCAGATTGGAAGCCCTGGTCCGCCCAGGTTTATTTCAAAGGCCTGAAGCAGACTGCCGAAAAGGCCACTAGCTTTACCCTCCTCCTCCTCTCCTCTCCCTTCTAGCAAGAGAGGAAGGAGAATCTTACTCTGTTCAAACTGCAATGCAAGTTCACCTACATTTAGAAAAATAGCTTGCAAGCCTGCACTGCACATTAGACCCCAAATGCATACAAAAATACGCAGACCAGGAAAAACAAGCACAACATTCTTTATGCATTTACATGCAAACATAACCAAAAGACAATCCTCAAAGTTCAGAAGGAACTGAAATAAGACTGGAAGAATGCAGAAAGATTTGAGCTTATGACTGGGAAAATGAGTTAACTGAGAGAAAACTTGAATGGATGGATTCCTCTGTTCCTTGTTGTCACAGCCTTGTTGGGCTTCTTCCCTTTAAGAGCTGAAGAGGGGAACTGAGCAGGTAAAAACTGACCCCTGATTGTCACCTTTAGAATACACAGGTCCACCTGTCCAAGCCAGGTTTCTTTTCCAGCAGCAACCAAACCAATGCTTGTAGGAAGAACCCCACTGGTGGGATATGGAGCTGTAATATTTATTTATTTATTATTTATTTATTTAGAATTTTTGTATGCCGTCCCATTCACCTGAGCCTCGGGACAGTTTACATACAATAAATAAACACAATACAAATAGTGCACATAAAATCCAGATTCACCCTGGCTGTAAAATTAAAACCAATGAATAATATTAAAATTTGTTAAAATATTGTTTAAATAAAAAGGTCTTGGCCTGGCACCGAAAAACAAGTAACGATGGCGCCAGGCGGACCTCTCTGGGGAGCGTACTCCATAAGTGGGGCACCACGGCAGAGAAGGCCCTCCTCCGGGTACTCACCCACCTAATTTCCTTCATGGAGGGTTCCCAGAGAAGGGCCTCTGCTGCCAATCTCAGGGGGTGGGAGGGCAAATACGGAAGAAGACAGTCCTTCATGTATCCAGGTCCCAAGCCGTTAAGGGCTTTATAGGTCAAAACCAGCACCTTGAATTGAGCCTGGACTTCAATGGGGAGCCAGTGAAGCTGGTGGAGGACTGGAGTTATATGAGAATAATGCCCAGTCCCTATCAGCAACCTGGCTGCTCTGTTTTGCACCATCAAAATACTCTCCTGCCCATCTTCCCCAGCAACTGGTGGAGATAGATCATATGGCCTGAGATAGCGGAGGCAGCATCAGACCGCAAACAGACATTTCCTCTGTGAATTTGCCCAGGCTGCTTTCCAAGCCATCCAAATGGGTGGCCGTCCCTCCATCTCCAAGAAGCAAATTATATTTTATAATCAAATTATAAAATCAAATCAAATCAAAAGCAAATTATAATCCGCACCCTGTAAAGATGTCCTTCCTTATATCTGCCTGGAGTTCACCTGTCACTTCAGCACAACGTCCTACTGACTCTTTTTAAGCAGGAACGGGGTGTCTACCAGTCGGAGAGGTGGCATAACTTGAACATTGGCTAGGAATTGCATTACAGCAAGGTTAGCCACCTTGTGG